AACAAAACCAAAATAAAAAATTTTTTTAGATGGACCAAGTTAATCAAGCAAGATAATTAACAAATATCTTTTTTTTCTCTCTCTTTTTTTTATTGTAGTTATTATTTTTTTATTTTTAATTTATAATGATTAGAAGTGAACGCAGAGATAGCATTTAATGATCTCGGCAATTAATGCTACCCACTCCCTAAAATTGTAGACAATATTTTGGAAGCAAGTAACAATAAAATGCCAAGAGTTATCGAATAATAAAGTTAAAATGATGTAACAATTTTGAGTATTTTAATATTTTTCAATATTTTTAGGATTTTAATTTTTACTTTTCAAGTAAGACTTCCCTTTTTCTAATCTTAAAGTTTAGAAAACAGAGGCAATACATGATTATTAAATGCATTTTTGTAATTATTTAAAGAAAATTCCTCCTTTTTTTTTTCGGAGACTAGAAACAAAATCTTCTTTCCCATGTCTTATTCTCATAAAAAAAAAAAAACCATTGTGAGCCAATTCAAACCTTAATATAATATAATACCATTTCAAAATTTAAAAACTTCAAAATCTCATAAGAAGTGATCGCAAAATTATATGATATCAATTTGCCAAAAATGCACATTAATGATGAGGTTATGGTAAAAGCAAGAAATGAATTTGTTCATTTTTTTGGCTAAAAATCTGCAATAGAATCAGAGAGAGATCAAGGTGCGATATGATTGAATAGGATTCTAAAGTTCATGAGGCTTTATTGTCGAACAATAGGAGAGAATATATGCGTTGTTGTTGTGTTGTGCTTTAAGATTAGATCCTGATTTTTTTTATTCTACAATTCTTTTGGTTTATTAATACCTTTGGAAATTTCCATTTTATTTTAGATCCAAAATAGCTAATTGATGGTTGAAATATCTGTAGTCACACTTATTCTATTTACTTCTTGTATTCTAAAAAATGTCCCAATTGAATCTCTGTACTTTTTAAAATATGAAAAATACACATCATGCCTTCTCTTAAATCGATATGATTTGTTTTCGTTGTTATTATCTTGTTCGATAAAAATTAACCTCAAACTTATTAGGAGCATTAGTTGAGTTGTATTGATATTCTTTGTATAAGTTTGTTATAGAGGGTGAGTTACTGAACCCCCTAGTTTTGATAACGATTTCTATTTTGAATTTTAGTTTCTATGTTTTCTGTTTTTAGTTTTCAGTTTTCAAGAAATAAAAAAGGTTTGCCGAAGTACTTTATGTTTTCTTTTCAAAAAAAAAAAAAATCAAACATTTTTTATAACGCCATTTTGGCTTTTCTGTTTTAAAAAGGTTGAGAGTGAGAAGATATACCAGAGAGAGGGAGAAATCTATGTAAAATATATATGACAATGAGATGGAGTAGGAGTCGGGTATGCCCTCCCATCAGCCTTCGTAGAAATTTTTTGTCATCGTCCCCATCTCATCTTTTGATTTCGGAAATCGAGGTCCAAGTCGAATAATTCTTGTTTCGGGACGGAGATATTTGTAGGAAAAAATTACCACTTTGAGTAATTAATTTAAATTATTTTTATAATTTAAAAAATAACAAAAAAGAGTTACAAAAATTTATTATTTACTAGTATATATAGTCAGATTAAAAAATTATTTAATATTTTATTCTAGTAAAATAGTTAATAAAATATATATTTATTATTTAAAAATAAAATTGTGAACAGGGTCGGGGTGGTGGTAAATGCATTATTATTTTTGGAGTGGTTACTAGATCCTGCAAATAAAAATAAGTTTTTCGAGGAGAAATTTTAGATAAATAAATAAAAAGATAGAGAAAATCTCGTGAGACAAAAATTAAAGAGAAAAAGAGAAAATTTAGAAAGAGTAAAGTTCAAAGAAAAAACTAGAGAAAGAAAGAAAAATTATAGTGAGAAAAAATTTTTAGACAAAAAAAATTAGAGATACATTCATTAGAGAAAAATAAATAAAGAAAAAGGGAAAGAAAAGTTATAATAAAAAAGAATTGAAAGAGAGAAATTTTAGACAAATAAAGGAGATATATTTACTACAGAAAAAAAAAAGATTAAAAGGAGAAATCAAAGATATAAAATGTAATATTTGAGAGAGAAAAAGTTTGGGACAATATTAAATCTTGTGAATTGATTGGTGAAATTGTGAACTCATTTGGACAACCACCAATGATGACTGGTTAGTCTATAAATATTGAAGTTTTTTTTAATTAACTCAATAATAAAATACGGAGATAATTTTCAATATTTATCTCGTTTGATTAAAACTGATGAGGGAGATTAATTTAAAGATTCATTGAGTTAGAGCCTTGGACAAATCTTCTTCTTTTTGCCAAGATGGACATTAACCTTGTTTTAGTGTAAAAAACAAAAAATCACCGAATTTAAGAAAATTTGTAAAACAAGGAGTTAGTATTTCGAAAGTTTTGTCAATATTAGATTGATTATGGAGAATTGTAATTCTGGATTAAGAACTCGGGAACTTCTTTTCCTCCACATTTTGGTATTTATTTAGAAGAGATAATCGTTGAGATTATGTATAAAGACCGTGACCACTCAAAGATTATCTTCGAAATTTTAGGTGAGAAGTATGTCATGAGGTAGGAGATGCAGTTTGCAGTTATTGCTTAGATTCCAAAACGTTGTTCGGAAAAGGTCGGAATTATACTTAATGTTCGATACACGTTGTACATTTATAGTCGAACTATCTCCCCAACGAATACACCCAGAATCGAACTACCAAATTTAATGATGATGTGTCCTTTGTTCGAATTCACCCTTCATATCCAACCTCAAAATAATGTCATAAACAATGTTTCTAGTTAAAATATAGAATAGTCTCGAAGTAATAATATTTATTGTTTAGGGAAAAAATGGATAATAATCAAATTAGGTGGAAAATGAAAACTTTTGAAAAGAGGCCGTTTTTCCCCCCGTCGCTCTCTTCAAATGTAAAGGAAAGAGAGTCAAAAATAAAAGTGAGATGTAGGCAAAGCCAAGCAAGGAAGTTTTTACCTTTTTAATAGCTATCGATGCATAAGGGAAGGGTCAGCTTCAATAATCCACTGCCCATCTGTCCCATTTATTCAAGTTTTATTATATGATATTAAGCTTTAAATTCTTAATCAACCAACCAACTCCTATCCTAATCAACCTTTTTTCAAATATATACTTCTAACCTATCAAACTATTCTTTTAAGTTGAACTATGTTTACGTCGATCTTCAATAACTCGATACGAACGAATTGTAAAGGTGCAAAGAGAACCTGCACAAAGAAAGAAGAGCTCTGATGCTTGAGTTAATAGGAGTCTGAGGTATTTGTTTTAAGTACATGCGTAAAGAGACAATCTCTGTATTTATATGGCGTTGATAAGTGAGACCCACTCACCCAACATTTAGAACGACTTCGAGATTCTCACCCTGAAATTTGTGATAGTGGTCGAGTGGTTGGAAACGATTTAACATAATACCTTGGTAGCCAGCATGATCTTTCTTAAGGTCGGAGTCCAAGTGAAGTTTCGTAGTTATGATTTGTCACTCTTTAGAAATGAGAAGTTATATCTCAAATATCATCAATCTCTCTTCTCTTGTCATGTGAATAGTATTTTATGCGGCGGAACAAACATAATCATCCAACTTCATTCTTTTCTCACACCTTATTAAAAGGGCTCACTACAAACTAACTTTATTTTAATTCATGCTTTCTAAATAAAGTCGCTTCTTTTAAAAAAAGAATCACTTTCATAACCATCTACACAAGTTTTTATCTTTGAACCAATTATAATATATCAATATTAGTGGTAAAAGAATGAAGAGTTATTTGGACCTATATCGGATATTTGGTATATTTGGAATTCAAATTATTGACACCGCCTAATAAGTTTTGCATTCCACTGCATTTGCAATTTGGAGGCATATAGTAGGGGTAATTAAGACAACCAACCCTCCCTACATTTTCATAAACCTTCATACAACTCTGCTTTAGTTTCACTTAAAAAACTTCATATAGAAGGAAATATTGTCTTTCACTGGCATACTTTCATGGTAAAACTTAAATCCAACAATTCTCTATCCGGAGGAAGGACCACCGAACTCCCTCTCAAATGATGATTCATTTGAAACATGTGTCATGTCATTTTTTGAGGCATGCTCTCAAAAATGAAATTTGACTTTACAAAGTCACCAACATGTGTATTTTCTACATACTTCTTAGACATCCAAAAAAGAAGTGACACATCATTGATGCACTCGGTAACTATTAATTTCTTGAAGTATTTCTTAACAAATACGTACATGATCTCCTTGATTGTGTCTTTCATTCCAATGTGACGTTGTCTCATCATTGTCCTTTTGTAGTACGTACCGAGATAACTCTCGCTTAAACATATATTATTTTTCTTCTTAACAAAAATGGAAGTGATTATATATTATTAGCATGCAACTTGTTTATCCTCGTGGTGCAAAATAGAGTCTTGAAAATGAGCAAAAGAAGCTTCATCTCTCAAGTACCGTCAAAGGGGTTCCATAGGGGTCCCCCTAACACATGGTTGTTTTAAATTAAGAAGTAATTTAGTTAGCTTTCGAAAAACAACTCCCTAAACCAAAAAGGCAAAAGAGAAAAAAAAAAAAAAAAAAAAAGTCTTAAAGCAGCCCCTACTCTCCCAACCACATTGAGCATTAAATTTTGGAGAACATTATGCCATCACTACAGCTGTGTTGAAGAGAGAAAAAGAAGATGGGAATGGGATTCAGAATTCAGAGTTTGATAATATATCAGAAGAGACAGCCGCCATGAGTATTTGAGTTTATGGCCATAACCAGACCATTTGGCATTGACATTATTGTATTTACATACGTATTCGTGTACACATGGTGTGAAAATGAAGGAAACGGGAGTGGTGCAGGTACTTGGTCAACATCCTTTCATTTCTTCCCAGCATTTATAAAGGACGGCCACCGAGGGGCTGGAGCTGGTCCAACACTATATATTATAATATTATACATTGTATTATATATATGCTCACAACTTTGTGTAATTTGTCCTAAGAGATCAAAGCAAAAGTGAGAGCTTTATTTTTCTGGGTCAATTTGGGAAAGCAAGTGGAAGATAACCCATATCCTCCTCCTCTCTCTTTCCTTTCCATTAGGAGTGTACATCGGTCCATCGGGTCAGTTTTCAACCCAAATCGACATGAAAGTAAGGGAATAAGCTCCACTAGTTTCAGCTTTGTGTCATTTTTAGGGATTATTAATAATCCATTTCCTGTAGTTTCTTTTGTCTTATCCATCTTTGAAATCTTCGCCTTTTTTTTCTCTCCCCGTCCAAGGGCTGCTATCTCTATAAATCCCACTGGGATTGCTGTGTTTTTCATGAGGGTGAATAGAGGAAGTGGTGGTGGGCATAGAATATTTAATTGCTAGATCGTATTCATATCATTATCAGAGATTCAACAAAAGGTCAGGTGGAAAATGGTTGCTCCATTATCTTCTTGGCCATGGGAGAACTTGGGTATTTTCAAGGTACTTAATTTTGGTTAATTTGGAGACTAATTTTGTGTAATGCATATTCAAAATATGAAATTGTGTCTCTAATTACTGATGTGCATGTTGTGTTGAATGAATGGATGTATATGCAGTATGTGCTGTATGGGCCATTGGTTGCAAATGGTTTGTACTCGTTGTATGAGGAGGGGAACATAGTAAACAATTGGTGCCTCCATATTGTTTTAATCTCTTTACTTAGAGTGGGAATTCATACCTGCTGGAGCTCTTACAGCACCATGCTTTTCCTCACAAGGAACCGCCAGATTCTTCAACAAGGGGTTGATTTCAAGCAGATTGATATGGAATTTGACTGGTATGATCAATTTCTGCTTCCTCTGATTAATCAATAAAAAAGATTGAATTTTTAAATTAAAGATTGAAGTTTTATGGTTTGGGTTGCTGCAGGGATAATTTCTTGTTACTTCAAGCTCTAATTTCTTCCATGGTGATCTACCTCTTCCCTTGGCTTGGAAATCTCCCCCTTTGGAACACAAAAGGGTTTATTGCTGTTCTGATTCTGCACGTGGGAGTTGCAGAGCCTTTGTTTTACGTGTTGCATAGATTCTTCCACACCGACTATTTTTTTACCCATTACCATTCTCTTCACCATTCTTCCCCAGTCCCACAGCCCTTCACAGGTGACCCAACAAATTAATTAAATTAATCTTTTTTTTTCCCCTTTTTTTTGGGGTTAAATCTGAAAACTCTGTTTGTAATTTTCCCATAATGTAGCTGGAAATGGGACAGTTCTGGAACAGCTTGCGTTGAGTTTGGTAATTGGAGCTCCAATTCTTGGGACGAGTCTTCTAGGGTATGGATCAACGGCCATGATCTTCTGCTACGTTTTGATATTTGACTTTCTCAGATGTTTGGGGCATTGCAATGTCGAGATTTTCCCACATCGGCTGTTTGAAGCAATCCCAATTTTTAGATATCTTCTCTACACTCCAACGTAAGTACTGATCTGAACTTGTGTTTTACTTTTTGATATGGAAAATGGAAAAAAATAGTCAAAAACTGTAGCTATCGGCAAGAAATAAGAAGCTCCTCTAGTTTTTTGACACATTTTGCATAAATTTCTTTCATCATAAATGAGTTAGGTTCCAAAACCAGTACAAATTAAAAAAAAAAAAGAAAAGTAATATTTTTTTTACGTGGTCAAAGCTAAAAAACGTAATTTTCAGGTACCATACCCTTCACCACACAGAGAAGGGGACCAATTTCTGCCTCTTCATGCCTCTATTCGATGCCATTGGAAATACACTTCACAAAAACTCGTGGGACTTACAAAAGGAGATAAGCTTAAACTCAGGTCCGTCTCCCACCTAAAGTCTTTCTCCTTTTGAACTCTATATTTGTGGTTAATAAATCGCGTCATCGAAATAATTAATTTCTTTTAATACAATATGTGGGATAGAAGATTGAACTCACAATCTTTTGATTAGAGATATATGACAAATGCTTGCTTTAGCCCGATCAAATTAAAGTAGGATTTTTGGCTTTTTTAATACGTTTTAATTTGTTGCTCAAAACTTGTACGCCAAAACCCAACTCGATTCAGCCCTCAATTAATGGGTGGTTACAACTTCTCATTAAGTGCTAAAGTTTGAAAGGATACGGCTCTCTCACGTTAATGCGTTGGAAAAAGGTTCATATTGCAGATTTTTGGAGGAGCATTTATGATGCTGCTACCACACAACTAGAAACTCGTCCCTTTAAGCTTTAACTTTGCATTCACAACTAAAAGTACACAACAATTGCTTGCCTAACTTTCATCGGTGGATAGGACATGTATTTCAGTGATCCGATAATTCATTTAGTAGAAAGGAAATTATAAAGTAGTATTTTGGATGGAATTATATGGAATGGGGTTTGTGATATGGGTGAGAATAAATGCAGGAAAAAGAGGGAAGGTGCCTGATTTCGTATTTCTAGCCCATGTGGTTGATGTTACTTCATCAATGCATGCGTCGTTCGTATCCAGATTCTTTGCTTCACGTCCCTTTGTTACAAAGTTGTCCTTGCTTCCACAGTGGCCCATTGCCTTTATAGTGATGCTTCTCATGTGGGGTCGCTCAAAAACCTTCCTTTATAGCTTCTACAATCTCAGAGGCTGGCTCCATCAGACATGGGTTGTCCCAAGATTTGGCTTTCAGGTTTTTAATTTGCCTTTCATTTTGAAAATGTTGATTAATCTGGTGGGTTATTACTTATTAATTACTATTATTATGTTTTTGGTTGTTGTTGTTGTTTTGGTGGTTAATTTGTGGCAGTATTTCTTGCCATTTGCAAGAGAAGGCATCAACAAGCACATAGAAGATGCAATTCTGAGAGCTGACAAGCTGGGGGTTAAGGTCATCAGCCTTGCTGCACTTAATAAGGTAGGGGCTGCTGTCTGCCTTTATTTCTTTTGCAAAAAGTTTTAATGTAACTCTGATCATCTCTGAATTGGGTTGGTGGAGGATATTAATATTCTCTTCCAAATGGGTTTAATCTTCTCTCAGAGGACATGAATCATGTGCTCTCATTTATATATATCATACAAATTTAAGCCTTAAAATATATATTATATGTTTTCCCCCAAGACCCACTTTCGTGTATATATTTATTGTGGATGGGGCTGAAAGTGAAACAAAAACAAATATAATTTATTTGGGTTTTGAAAAAAAATAAAAAATGTGTGGTTTATGGACAGAATGAAGCTCTGAATGGTGGAGGAACACTTTTCGTTGAGAAGCATCCAAATCTTAGGGTTAGAGTTGTGCATGGGAATACCCTAACAGCTGCCGTCATTCTCAATGAAATCCCAAAGGATGTTAAAGAAGTGTTTCTAACTGGCGCCACTTCCAAGCTTGGAAGAGCCATTGCTCTCTACCTTTGTCGAAGGAAAGTTCGAGTTCTCGTAAGTCTCTCTCTTTCCTTTTTCAAGTAAAAATTCAAACTTTCAGACTCATAAAGTAAATTATTAATTAGTAACATGAAAGCTCTCGAAATTTGATGTTTATAATGTTATCTTTAACAAATTTTTTATTTTTTTGTTTGGTCATTGTAGATGCTTACACTTTCCGCAGAAAGATTTGAGAAAATACAGAAAGAAGCTCCGGCGGATTGTCAAAACTACTTGGTTCAAGTTACCAAGTACCAAGCTGCCCGAAATTGCAAGGTAACTCCACGAAGGATTATTGAGCATTAAATTAAACAACTTTTTTTTTAAGATGGTTGCCTTGGAAATTAATCTTGATTTGAGCTAATTTATGAAAAAGTAACAAGGCAAAGAGCTGGCATGTGGTATTGTGATTGATGTTGATATGTTGTGAAACTAAAACAGACATGGATCGTGGGGAAGTGGATCACTCCGAGGGAGCAGAGTTGGGCCCCCAGTGGAACTCACTTCCATCAATTCGTTGTCCCACCCATCTTGGCCTTCAGACGAGACTGCACCTACGGCGACCTCGCCGCCATGCGATTGCCCGACGACGTCCAAGGGCTCGGAAACTGCGAGGTATGCCATTAACCTCCTACTTTGATATTATATTAAATCACTCTTCACAAATTTATATATTTCGAGATAAATTTGTTTGTTTGGACAGTATACTATGGACAGAGGAGTGGTGCATGCATGTCATGCGGGTGGAGTTGTGCACCACTTGGAAGGATGGACGCACCACGAAGTTGGGGCACTGGATGTGGATAGAATTGACCTTGTTTGGGAGGCCGCTCTAAAACATGGCCTAAAACCCGTCTCGGCCTTGAAATAAAATATTTATAAAAAAAAAAAAAAGAAAAGAAAAGATCATTCTCACCCTTTGAACGTTTTCGATGCAGTCAAAAAGCTAATTACATATATGATTTGGTATATGGTAACCGAAGCAATGAATTGAAGCTAGCATTTCGATATTGCAAAGCCCTTTTTTGTTCTTTGCAGATACTATATAAATTTATATATATATATATATATATATATATATAAATGTATGATGTTGTCAACAAAATGAATTGTATGGGTGACTTCCATCAGTTTAGTCGATTAATTTGTGAATCACAAATATTTAACTTTACGAAATTAGTTTGGCATGTGAATGAAATTCATGCTTCAACGCCGATTGGAGCCTCGTTTGTGTGTGTGTCCAAATGTTGTTGTTCAACTGATTTTTGGGCTGACTGGTGGGCTCAAATTTGGCAGCCCAATACGAGCAAATGAATCAAACCAATTTTAATAATTTCTTTGGAGTTTGTTCCTGAGTGCTACGTGTCGAACTGCAGCAATCAGGCCACACGTGTCCCAAACCGCCAAGCGTGGCTGGATTCCGTTTGGACTCTGTTTTGTCTGCTTAAAATGAAGAAACAGAAACAGAGCGATGGAAAAGAAAAGGCATGGCGAAGAGAATTGTGAATGGGGGTGCGACAGTAACAGTAAAGAAGACGATAATGAAGCGGAGGAAGAAGAAAACGATTCACAAAGTGGTGGATTATCTGATTTCGGATTCTTACTTATTCGCTCCCCTGATTTCTTCTAATCCACCCTTCAATTATTCTCGCTCAACTCCAAAAGGTTCTTCCACGTTTCTTCTCCCCAAATTCTTCCTATTTCCTCTTTAATTGTGCCGTTTCGTTCTTGTTAGGGATCGAATTTCGAGAACGCAGAAAAGATAATCGGAGTTTGGTGAAGAAGATTGAGGATTATTTGAAATCCGATTGCTACATGTACGCTCCTCTAATTTTCCCCCAAACCCGAGGAAGAGGTACTTGATTTCTAGTTTCTGATTTACATAATTCATACAACAGAGCGAATTGAATATATGGAGTGGAGTGCGAATTATATATGGTGTGTAAAAAAAATCAGGCTGCTTAAAGAAGGTAACTACGGAGATTATGAGCGAATCGGCTGCAAATATGAAGGAATCGAGGACAATTTGCACTCCGGATAATCAACTGGCAAAGGATTCGCCACGTTTTCAAATTTTCTCGCTGAGAAAACTATGTGGTCATTAGGAATGAGGTGAATTCGCTTAGTTAACTTAAGAGTGTATTAGAAAAATTTAATGTTTCCAAATCTAATGCTTTAAACTCTTTAAGCTTAGTTTTAATAACTTAATTTGGCTATAAAAGTGTTAATAGTTTATTTGTTAGAGTCTGATAGGGTACTACAAGTGCTGAGGATTGTTGATGTTTTTAACATGTTCAAAAATCACTTCGACATTTTTGCTGAAAAATACCCAGCCTACAATACTAAAATAGAAGTTTTTAAGAACTAAATTACAAAATTTAGTTAGAGACAAATTTTTTATATCATAGTTAACCTTTTTCTTTTCTTTTCTTTTCTTTTTTTTTCTATGTGAATAACATGATCGTCTCTAATTAGCGGGTCAAGGCATATGAAAGTTTGATATTTTTTTGGTTCAAGATGATTTGGGTTGAGAATTTGGACTTTGTGAGCTATGATTAGAGAGTGGTAAAAGTACCACGATTCAATTTTTCATAACCATTAAATAATGAAATCATGAAAATAAATTATAAGTCCTCTCGGGTTTTTTTTTCCTTATTGATTAAGGATGAGATACACTTTATTATTATTTTAATACATGTGCTTAACTTGCTGAGTTAGTTGACTAATATTTATATGTTTTTGGACATATAATTATTGACGCAATTTTAATTTTGAAGAAATTTTCAAGGAATAGGTGGAAAGTTGCATTGAACTTTCGATGAAAAATGAAAGGCCTTGGTATTTAATAATTAAATTTTCTCCATATAAACTTTCACATTTTTCTCTTCCAACAGCCCTGTTAATGTGTGCACGTGTCATTCAAATTTGGAACCTAGCTCCCTATCTCTCTCTCTAGAATCTGAGCCTAGTTATCCACGTTTGAAAATAGATTATAAGACATTTTACAATTATTATTATTATTAATTTTTTTTTGAAGGGCATCAATTTTGATTTCAACTTTTATTGTTTTTAAAAATCGTACAGGTTTATTTACCAACAATTCTTGTTGATTTTCTATGTTTATAATTTTTCACATATAGAAAAAATATATTTGTGTATATATTTTTGAAGATTGAATTCTATTTGGGAAAATTTCTTGTACCTACAGCACTCACTTTGTTACTGTTTCTAGAAATTACTGACAGAGAATTAAATTTGTCAAAGTACGAGTTTCACGTTCATCTAACATGTCAAAATAATTGGGCAAGGAAATAGGTAAGAATTTAAGGGCTTCTACCTTCCGACTACATTTAGGTAGATATTCAAATTTAAAATTATTAATATTTTGATTTAATTGATTAAGATATATCTTTAATGTCGAAAGTTCAAGAAATGTCCGAATTTTTATATCATATGATTTTAAACTTTATATCAATTTAAAATTAAAAAAATGTTCGGTTGGAAATGGTGGTATGTCCTTTGTATATGTAGCGAGCAATGGACATAGATTATTTTGTTAACTAACAATTAACAAGTTTTCTTTCATACCTGACTCATATTTTATATTACTAATAGTTAACAAGTTTTCTCTCGCTTTTACAATTACAAACTATACTTTAAAAAATAAAAACAAAAACATAGGGACCCCTCTCCTTTTATGGTTCTTATCTCATCCACCATTCATGCTCGTACCCTTTATTCATGCCCTCACTACCCACCAACCAAAATTTCTTATTCACTTCTATTTATAATGCGGTGGATAATGCCGCAATAATCATTTTGAATATAATGTTTTTAAAGTAAAATTATAAACAAATAAAATATTAGTTTCAATTTTTTGTATTTTCTAAAGCTTTTTTTTTTTTTTTGTGTTTTTGTTTTAGATAAGTTATCATGTATTCTACGATAATATAATGTACCTCCACGCCTTCATAAATGCATGTAGCCCACTCTTATTATTTTCTTTAAAAAAAAATCGTATTCTATTATATAGGCACTTATCCCAGCGCCTGGATTGCAGCATTTTGGAATGTACACAATTTTGGATCCTTCTTCAATTACTTCTATAAAGCCACTTCAATACTCGTACAAAGAAGGGAAAAGAAAAAGTAGATGCACACCCGTGAAATTAGTTTATTTGAATTCTGTCAAATTGAATGTTGAAGTCAAATGAATGATATAATGAGTACTGTTTTTCTATAATCCAAGCTCAAACAAAATTCTGTCGTGCTATCGAAGTCGGTTAGGTGGTAACTGGTCGAGCTATAAGGTGCGAGTTCAAGACTTTCGAAAATGAAACAAACGTTCCAATGTTTAAGTCAGTATCGGCGCGAGCTCAAGTACGTCGTTTTTGGACCAATGGAGCAGAATTACGGTACCTCAATGAAGCGGCAAAGTGTTCATTTTATAGGTAGGCAGTTTGGGAGAAGGGGGAGACAAGGCTTTTGGAACCGCTCTGACCGGCTGTTAGGGACTTTCAGACCTATGTCGATTGTCGGACATGAAGTTGGAGTCCTCAGGTTGGAGAGAACTTAGTTAGTTCTCCAATTGACTTTGTAGTCTTCAGCTCGACCTATCTTCAGCTCGACCTCAATAGTAGGTTGGTTTTCTCCATTGGATTTCAGGGACGAATCTGAAGATACCGAACTGACTTGATTGGTCCATGTGCCTTTTTGTATTTTCCCTCCAACAAACTTTATTCTAGGACGAACTAATTAATTGATAATCTGGAATTCATACCCTACTTTAGATTTCGGAAAATTTTAATCGGTAACAACTCACATTATCATGATATAACAACACGAGTATGAATATGCAAATACAACAATTTTTTTTTTTAAATCCGCACTCCTTTTCAAATTTCTATGTATACTTTTTTGCCTCTTATATATCGCATGATATAATTGATAGACTAATAGACATTTCATATAGTTAAAAGTGGGAGAGTGAAGATATACCCATTAAAGAAAAAAAAGGGGGCCAAATTCATCTAAAACAAATACTAACAAACACAAAATGACAAGAATATACTCGAAACTGGGACGTAAAAATGAAAAAAATATACAAACAAACAAAGTGATTGAATTAAATTTCGTTATGAATTACATCACCTATTGAATATATGGTTCAATTTGATGTAGATAAAACATCTAAATTTAATAAGTGATCCACTTAATCAAGTACGTACTTTTATACATGGTGAAAAGTTAATATACATCACAAAAAAAAAATAACATTAAACTATTAATGAGAGGTCAGAAGTTAAAATTTAGCTCTAATTAATGAATTATAGAAATTTTATTAATAATTTTAAAAGACTAGTTATGATTATTCTAGTTGAACTATTTTTCTCATTATCGATTTATTTTGAGATGACTCAACTCAATTTCAACAGTAGAGTTATAAAAGTCTCTAAAAGTTGGGCAAAGGCTTAACGCATGTTATGTATTTTCATTGCTCTCAAAGTTATTCAAACTTTGGTTTAATGGTTGGATTTTAATCTTAATTAATCACATGCACCACATTGTTGGATTTTATATAAATTATAGAAAAATATATTTTTAGTCCCAGTAAAATAAGTATTTATTTATAATAAATAATAAATCTTAATTAATCACACCACAATATTGGAGTAAGGATTAAAATTGTCTATTTGAAATGACCAAATAGATATCAACTAAAAACCTCAGGATCAAAAGTCTTCATTTTGAAACCTTATAAACCAAATAGAAACTTACTTATTTTTCCATAAATTATATCACAAACACCCTTTTCAAGTCAATTATTAAAATGTCATTCAATAACTGTTACGAAAATTTTGCCAAGAATCCTCTTGTCAACACAATTATATTCCAGAATTATTGAACTAAAACACGATAATAATAAATAGTGAGGGAAGGAAATAATACACACAAAAATTTAAAGTGATTCGACCAAATTGGTATGTGCAAGATGTGTCACCAGTTTCATTAGCATCTCAACATTTAATCGAGCTCTTACAATCAGAAAGAATCAAGCCCTCAACAGAAATTGAGAAAGAAAAAAACCCTCAGTAGCTCTCTGTTCCGTGGAGAAGAAGAATGAAAAGAATAATCCAGAAGCCCACCCCCACTTTCTCTTATATTTGAGAAAGAATTACATTTCATTCAAAATCCCCAAAAAACTCCTTTGTAACAAACTTTACTGACAAAGCAATACAAAGGGTACAGCTCGTGAAGAGCCTATGAAGGATGGTACAGCTTCGGCTCCAGCTCAATTAAAAACTTCAACTCAAGTCATGACTTGGGTCAATGGAATAACAATAACCATTTCGGTTTTTATTTTTTGTCTTAAAAAATTATGTGTATTTCGTTTTACAATTTCATAAGTAAATTTTTTTTATCTCTAGCAAACATATTTGAATTTTTAGTCCAATTTTAAAAATAATAATATAATAAAATTTTAAAATTTTTTTTTGAGAAAGGATGAGCTTCGAGAGAATAATGTAGAGTTCTTGGAGGGTGGAATCGTGTAGTACCAGATACGAGATAAATCTTCCAAAGAATAAAGCTTTTTTCGAATAAACCAATTCATTTGGGATACTAGAGATTCAGTATTTTTCCTATTCAAAGATCAGTCTTTTATCTCTATATTTTCACATCGAGAATTCTTTACCGATGATGAAACATCAAACACGTTGTTTACCTCCCCAACAAATCTTCCTAAAATTTTAACTAGATTTTTAAAATTTTATTGATAAATACTATTTTATTGTCCGAAGAAGACAAAGTAGGTATTTAAAAAAATAAAAAATCGAAGACAAAATAAGTTTTTGTGGGTGGCATTATACATGGTGATATAGACCAATGGGTTGTGTTTGGGTGTCAGAAATTCAGGCTTCGAGTACGAGTACTGACACCAACTCTATTAAAGTAGAGCCGCAAATCACGGGCTGCCATTACCTTCTACTTCTTTTTTCCTTTTCTAAATTTTATAATTATTTACTCTACTCAATTTAAATATTTCAATTATTTCTTAAAAAGTTGTCCCAGTGAGATGAACTTACATTTTAAGACACGTATGCATCTATAAATACATACATAATCACTAAATGGAATATAATTTTTTTTTTCGTTATTAATAAGGTCAATTATTTTGGATGAACATTAAATCAATTTTTAATATCCTGAAATGGTTTAATTTATATGATGTTTAAGTATTAATTAAAAAAATAATTAAGGCGGTGGAAAATGCATAGAGATTGGTGGAGTCTAGGGTAGCTGCTTGAAAAGGAAAATATTGCAAGTTGTTGTACTGTTATCATGCGGGTGCTGTTGGATCTATCTAAATTATATCAATAAGATTACTACATGCTATATAAAAATATATGCGAATGTCCATAGTTTGAGAATAAACTATACAGTATGGTTGTAACCATTGTTACTGTAGTTTTGTAGTTTTAAATCATTAAATTTATGATATAAATTAAAAATTAAAGCTATATTTTAAATATGCATTAAATAGTAATTGGTTATCAAAAAAAAAGATTTGTTTTTAGTACAAGATGTGGGGTGGAGGATTGTGATTGGAGATATATGTCAATTACTGTTGAATTATAGAGAAATTCTTAATTTACCTCTAAACCTCTTATAATATTAATTAAGTTCAAAACCAACTGTTTAATAATGATTACCAGGTATTATTTGATACCACTCATCGCTCTACAATCTTTTTAAATTGAATTATTCTTCCTATTTATACCTTTTTCATTTACTGTCCCATAAAGTGAAAATTATATACAATAGTTATTCACATATATAAATATTATAATTTGTTCAAATTTGAACAATGAAAACTATTTTACTCATCTTACATAGAACTTATTATCATGACATTAGATTATTTATATATTGCTCTATAGAAAATATCATGTATCTCTAAATTCTCAAGAGTCTACGCTAATGACAGCTCAAATAGTAGAGTTAGTTAATTTATAGTCTCTAATCTAGAAAACTAGAATTTAAATGTCTGTAGTGTACGCTTTATTTTTACTTTATTAAAAAACTAATGAAAAAAAAGTTACTTGAATAGCTACGTATTAATGAAAGTTCATTAATATTGAGAGGATTGTAGGGTTTGGTTTAGCCAGGAGTGAGGGGTAAGAATTGGGAAGCACGTGCACCTGTTTTTGGGATTATTTCCCATTTCCCTGCATGAAAATTCAACCAAATCACCTCTGTACGACCCATGACCCACTCGAGAATTGGATTTCCAGATAAATGCTAAAGAATAGAAATTAATTATGAAAAATAAAAAAAGAAAAGGGTTGGTTTCGAAAGAAAAATACTTGGCTCCTTTCTTGTGGATACCAAATTTTATCTTCACTGCCGTTGAAAATTTGACAAATTTTTTATTTTTTTTTAAAATATATTTGTTTTTGTATTTCTCTCTTTTAACGGTGGCGAATGTTTTTCATTTTATGTTACGTAGTTATTTGTTTCACATATTAAGAGAGAGAGACGCAGAACAAAGGCAATGCTATGCTTTTAAAACATCCATGTGGAGTCCATGTGGAGGATCACATTTCCCTCCTTCACCCTTTTTTTGCTCTTGGCCAAAGCAAATTAAAAGCCCTCCCCATGCCCTAGAATTTCTCTTCTCGTAGGACCCATTGCCCTATTTGCATGTTTTCCGGATCCTGCCAAACCCCTTTTTCTCTCCCTCTCCCTCTTATTTCTCTCTCTACAGTGTTACATTTTTTCATATGTTATCCAAATTATATATATATATATATATATATGATATACATATTTTGGAAGAGCATGGGTTGACTTGCTTTCCTTCACTCCTCTGCCTTAACCCTCAAAGATTATGCATTAATTATATAACCGAAAATTCAATCTTCACATACATGTGTTTGTTGAGTTGCCTTTTACTTACTTTTTAATTTAGAGGCTCAATTAAAGCTCATGTGGGGTTCTTGATCTCTCTTTAATTAATTTGTGATTGATTTGACTTTGAGAGGTGATTTTTACCGCAGTTAACCGCGGTAAAAGCTTTCTAGTCAAACATAAAAAAGAAAGAACTTTGTGGATAGAAGAAAAAGGTGGCCAAAATCTAAAGTGGTGAAATGAATGATGATGATATTTTCTTATCTATATATCAAAGTCTCTCATTAAGTTTCCATAGATATTTTTGAAGCGTGTCATAGCCCAAGTGCCAACTTCTTTTTCTCTCCATGATCATTTTGATTTGAATTGAACTTTAATTTCTTTAAAAAAACTATAGTAGAGAATCTTAATTTTTAAAAACAAAACCTCATCAGCTAAGTCTTAAATAAAGTGTATTGATTAATTGGGTAGCCAATTAGCATGATAATTTGAGCAAACATATATATATTACTTTTTGTTTATACTCACTCACTCACCTTTGATTTATGAGAAGGGTGAGTTGGATGGAATAATTAATACATAGAAAGTTCAATTTAGCTTTTGGAATTGCCAAAACAGAAGTAACCAAAATGAATGAGTGGAAAAGACCAGTTTTAGCAGCAAAAATATTGAACTTCTTTCCCCTTATTATTATTATTATTATTTATTGAATCCTGTTATTTTGCTCTTATGGTTGCGTGTGCGTTGCCTCCATATGTTGTGGAGAAAAATGGAAGTTTTATTATTATTATTATTATATATTTTCGTATATGCACTGATTTTGACAGTTTTGGTGACAACTTGTGTTGGTATTCTGTGATATCGTCATCCCAACTTCCAAACAGTGCCACAACAACCTTCACTTTGACGAAGCTTAATTCCGCCACTTAAGCTTCCTTGTTTCTACTTTGTAGCTAATTATCCCCACTTACAGCCCCTTTCGGTTCCTTTTTATCACTCTCTCTTTGCTTTTTTGCTCATTATATCATCACCTACACATTTAACTAAACTATATGCTTTACCTTTCTTTTTTATTATGGGTTTCTTAATTTTAGTTAGAGCTAAGAGATGATATATTGGTCTATAGTACAAGGGCGGATTTTCTTAAACATGATTAAACTACTATTAATAAATTCAAAAGTAACAATATAGGACCTCATACCCTAATATCATCTTAAACATGATTTCAATCATTAATCAACTCAAAAACTTAATAAATGAAATTTTGAATTAACTTAAAGGGCTTATGCACCCACTCGTTGTCGTATAAACCTTTTTTAAGTGGGGGTGTAAGCCCCGAAAATCTTTGGTACTTTGGTAGGGCGAGCTGCCCTTTTTGCGCTTGGATGCACTCATATCGCACATGCCAGTAGTGAGATGAAAACTACCACTATTTATTTAGTGGTTCCCGTGCCGCCACAATGTTAAGATGACTAACTAAAAGGGAAAAATGTTCGAGATATTAGAAAGTTGTCTCTGASTCCCTTGGTTGAGGATTGTGCCTCCCTACCTTTCGATCGATACACAGTTGAGTAGGTCAATCACGGATGCTAATTATTAACGTATTACCAAATGGATTTAGATGAGCTAAATTGAAAAAGAAGAGAATGTCCTTAATCCACTCATATGGTAGATAATATTGAAAAGAAAAAACGACTGGCATGAGTATTGTGAGTGAAGGAATTAAGAAGAGAGAAAAAAGTATTAATGAGAGAATTAAATGAGGCTTGGCTAATGGTGCCACCTCCCTTTAGTTAATCTCACACACTCTTGTTTTCCTTTGATTTGTTGTTGTTGTTAGTTTTTTTGTCACTTTTTAAAATTTGATATATACCCTTTAGGGTTTGGTGGTGGGACAATGACTCCATGTGCTCGCATGTGCTGTGTCTCTCTCTAAATGGCCCACCATTGCCCCTCCTTTAACCACATAAATTGGTTTCTTTTCTGCACATTCTTCTCCTTCTCATGCTACCTTCTCTCTCTCTAAAACTCTCTTGGATCTCTAAATCTTCTTCTTCTTTCTGCCCCCTTCTCAATTTCACACTACTTTTCATATCATTTTATCTCCTCCCTCGTTAAACCACTTAATTCTAAGGTATGTTCATTACTATTATTCCATGCACCCATTATGTTATACATAAATGTGCCCTTTTTAATTTCTGTGTTGTTTATTTTCAATATAGCAAAATGTGTAATCCGAGCACACTGAGGAGAGAATTCCTCAAGAAATGGATGATGGGTCTCCAAATATTAAGCAATAACGGTTGTGGCTCCATGACGGTCTCCGAGAGAAAAAAGGCCATCAAGTTATCGGCAGACATAGCGTTGGCCTCCTCTAGAGACTGCGCCACGCGGTGGAGCCGAGCGGTCATCGCCGGCGCGGTCGGGCGGAGCGTGTACTGCCAGAAGGCCAAGAACAAGCTGCAAAGTGGCTCGAAAAAGATCTTGAAAAGAAGCCGCCGTGTATGGCGGCGGAAAACATCATGCAGCCGGAAGCCAGCGGCGGCGGAGTCGGTTGCGAGGAGATTGGTGGAGAAAAGAACAAAAATTTTAAGAGGGCTGGTGCCGGGGGGTGAATTTATGGACGAGATTTCGCTGATTGAAGAAACCCTAGATTACATATCGGCTCTCCAAGCTCAGGTTGATGTAATGCGGTGCCTTGCAACTGCTTACAAGCCATCAATCCATGATCATGAATAAGGGAATTAAATATCTCCCCCCCCCCCTTTCTTTTTCTTTTTCTTTTTCTTTTCTGCCCAGCATTCGATCGTATATGATGAATGGGATGTGGAGAAAATCAAGGCCTTTTTGCACATATATAATTTAATTTAAGTTAATGTAGTCATAGTTTTCAAAACATTGCTGAGCTTATATATTGATCGATGTATATATAATATAAAACTAATTATATGAATTATTAATTATTTATCTCCATTTTTATTTGGGTGAAAATGGTAAGTGGGAAATTGGATAATTCATAATTCCGAATCAAGCATTAAAATTGGTTTAATTTGGAGTTTTGGAATAGTGTCAAGTGTGTGTACTGTGATTTATTAGTGCTGCCTCGTGACCGTTTTGTATTTCAATTCCTTGTTATATATATGTCGCATAATACAATACACAAATCTCTCTCAAAAGTTTCCTTCTACCACCACATGTTATGTTGAGTTTAAATTGAAATGGGTTTTTGTTTGGAAGCTCCTGGATTTCAAACAACATGAACATGTGGTATCCTTCTCTCTTGTGATTAAGCAGTAATAAATTTATACTCTACTTTTTTTCTTTCTAGCTTGAGTGAAGTTATATATAATGATTATATTACAACTGCGAATTTAAGGTAATATGGTGTGTACGGGGATGGGAATTCATTTCATTTATTTTTCTGGCTAAGACATTTTGCTCTACTTTTTTTTGGAGGGGAAGTTCAATTCCTCATCTACACATTTCTTTTTTGTATTAAAATAAATAAAAATCAATCAATCAAGTTTTTATTTCTTTTTTCATAAAGTTTAAAAGATGTAATACTTTTATTACTTAATGCAATTAGTTTGAGTAACCTATAAAGAGATCCACTAACTAAGTTTTTTTTTTTTAAGTTTTATAATAGATGTTCATATTAAACCATAAATCTTTGGAAGATGTACACAAGAAAAAAAGAAAATGGAAAAAGTTACCTATGAGTTTCGTAAATGATGTACAGATGTAAATAAATAAATATATATATATATATATATATATATTATTTTTTTTGGGATGATCATGAATACGAACATCTATATTGATATGTTAGCTTTTGAATAGAGTTCAGAAGTAAAGTAAGTTGGTATAATGTTAAGTAGGGCTGATATGGTTAAGGCAAACAAATTAAGGGAAGGAAATTAGATTCTTTAATTTCTATAGAGATCATGTAAAGAATCATATACCTCCAATAATATCCATGCGAAAAGCGTATTAAAAACTCTTTAGTTATAAGATTTTATTTGACACATAGAAGGACTTCATAACAAACAAAGTCGAAGGCAGTTATTTGATAGGGAATTTATGATAAGTTAGAAATTTATGCGGAAGAATTGTGACATTTTTCTACTTTCGTTTTGTTGAGGCGCTCCTTGCAACATTAATCGTCAAATAATTCTCGCGAGAAAGCGAGTTTTCTTGTAACATATCTGTTAGAGATAAAAGGCCTAATTTGAGGGATGCCAAACTTAATTAGCTTCTATATATTTAAGTTAAAACAAAATTAAATATGTGGTAAGACTTGGGGTGTGTATTAGTCCATTACATAGAATCGTGAAAGATTAGTCAAAGAATGTGACGGATTAGTTAACCTATCTTTTTAATTAAATAATGTAATATGAATATAGATGACTCTTGCTAAATAAATAGGTGTCCATAGAAAAATAATTATAAAGCAGCATGTTGATTTTAGAATGGGGATGGATAAATTAATTTAGATATCCAACAAAACAAGATTTAGGAGGAAGATATCGTGTGGTATTAATTGGATGTGATTAAATTAAAAAATGAAGGTGGCTAGATACGTTTGGGCACGCTGACAAAACAAATTAATTAGTCCATGAATGTCGCTAATTATACTCTTTTTTATTGTATAAGCCTTAGTGGGCCCACCTCTTGCCGCTCCAATTATATTTGTTCACTTTTAAATTTATTTCGCTCCGTTCGTTACTTTGCGTGCCAGCTGTCGTTTTCCTTTTCTATTTCTATATTTCCTGATTTAGGTAAATACAATACAGAAATTAATATTAAGTTTCAATATTATTTTCGTTCCCATATTTTTAAGTTTTTGTTAAGTTTATGTATTTTCAAGATTCAAAAGTAGTTTTAGTATCCGTGATTTAAGTAATAATTTAAATTTAATTTGAGTATAACTCAATGCATCTGTATGCAGGTAAAACAGGGTAAGTTTAAATTTCTGCTCTCACATGTTATACTTAAAAAACGATACTAATTTAGTACAACATGTGGGGGTGGGGTTCGAACTCGTGACCTTTTGGTCATACCTAACAATTTAAGCTATGCTCGGTTTGGCTTTCAAAATGCCTACTTTGATCTCTGACCTCTCAAATTTTATTTATATTTTAGTCTCTTCACTTTTATAATGTGACAATTGTGGCCTTATTTGCAAAGTTTTAACATAAATTTTATAATCATAAAAGTCTTTTAATACAAATTTATTGTTACATTTTTAAAAAAGTTATGGAGGCTGATATTGAACTAAAATTATGATTGGAAAAACTGAGATTAAAAATAAAATGAAGAGATCAAAACAATCCTTATAAAAATATATGAACCAAAATTGACATTTTGAAAATACAAGACTAAGATATTTACACAAAAACCGAAAGTATGGTCATTTTAAAAGTACATGGATATAGATTAAATGGTATCTAAATCTTAATATTATTTTCTAAGACTTTTCTTTTGTGATCCGAAACATTATTTTATATGTTTCATTTTCTTTTCAATTGCACGGATTTGAAAAATTAATAAAGTAGACGATAAAATTAAATTATAGAAGTAGGACGATATATATATTGTTCTATAGAAGTTAGGCTAGTAGCATAAAGCATGTGTCATTTTGGGGGAGAACTATAAATAATTTCAATTAAAATGAATACTTGTATGGTGGGGGGCGACCATGTTCACCATATAGTATGAACTTTTTGCATCTGGAAAACAATGTTTTTATTAATAAAAATAAAATTTAATTATCTGCTTACAAACCAACCATTTTAATAAATAAAAGTTAAAATCATTCGAACTCACAATCTCTTAATTTGAGATATATGTCAATTAACTCTAAAGTTTCGACCATTTTGACTTGTTATATTAATATAAAACAATGAGAATAKAAAAACTATATTTCTCATTTCCTATCATTATTTTCCTTTTTTTTATTTTTCATTTCCTATCGTTTTAATTTATAAATGAAAGCTAATTAAATTCCATAGGGTTGGGTCACAAGCAACTATTTTCATGTCCAAAAGGGACAAATGTCATGATGGACCCTTCATAATTTAATGGGTCATTTACAAAGCCCCATAGCCCATGATTCTCTATGAAATGGGCCTCTGTCTAACACATGTTCCAATTTTGGACTTTCCCTTTAATTTAGTTTATATTACATTATCCTTTAAAATAAATAAATAGCATGAAAGTTGACACAGAAGGTTCGATTATCTATCTTAACTTAAATATATTTATCAATAACAACTGTATGGGTTGCAAGTTGATATATTAAGGGATAAATTCACAATTGATCAGAGTGCAAAATATGTTATTTTAATCTAGAAGAATGAGAAACAATTTAAGGTTTGTGTCGAAGAAAAATCAAGAATTTAACTTAAAATAAGTGGAACTGGGAGCGAGAATTCGAACTACAACTGTCTAATCGAAGATATGTGCCCAGTAACTCGAACTGGTCATAAAATAAATTAATTATTACTTAGATCATCATAAATACATTATTGAGTCCATTTGAGTCATTGTTTTCAAATTTGTATGGTTGTTAAATATTATTGTTTAAAAAGATGCAGGATGAGTATTTCATTTTTATTATTGCTATCTTGTCTAATATAAAATACATCAAAATATCTGTAATAATCCTTCCTAATATTAGGCGGCCTATCTCTGTTTCGTGTGCCATCATGARCATAGTCAAGTGATCAAGATATTATTTACTTAGAAAGTTCAAATTTTATACCTTGTTGAACTAAAAATAATAATAATGATGGAACATATTTATTAATAATTTTATTTGTAAAAAAATATATAGATATGTATTTTTATAAAAATAATATTTAAAAAGTGTCATTATAATACTATATGTTAAAAAGTGCATTACTTACTAAATTGATTTTAATTTTGTAAAATTTATTTTTAATAATCATCAATTTATAAAATTCATAACTATAGTAATGATCATTAATTGAAGTGTATAGCAATTTTAATTATCATATTTAAACACCTTTTCAGTTTCTATTTCTGCATTATTTTACTCTTGCTTGGTTATATTTACAGCCAATATTGAAGATTCTGATTTAGAACTAAAAAGCGATATTCCATTCTCAAACGCATCATTTCAGACATCATATTATCCTTATAAAATTCATTAAATTAAACAACCTTACCATGATATCACTTCATAGAAAGCTGAAATAGAATAGAGCCAGAAGAGTGTGAAAATGTCTCTATTATTGTGAGCAAACTATACTATTTTAGTATTTTATATGATTTTACAGCACCACATATATTAGCTTAATAATTTAAAAAAAAAAACTGAAGAAAATTTGAGAAGGAAATAGTGAAAATATATGTTCACACGTGACAGTTTGTACGAGATGAGAGGAAAAGAAAAGAAAGGTGGGTGTTTCAACTTTCAAGTGAGAGAATATTAAGTAGTTAAAAAAGTTAAATAATTGCAAAAATAATAACCATGTCCAACCATTAAGCATATCAATTATTAACAGTTATAATTTATTGATTTATGTACTTGAATTACAAATATTGCTTTTTATTAATTAATTTTTCAGTACAAATTATAAAGCTTTTTAGTACAACAACATAATAAAGGTAGGAATTTAAAATCCGACCTAATATGCTCGAATTTTTGTTATAAATCTCTAATTTTATTTTATCAACTTTTAACTTACTAGTAACTTACTAGTAGATAATCTCTCAAATAGACCTGGTGATGAAGTTCTACTGGCGAGGGTATGGACAAGCGCATTCGCATTCCATATGGATAAACCCTATGATAGATTTTGTGTTGCAAGTGAGAGTTTGAACTTCTTTTTCTACCATACAACTATTAAGAAAACTTAATGAATTCGAGGGAATCTTTATCTAACCCAACTTTAACATACTAATTGACTCAATTGTCAATTAAAAATATATTTATCATAATGATGCATGGTCCTTATTCACAGCCTAATTAAATTAGTTAAAGTGACTTTAATTTTAACCTATGAGCTACATCTAGGCATGAGAGTTTGATCACATGAACAAAATGATGACAGACACCTTTAAGGCATTAACAGCAAAAAGCTGAATGAAAAATAGCCCTTAAAAGCATAATTAAAAAATAAATATCTCTCAAAAAGCTACCTTTAAACATGAGAAGCCTTTTCATAATTCCTTCCAATTTAGAAAGCTGAGAGTTCAAATCATACAAACTAAAAGTGCTTAAATGAGGATGTCATGTAATTATATTACTCTAATGAAAGCTTGTTCAATGATGCCATTTAATTTCCACCTTTTTGAAAAAGCAAAGAAAAATTTCCACACATCAATCATACATGTCTGCCTTTCCTTTTTATCAAGATATATATTGTCCCTAGAAGCATGCTTTGGTTATAATTATGCCTTTTTTTTCTTGGTTGACTGTTGGGGGTATAGAGAGTTGTTAAGTGGTGGCCCTTGGACAGCTCTTCCCGAGTATTTTTTCGATGCTTAGCTAGAGCTTATGGTTTACATTTAAAGAATCTAAAGAGAAAGGCCCCATTGTGTATATTATCTTTATATATGGTTTTATCCCACAAGCCTTTGCATATATGCTTCTTCAGTGGTTGGCATGTGTTTCTCTCTCTCTCTCTCCATCCCATGGAAATTAAATTAAATGAAATCTTATATATAATTCAAATCCAATAACAAAAAAGAAAAAAAGTAGGCCCTCAGCTTGTTCATTGACATTATAATAGTATATAATATGTCCAAACACACCCTTTCCAACTGTCAAATCTCCTCATCCATCCAACTCTTCCAATGCCTAGTAACTTTTTTTCAGACACAAGAAGCTATGGTCAGTGAATATGACTTTTCATTGTTAGATTTTTTCTAGTTTAATTTGCAGCCCTCTTTTTTACGTGGTATGATATTTGTTTACTATTTTAGATAGATGGGAGAGGTGCAGTTAAATAGAGTGTTTATAAATATTTGAAGCTGTTTTCCAAGAGGCCAAGATCACCTAGTAAACTTGCATATTTTGTTCTCAATGGAAGGGAAATGGAATTTGAGTAGTAGTCCTTCTGCAGCACATCCTGAGACAATGGACGTGCTTTCACAAGCATGGTGCAATTTTGCAGTTCAAACCATCCACCCTGAGCTGCAAGATCACAAGCCCCTCGTTCTCTTAGACAGCCACACCCCAGTCAAAGAGCTCGATCCTTTTCCGGTGAGTATACTTCTTGGATTATTTAACAAAATTTCCTTAACAATTAACCCATTTTCTTGTTTTTTAGTTCTGGTTTTAGAGGCTGATTTTGAGTGTATGCAGAGACTGGAGAAAACCGTAAAGATGGAAGCTGAAGATCATGTCAAGCCCATTCCACCATGGAAATCAAATGATATGAAGGTATAATTACCCATTAATCTTTGTCATCACTTCAAACTAATGCCTGTTAATTTTACTTAAAAATGTTGTTTTTTCTTGTAATTTCAATTTTGGTCTTGTTTATTTTAATATATTTACTTTTAGAATAGGTTCATTTTGATCCATGTATTTTTAAAAGGGGAACATTTTGATTCGGTAGTTCTATTTTTAATCTCATTTTTATATCATGATTTCAACACGACGTTAAACCTAACATAAATATTTATTGAAAGGTAACCTATAAAGACAATATTTTAACCTTATTTAATAATTGTGACATTTTTTTTCAGTCGTTTATATGGATGCAACAAGCAATGCATCCGGAGCTGAACTACAGTGGTTATTTCCGAAAGAAATGGGTAAGTTTGGTAATGGACGTACGACTCAGCTCAATTATCTATCTCAATTATAGTTTTGATCCCTGTGGTTCATGACTTTTTATTTTTGTTAATATAATGATTAAATTAAGCTTAAAAAACACATTTGGTCTCAATACTTTCGCTAGTGAACTTCAGTTGGTAACGTTTTAGTCCCTGTATTTTTCCTAAAGCAACAGTTTAAACAAAAAAAAAAATTCACGATAAGGACTAAATCGTTACCAATTTAAATTACAATGACTAAATTGTTACCTATTAAAATTTAAGGACTAAATTGTTACCAATTTGAAAATACGAGGACTAAATCGTTACCAACTAAAATTCAATGATTAAATTGTTAATTTGGTGAAAATACATGGACTAAAAATGTTTTTTAACCTTACTTCATGAAAAATATAGGTCCCAACTAATGGGAGAAGTATTAGTGTGAACGTTAACTAATAAATTATGATATGGACAAAAAAGTAACGATATTTTTAACGACCAAGATCTATAGTTAAATTACACTTTTAATCTTAATTCTTTTAACATTCTGTCTATAGGAAATTATTGAACATGATTGTCAAAGTAGGAATATCCCATAATAATGGTGGATATAGCTTGAAAAATTGCATGCTTCTTAATAATTTAACACATACATATATATTTTACTTTTTCTCTCATATGCATCCAATAGTGGAAAACTAGACATATTGGGGCGACAGTTTATAATATTTCTAAACTGTTAGATTTTAGAACAATTGTAATAGGTCCTAGCATAGTATTCTTATACATAGACAAAATGATATATCAAATGAGCTAGGAATAATTCAGAGGGAATAGGTTCAAACCGTACAAAACTGATCCGTACACTCACAGGTATTAAAAAATAAAAGATATACTATTTTTGTATAATTGATAAATTATTTATTAATATATTAAATATAGAACAAAGTGTCACATACTTTTAAAGAGACAATCAAATGTTGGAAATGGTGGATGTCACATCAAATAGTGGAAGAATTTAAAAAACGTCATATAAGTTGAAACTAACACATTATACGTTTAATACGTTATAAACTAGTATTATTTCACAAATAAAATTTGAAAATAAGCATTATTTTTAAAAGAAAACATCCTATAATCGGTGACATGGTGGTTCATTTTTTAAAAATGTTTTATAATGTGAGCTAGGAAGCTGTTGAAATTTGAATTGAGCGGTGGTTTGCAGTTTGATTGGAAGATTGTGCCATTCAAGAACTTCTCGATCAAGAAATGGATAAAGGAGATAAGACAGAAGCGAAAAGACGAAGAGAGGGTTCAGAGGGCAGAAATCCACGCGGCTATTTCGGTGGCTGGCGTGGCAGCTGCACTTGCCGCCATTGCAGCAGCCGACACCTCACCATCAAAAGATCATGACAACTCAGGTGCGTGCGGGAGGGACGCCGCCGTGGCTTCCGCCGCCGCCTTGGTCGCCGCACAGTGCGCCCAAGTGGCCCAAGCAATGGGCGCCAAAAGGGAACAGCTCACCACTGTCATTGCCTCAGCCATGGCCACTGCCACTGCCACCGACATTCTCACCCTCACCGCTGCTGCAGCAACATGTACATATAATATCTTGTCCTCTTGTTCTACATTTGGGTCCAACAGCCCATCAGTCCCAAATCCATTTCTTCTTATTGAAATGTTTTTTATAAGATAATATGCGTAAATTCAAACTCACGACTTCTTTTATTTGTTGACTAATTGAGATGTTTTGTTATCTCTTTTTGCAGCCTTAAAAGGTGCGGCCACGCTTAAAGCTAGATCTGAATATAAAAACAGGTCGACTGGAGTTTCATCCGTGCTACCTATAGAAGACAACCATGAGATTGATTTTAACCTTGAAAAATCAAAATCCACCCTTGCTAAAGGTCTCATTCTCAAACTTGAGTCACCAAATGGTAAGACACATCTTTCAAATTAGAGGGAAAAAACATTGTTCTAATCCTTATTTGTTTTTTTTAAATCATACACTAATTTCTTTCTTTCTTTTTTTTTTTAATTACTGAAATAGGAAAGTACAAGAAGAGATCAATCTCCATCATCCAAAATAGCGACACCAAGGTTTGATTCTAATCTTGTGAAATAATTTTATGTCTGCTTTGATAATCCTAGAGTAAAGACACTATTGTTTTAAAAAAATTATATTGAGTTTGCAGGTCATTCTTAAGGTTAGGAAGCTTAATATGTTGAAGACTAAACAAGAAAGTAAGTCATTTTCACTCCAAAAACTTCTTGTTATACTCCTCATAGTAAAATATGAATTTGAACTACGAAGTTGGATAATTAGTTCATATCTATGCAGGTGTCGTGTTAGATATGTATATTGAGTTATACAAAGATGAAAATGAAGAAGAAGATGACAATGACGACGAAGATATTCATACATGTTATCTGATTGTTTTGACGACAAATAAAGGCACATTTAAACTAGACATGGCTGATGATTATCATAAATACAAGATATGGGTAACTGCCATAAATCAAATGCTTTTGCTTTCTGCTCATTCTTTCACAAGATTATGAACTTTTTGTATCGGTGTTATGATATTGTTTCATGTACTACGCTATGTTTCCCTAATTCAATATTTGTGATCAAATTATATGGTGTAAATTAGTACATATTTTCATCTTATATTATATGAAAATTCTTCCCTTTTGTCACCTGTGTATATGAAATTAGCTCATTTGCCTTGGTATATAACCGTTTTTATTGTCCATATTTTGTCGATCACAAATAATTCCTTCATTTCTAACATACGCTACCAGTAATATGGACCTATTGAATTTAACTTAATCCATTAAAGTTTGTTTTTAATTAGCAATTACTTAATTCTAAAATCAATCAATGTATTATGTACTCATGATAATTTGAAATAAATATTATGATTACAAGAATTAATCAATGGATTATGCACTCATAATAACTTGAAATAAATATTATTACTGCAAGATATTTTCTTCACATTCAAAATACTATCAATTAACAATAACCTAAACATAGCTAATTAGTTCATATTATACAAAAAGCGGAATATTTCAATCTCATAGTGTTGATGCAGAAATTTGGCCTCCTGGAATTCCGTCATATTCGCATTAGCTTTGGTTTACTTCCCTATTTATAAGAGTCGAATCCTGATACATTTAAGAAATCTGATTATCTGAATCTGAAGAGAATTTGAAGATATCTTGAATATAGGATATCTGAATCAGGCCATCAACATATCTTCCATTTGAATTTCTTAAATAAAGGGAATTTGAATTGTGGTATGAAATAAAATAAAAAATTATAATAGACTACATAAAAATAAAATGAATATATTTAATACAAATTAGTAAAATTTTTATGTTAAAAATTAAATGATAGATAAAATATTTTATCAAATTAAATATTTTCACAATGAAGTTTAACATATTCATACATCTAAACTTATTATTGGCATATTCAAATACGACCTTCCAACTCAAACCATTTCTCAAAGAGAACCAAAGTTCAAATAGATATGACGATTACTACTTTGAGATTGAATTTTTGATTCTGAAAGAAAATTATATATCTGTAAGAAATTATGAGGAACTCGAATGCTGGAAAAATATTTCAAGAAATTGAAGGAATAATTCCAACTTTGTTTTCCTCAAATCCAATTTGTCTGGGCAAAATGTTCAGTTCATGAAGTGACGAATAAAAAGAAAAGAATCACTCCGGCGACATAGAGGACAGGACCGAAAGCTGGAAAAATAAACTAGTCATCAGCCGCCGCTGATTATCAGTTATCATCCCACGCGAACCATCTCCGGTTCAGATTTGCGTCTCAAAGTCTGAAAATTTCGGTTTCGAGAATGATTCAGAAGAGACCCAGGTCTTCAGCTGCAGAATCAAAATCAGACAGAATCGAAGACTCACCAGAATTTCTTGGTTCCGAGAAACCCAATTCTCAAAAGCATGGTCTTTTCTCTTTGCCGAACAAGGTGTTTGTGTTCTGCTTGGCATTTCGAATTGCAAATGCGCTTTTATTGCAGACTTATTTCAACCCAGATGAACACTGGCAAGCCCTAGAAGTTGCCCACGGCATCGCCTTTGGGTAACCTTTCTCTTGGTCCAATCGCTTCCCTGTCATTTTTCTCCTTGCCATTTTCATTGCTATTTCTCTCTGTTCTTACTCTTTCCACTTCTTTTTCCTGGTTTCATGGCTATAATTTATTGGTGAATTAGCTTTTGGAAGCTGTAGAACACTTCATGTAATTCAATTGTGGGTTTCCATTTCGCAGGTATGGCCATCTGACGTGGGAATGGAAGAGGGGAATTCGTAGCTACTTGCATCCTTTGTTGTTTGCTTTTCTTTACAAAGTTCTGGCTCTACTCGGCCTTGATACTCCATTGTTCATGGTAAAATGTTAAACTGCATACTTAAACTACTGAAACTTTTATATTGCCTCTGGCAAATTGAATTGTGAAATCCTTGACTATTATATTTGATCAGGTGGGCTTAGATTTTGAGAGATCGACTTTATTCAATTCCATAACACATCTCCAGAAATTAGTTTTACATTGTTGCAAGTGAAATGACATCGATCTTTTGATGGAGTTTCTTTGTTATTGGTCTTTCCCTTAATTTGATTTTATACTCTCTTCACTATGCTTCATAGATGAAAGCTCCGAGGCTGATGCAGTCCATATTCTCAGCTATTGGTGATTTTTACTTGTACAAACTCTCCAGTGTCCTCTTTGGGGATTACGTTGCAAAATGGGCAGTATCCTTCTGTTGGCGATTGGCATGTATATAATCTTCAGTTTCTCTCTTTCCATCTTGGAACTTTCATCCAATCATATCTTCTTAATGAAAAAAGGAAAGAAATGTGTTGTGGTTTTTAAACATGATATACTTAACTCTATTCCAGCTGTTTTCCCAACTCACAAACTGGTTTATGTTCTTCTGCTTCAATCGAACTCTATCAAACAGCTTAGAGACTGTTCTTACACTTGTCAGCTTGTATTATTGGCCTTGTATAAGAATTGCTCCCACCAAATTTTCCAAGGTTTCAAGGAAGTTGGCTTTGTTTATGGCAGCGTTATCATGTGCTGTTCGCCCAACAAGTGCGATTACTTGGCTCTATGTTGGTCTCCTCGAGCTGTGTACGGCACATGATCGACTAAGATTTATCTTCTTAGAGGCTGCTCCTATTGGGTATGTGTCCCATATCCTCCTATATGTTATAGCATGTTTTACTTATTGTTCTTGGTTTCTTGAATAGGTTTGGCTTTTTTCCCATCTTTATGATAGTTTTATTTGAACTTCATTTTTTTAATTAGTGATGTAAAAACCAATATGACAGAGATATTATTTAACAATAGGATTGAATTTCTTATTAATTATGAGATTGTGGTTTAGAGGATGCATTTTTTGCGAGATTGTAAGCATACAGATTATATGAAGAGTCGGTTCCTAATTTAATATGAATGGTGTATTGCGATTTTCTTTTATGGGCTGCCCCTTTGTTTATCTGTTTCCTCATTTGATAAAAAGATCATTAGTCCCCATTGTTTATCTGGATAGACCGTGTCTTATTTTGGGTCAAATAGTTAAAATTGCACCCCGTGGTATATTGAGGAGATTCTCGCACTTATTTTATTAACCTCTCTAAGATTTCATAGTGTTTCCATCTCTCTTATCCCTCTAACTTGTTATTTCAGGACGTTGGTGCTTGGGATTACATGTTTGTTGGATAGATTAATGTATGGCTTCTGGATCTTAGTACCTCTGAATTTTCTAAAGTTCAATGTTCTCTCCTCTGGTGGAGACTTTTATGGAACTCACAAGTGGCACTGGTACTTCACCCAGGGTTTTACTGCCATGCTCTTCAGTTTCGTTCCATTTTCCATTTCTGGCATCATCACCTCGAGAAATTGGAAACTTACAGGTCTTATCATCTGGGTTCTGGGACTTCACAGTCTACTAGGTCATAAAGAATTCAGGTATCTCTTTCAAGGGAAGCTTGTTTCGCTCAATGAAAATCCCGACCTAAATCGGTTTGGCATTAGTTTGAAGTAATGTGTTTGTTATTTACTATGTACAGGTTTGTTCTGCCCATTCTTCCAATAACATTGATGTTCTCTGGCTATTCATTAGCCGCCCTCAGATATCCCGCTTCTCCAAATGGTAGAAGGAAAAAAACGGGAGACGTCCACTCCAAACGCCCTATCAAAATGAAGTTGACCATAATATTTTTGCTAGCTACAAATATCCCAATGGGTTTATACATGAGTTTGGTTCATCAGGTATCTATATTGGCCAATCAGTAAAACAAATATACAAAGTTGGCTGCCATTTTGTTTCTTCTGTTTGATATCTAACCAGCAGACATGGTATGCAGAGAGGAACAGAGGATGTCATGAATCATCTGGCTCGGAAAGCTGTGAATGAGAAAGTCAAAAGCATCCTCTTTTTGATGCCCTGTCATTCAACGCCTTACTATTCCACTCTGCACCAAAATTTACCAATGCGGTTTCTGGACTGCACACCAAGGTGTGTAAACTCGACAAATTACAGTACTCTTTCCCTTGTACTTCTAGTTATTGTTGTTCATTTGTGATGCTGGCTATTTATCTTACAGCGAAGAGAAAGGAATCCCAGTCGAGTCAGACCGTTTCTTGACGAACCCGCTTGATTTTGCAACGGAATTTGCTAAAAATTGGTCTGTCCCAAGTCACATTGTACTGTTTGATTCAGAAGAGAGACTACTCAAGGACTTTCTGATGTCACATTATTTCAAGGAGGTTCGATGTGTTGTATTGTATTTGCTAATCATTAATCATCATGGTTCCTGTTGTCGGAAACTAAACTTTGTGTTGTGTGGAATACAGGATAGGAGATTCTTCCACGCTCACTTCAAGGTGGACCGCGATCTTCAATCTTCGGTGGTTTTGTATGTCTTGGCCAACAAAAAACTATAATCTTAGCGGTTAGCAATTTCCAATTTTTGGGGTAACAACAAGATTGCAAATTTTGTGAGAATATTAGTGGTTTCGAGCTGTACATTCCCATGCCTCAAGGCTCAACCTTTGTTATTATATTTATATACCATCTTAACGATCGAATTTGACTCGACTGGTGCCTTTGCATTCAAATCAGGAAGATAGCTTGCAAGAGGAAATTTGAAGAGAGATTGCTTCTCAACATAGAGAGAAGTCACTCCAACTTTTCTCGGGGATGAAACTATCGCCGATATTAACTGAAATATTAGCGATATATTGACAAAATCATGGATTTGACAACAATAATAGGATGAGAGTCGATGATATATCTTTAATATTGTTGAAATTGCGGATATTTCTCTATACGCAATTAATATTTTTTCAAATCTATTTTATTTTAGTACAATAAGTTAGTACGGTGGATTCAATTCACACCTTTTGATTAAAAATATATATTATTGTTGAATGACACTCTTCGAATCTACTTGCTACCAACCTATATTATTAGTTTTTCTCATTTTAAAACGTTTCACCATTAGTTTTTTTGAGTTAGGCTAAGAATTTATGGTTAAAAATTCATACATAAATTCTATTAAAAATCTGTCTCAACCTCTCCTTCATTACCTTTTTAATTGATTTATCGATAACATATTAATCATTCTGTCACCTAAAAAATACACCTTATTGTTAAAATGGTGATACGAACTGTTGTCATTTATTTATCTATGAATTAATCAAAATCTTGTTCATTTGTTTAATGTGTATGTGAAATGATGTATATACCTAAAATGATAGTTTGACTTAATCAAATTTCTGTGATATCCGTGATTTTTTCTACATTACCGATCGATATTTTCATCCCTGAGTTTTGCAGGGTGTATTTGAAAAAATTATGGAGATGGAGTACATATTCATATAATTTTACAATGAATGGATTCTTTAGTAAACGGGAAACAAAATGATCTGTGAACCGGAAAGAGAGAAAAAAATGCACAGTAAAATTAAGAGTGAAACTAAGTAGAGTGCAATATCAGAGAAGAAGTTCTGATAGAGCAGTCCACAGAAGAATCCTGCGCGGTCGATCTAGAAACCTGGCTTGCCAAGCGGGTTCATCACTTTCATAGACAAAGCCACTCTTCAAGTAGAGGTTCTTCGCAGGTTCGTTGTCGAAAGCTACATGAACGTATAGGTCACTGATGCCTAAAACATTAAAACGTTGCAGCACAAATTATCCACACAGTTGCTAACAGTAAGGTTCAATCCATAAACACTGACATCACATTCTAAAGTAAAAGCCATAACAATGGAGATGCGAATCATTCATCAAGATTACCACCATTCTTCCTTTTTGACATGAATTTAATCGGCTAAGCATAAGGGTCTCAAAATCATTACCCCAATCTTCTGCAATTGTCTTTGCCTTTGCAACAAGTGCATAACCCAACCCATTCCTGTGCAGTTCCTTGGCAACACATACATTACTCAGGTATGCCCTTGCGAAATCAGCACCAATTCCCTGTATGAAAAGTATTTTGGATACCCGTTATCATGAAATATATAATTCACTATTGTATTTGGAGATGAGGTATGAATTATAGAGCTGATGTAGGGAACATCTCCAATTTTCATTTACACAGACAGAATGGAAACCAGGATATAATCATATTGAAGGTAAACCTTACTTGTTAAAGCATTGCAGATCAGGCAGAACAGCAAGGATACAAATATTCATGTGTATGTTCTGTGTTGTTTTTTTTTTTTAATTTTTACCTCTCTTTTTAAAAGATAAGAAACAACTTTCAAATGAATGAAGGACTTCAAAAGAAAGGTGGAGAAAACCAAATCCACAGCTACGACAGTTTTTCTTTTTTTCTATTTAAAAAAAAAAAAAGAACACCCCTTCCCAGTGACCAAGTAGAACGGAAGATAGCCTGTAAGAGGCAACCTCAGAATTATGGATAATCCAGCGGACTCCAGGCAGTAGTTCTATTTAGAGAGGAGAAATCCAATCATATGTGTAAATAGCAGAGTTGGAATGCAAGTTGAACATAGCCTTTCCAGAATATTCTTCTCTCTTTAACTCTCTCGTTCTCTTTGATTTCCTCTGTACTACCAACAAAGTGTGAGGCCTTGAGTCTTGCCGAAAAGAACCTTGGTCGGTAATCTGTTTATTAGCAAAGTTGCTGTAGAGAAAGCATCATGACAACAAAGTAGAGTAGACTGATGATATTGCGCTAGAAGTGTGAGGCCAAGTTCAACCATATGGCATTTTGTTTGAAGGTGTGAGGGCAAGATCATCTACAAGACTACAAGTGATTCCAATTTCACAAAGAAAGAATGTCAAAGGGTGGAATTCTCCCCTAAATAAGATTGTAGAAGTTTGATCTTCTTGCCCAAGAGAAGTTTTGTATAATTGAATTAATAAAGACACGAGGTGTTTAAATTTGGTCTAAAGAAAGTACATATGGCGAGAGCATCCATCAAGAAAGGACATACAGTATTTATATCCATTCCAAGAATGAATGGGACCGTACCACATAGGTCTGATTAAATCAAATGTAAAGGCTTGGTACATTCTGCAATAGCGTCGGGGAAAGGAAAGGAAGTTTATGACTTTTGTCAAGTTGACAGACTGAGCAAAAGTTCAACATGTTACTGCTGGTGGAAGTACCAATACAACTCTGCATAGCAATTCTTGGAAAAGGAAGGTTGGCCTAATCCTTGGAGTTTCATCACATGAAGAATTCTCGAGACACTTGTCAAACAAAGCAGAAGGAGACGGATTACTTTGAGGGAATTGCAGGATGATGAATCTCAGCAGCATCTTAGACATCGTAAATGGTGTGTAACAGGTAGGAGAAGTAAAGAGGGATGAACTAGTATAAGAAATTCAGCGACCTTCCCCATCACTAACTTGCAGTTTGCTTGATGACCCATCACTAACTTGCAGTTTGCTTGATGACCCGGAGTACTCTGAGCCTATTGTTAAGCTTCCCAATTCACTAGCCACATATTGTATACAGCTGAATCAGGAAAGCAACAGCCATCATTAGGCGAATCAGCAGAGATATTAGATGCAATAACCTGAGGAGGGCTATTCACACCACCTAACTTGACTATTAGTTGGAACTCCATTTAAACAACTTATCAAAGTGGAAGTAACGTTTGCGTACATTATGTCAACACTTGCCGTAGATCTAGCATTGTAATTTAGAATCCCTTGACCAGAAATTTCCAACTTTTTTTACCATTTCATTCTCTCCTACTCTATTTGAGTTCTGGTTTCCTCCTTGACAGCACACGTTCCACTGTTTTTCTTTGGCTGACCTAGATAGGTCACGAATGGTTATCAGAAGGTTGAGATCCATCAGCGTTCAGAATTTGGCTGCATTCGGCTCTCATATGCAAGGAGGGTACTTGCCTTTCGGATGGTTAAAGACTTGGTTTTTGAGGTGATAAATGTCATGAATGAATTAGATCAGGTAAAAGACTAGTTAATACACGCTTTACAATGTTATCTTCCAACATGATGTGACCAAATGAGGCTAGCAAATCAGCATAACTCTTCATCTTATTAAAATATTTCTTCATGGAGTGATTCCCTTTATTTTGAATTTGAGGGAGCCTCTTGTATTGCATGGCCTTAGCTTTGCACCGCATTGCAAAGGTCCTTTTGAATGTTTCCCAAATCTCACCACTCGTGTTAAAATTAACAACCTCAGACAGCACACCCTCACTCGATGGAGAAAATAAGCAGGAGACAAGTAATGGATCCTGATATTTCCAGATCTAGAATTCTGGGTAGGCTGAAGTATTGCTCCTCTCTAGTCAGTAGTCACTATTATATTAAATAATACCATACTTTTCAATGATCTGAATCGTGGAAAACACATGGAGACTATCAAATTCAGGTCTCAAAAATCAATAGCTCATAAATTTTTGTTCTTGGTTAAGAAGCTGATAGTCGATATTTCAAGACCATATTTTCCAGGTTAAACAGAAATTGAGCCAAATGTCGACACTGATTTTAATAAATAATAATAAAACATGTTCATGATTTATTATCAGAAGGGTGAAACACATACTTAAGAAATTATAGAAATAAAGAAATCAATCATTTACCTCAGGTTTCATTCCTGTTATTTCGTCTGGAAGCCTCATACATTGATTAAGGTCAAGTGTCCCAACCACAATTCGGTCTTCCCCATTATCAGAAAACTAAAATAGAAAAGGATGATAAAATTATAAATCAGAACAAAGTAGAACAATGTATAACTAATATGGTCTAAGCCTAGAGAGGAGCCATATAAGGTTGCACAATCAGCTTCAACTCAAAATCAACACCAGCAAGAAAGGAAAAAGCCCGGCTAGTGCATTACAGTCAACGTTATAACTTTTTGGCATTTGAACCTGCATCTACATGATGATATAGCCAATAAATTCTGTTTGAATCTGTTTAATTCTTTTCTCATGTTCTGAATATGCTTTTTGGTAAGCCCACAACATTTTGTTCTTTTTTCATAACTTGGGTAGGCATAATATTGTCAAACGACATTGTTGCGGATGCATACACTATCTTAACATGCCTAGTGCCCCAGAGGCAATTCAACCTCATGTGAGGCGAGGCAGCCTCATTAACGCACGTGCCTTGCTTTTGCTTCCTGCAATATCAGCTTTCTATTTTTCATTTTAAACCAAGGAAGAAAAGACCTAATTTGTGTTTTTGGAAATGGTGTCTATTTCTTCAAACAACCTCTTCAATTTTTCATATATCCTTCACAACCCCATTTTTCATATATACGAACTTGTGAATTTATAGGTTTGTTAGAATTCAAACCAAATTATAATTTTATCTAATCTCTGATCTTTCAAATATCATAACAAACTAAACTAATCGAAACTTCAAGGTTTAAAATTCCTAAAATAATCTAGGAATGCAGTCCACAACATACCATTCATATTGAAACAATAAAGAAATAAACAGACCTTACATGTTGCACATAAATCATCAGCTAAGGTTGATATTTCGGCTAATGGAAGAGTAGCATTTATGCAAGATACTCTTTTGAAACCAACCCTTTTTCCAGCAGTACGTTCTTTAATTGCTTCATATTCATGCTCCGCCAAGTACTTCTTATGATCCTAATGGGACTTGACAAAAAAGAAACGGCATCAGTACAGCATAAAGAGAGCAAGAAATCATACATGCGAAGGCGACGGATTCAAAATGGAAGCTTACGTAGGACGGCCTAGGATTCCCTTCTACCACAAGAATCCACGAGTGTTCTCTCCATTAAATTCCATCAATCTATATACTCAACATAATTGGATCGACTACTGATGGAACTTAGAAGCATGCAAAAGTACACTCAAAGATGTTTTCAAGGTGAACGGCATTTGTAATTCGGGAATTAAGAAAGAGACGGTTAACTAAAAATTTGAGACCTCAGGATTCTTCCCTTCGTTCCCACATCACAGAACATCTAAATATGACAAATAATATGATTACTGAAGTTGTGGATAATGATAATGTAAAGTAAAATACCGAATTGAGAATTTGATTCAAACTTCCAAATTCCCCAAACACTTAGATAAACCTTAAACAAATACAAGCATAGGCAAATTTTTCATACATTCAAATCCTAAACCCATAACTCGCACGCAGCTTCCAAAAGATTTCGATAAATTCTAACACATTGAGATGACTCACCTCGATGCCATATGAATTGGGGCGGAACTTATTGAAGGTGCGAACACGGAGACAAGCAGCAGCCCAGAGCTCAGCCTCGGAGGTACCTTCTGAGACCCTCAACTTAGATTTGTCGACTGGGATCGTCTGTTGGTGGGTGCAAACATTTGAGACTCTGATCGACGGGCGACCAAGAAAACAAGAGGTTGCAGGAACAGAGAATTGGATTCTAAGGAAAGAGAAAGAGTTGGAAGATGAAAATGAGAGCCAAGAAATGGAGCAAGATGACGACGAAGAACAGGAAGAAGGACGATGTGAGAAATGAGGGCGCGAAGTGCAGAGAGAAGATGAGAGGACCGACATCTCTCTTTTGGCTGCGTTTTGAGATTATGCTGCCATCTTATCCTCTTCGTCTTCCTTAATGAGCATTTACCAGATAGATTGAATGTTGACTAGCAGACGAAACAGAGTAGAAATTTTTGTTTTATTTATTTGTTCATCTTCCATCCTCCGCCACCAAAATTTTGTCCTACTTTCTAAACCCGGCCGCTCAACAACTTCAATTCATTATAGCCAAATTAATATTTTAAATACAATTCTTTTCTTCATAAAATATCTATTAAATTAAATGCGATCCCGATGATGAAAATTAACAAAATTTTTAATGTAAGTGTAATAGTGTCATTAAACATCAAGCCATATTTCATAATGTTTTCATACCAATGATGAAATAGAAGATCTAAATAATTCTTTATGTACACGGCATCTCCCTGACACAATGGCCTGCCTGACGCATATATACTGCAAATGACAGTAAAAGTCCAACTATTTACATGAAAAGAAAGATTAGAAGAAACATAAACAGGACCCAAATACTCAGCATTTACATATCGATGAGCTTCTGCTGTCGGCGTGAGAAGTTGACTGCTAGAATCCTGGCCTTGAACATCTGGCCAAGTGGTTGCGCAAGTTCCAGTGGGCATAGCGTGGAACTAGAGAATGGCATATATCTGGGGTTTCCCGGCACAGATTGGAGTTGAATTTTATTGATGGAAATCTCTGGCAGCGAAAGGGAAGTCCTAGAGGAGAATCGTGGGTGCGACACAACTCGAGCGTTCGGAGCTGGGTTGTTAAGGAGGTAGATTTTAATGGTGAGTCGTGGGAACATTGACATGTTGATGAAAGTGACAAACTTGTCCTTACAATCTCTTTAACGACGGGTGACTTTTCGGGAAGCTTCACGAATGACACTATGCCATTCCGGCAGAGGGGACAAGAAACTGAACCTGGAGGGCCACGAGCAGTGGTGCTGCCGCAGTTTGTGGAACAAAGGTATAAGGCACATCTTGTGCAGAATTCATGATCACAACCTGCAGGGGATTGGACTTCTTACCATTTATCATCCTTCAACAACACCACATACCACCAAAATACTACTCTTTAATTCTGTCTCTAAGTATTTCAAAACTCATCTATATCAATTCTTTCCAATCAAATCTTTACCATTACTGCACTTCAAAATCAGAAATAACCCAAGTTTTAGTTGATAATATATACCTTCAGCAGCTACGGCACACTTCCTCTCCAAACAGACAACGCATGGATCCTGGCATCCGAGTGCTGATTTAGTACTCCATCCACAATCTCTGCAAACGGATCCAAACGGTATACAAAATTCATTTTCAACCACATTCATCATCTAAATCAATTGGACATCACATTTGCCAACTATATGCAGAAAGAAAACAGTTTCTGAGCTCGTTCTTTGATTTATTAACTTATTTGCATTTTAGTAGGACTGGTTCTAATAACTTGTCTTCAATATCTTGTCCTTGGTCAACAGTATGAGCCTAACCTTAAGGAGGCAGAGTGAAGAGCATGTGGATCAAATTACATGACGACAGATCATAGCAAGAATTGCTGAAACAAATATTTCACTGATGTGGTTACCAAAAGTTGACCACAGTGTCCTAAAAGTTGGTGGCTCCAGAATAAACAAAGGGCAAGTCGATTTTACATGAAAATAAATTGCTCTGGTTTAGTAGGAAAGAATTGATGACTGATGCTCTGAGCATATAGGAAACCATAGAAAAATAATATCATCTGGATACAATTATCTAGAATCACAAACAGACTATAGATGTTTCAGCAATTGCTTTTGCACAAAAAACAAAATGTTCTTCTTCTATGGAATTGGTCTAAACTCTTGGTCGCATGGAAATAATTAGMATAATGCATTAATCATTGTGTGAAGGATAAGCAGTAGAAGGAAATCAAATCCAAGTTACCTAGCAATTTGCACAATGCTCATCAGGGGCAGAGATAGGTAAGGAGAAAGAATCAGTTTTGGCTGGCCAACAGGCTCGGAGCTGAGAATGTCCTCAAGCCAGCTTTTATGCCACGAGTGAGCGACCATCAAAGGTGTCCAACTGTGCGGGAGAAAGAACAAGTCAAGTGAAGCGGATGTAAGTTGACAAAACAACTGATAAAGGAATTACTACAAGCGTTAGGGAATAATATTTTCCATGATAAAATAATTTTGTATGGTATGCTACAATTCCATACATGTGGAATAATTTCCATGAGAAAGTGATCAGTATGACCAAGGGATTACTATATCCATGCTTAATTTAGTCATAAAATGGGATCACTTTGGCTTATGAACATATACTTGCAGTGTTCTCGGAATGTTATTGATATGGAATAAATGACTCATTTATATCATTAGAATAAGAGAACCCAATTTTGTATAATTGAGGTATTCATGTAGTGTGTTCATAKAAAAAAAAAAGTGGAATGGAAATTTGAGATCCAAATCTTCCAACTCAGGCCAGCCAGACAATCACAGAAACCAGCATATGATTATTAACATGGCTTTAACCGCTTCACTTTATAATTTTAATTGGGGTCCTTAACAAATTCCACAACCACTACTGCATTCAATTTAAGAAACAGTTCCTTGTTGCCCCAAAGTAATTGAAAGAATCCAAACTCATTCCTTAAAAGTAATTTCTTATGACTAGTTCAGAAGCTGATCTTCAGCACAGTTCCATTAAAGTAAATTCCAAAATTAGTCTGGCAATAAATTAAGTGAACCAAACATAAAAGAGCTTCAAAATTGCAAAATACAAAGAATAAGCCAAGATTATTATGTATGCAGTAAGTACCCATTTGCATTTTCAATGGTCAGACTAGCACCCCTGGCGATCAAAAGCTATACGAATAGAAAATGGTAAGTAACAGCCTCAAAGAGGAAAAGTTAATACATTCATTTAAACCCATTAGAATTCTTATCCTTCAAATGAAGCACATACTTGACAACATTTTGCATTGCCACCGCATGCAGCATAATGAAGAGCTGTGCTCCCAGCACCTATGGACAAATTCCTTAGATCAACGCTATAGATTTGAAATCAAACTGTTCATTAACCCTTTCTTTATGGTTCTTATCAGTTCGCCCACAAAATCGAAGGATAAGGTAGCATATTTTTAATAGGGACAAAAAATACTAGTATTTCATTTTAACTGCCACTTTATTCAACATAATGCCACAAGCATGCTAATTATGGCCTTTATATGACAGTTAAAATAAATCCAAAGCCTAATGCTAAAACTTTAAAATCATGTTTTTGTTATTGACAAAAGAAAGAGTGACAAGATGTTAAATAGTGGGTTAGGAAGGAAAATAGAGGCTAACATGAAAAGGAAGGCCTCTAGTTGATTTATTTCAAGAGAAGGCAGAAATTCAAAGAGAGAAACCTATTAGATCAATTACTGTTCCATCGCCCACAGTCACCTCAGAAACAGATGCCCCTAAATCCAAAAGTAACTGCACGCTTCCAACTTGTCCATTAAGGGCTGCCATGTGTAGAGCGGTTATGCCTCCATCAGCTGGTTGGTTAATAACCTGAGACAAGGCCCTGAAACACAAAATTATGTAACCATCATAAGCATTTCAACCTGGAAAAAGTTACAGTAATGAATGAGGAACTGAACATACCTATGATCAAAACCAGAGGTTGATTCTTCATTGTCTGTTATTTTACTCATTATATTCCTAAAGTTAGCTATGCTCGGAATATAATCAGCAAGAAGAAGCCTGATGCACCTGGAATGACCATTTGAAGCAGCAAGATGGATTGCAGTCCCTCCATTCAAATAATCTGCTTTATGGATCTAAATGTACAACAAAGTGACTAATAAGTCTTAATCACACTATGAATGAGAGAACTAACATGAAGGACAAATTACTCACACTGGCTCTAAAAAGTACTAAAATCAGAACAACTTCCCAGTGACCATGTTGACAAGCTTGCATCAAAGCAGTCTGTTAACCGTAGCAAGGAACACAACGATGAAGTCTAAATAAATGATGGGTTTAATATTCAAATGGAGGAATTACAACGTAACGACTGCTAAATAGCACAGATTATCAGGCAATGGAGAAAACAGAGTGGTAAAAATACATGTGTGTCTGTGTGTGTAATCACACACCTGCAGGTTCCTGAAAGTAAAAAGGCAAAGAATTTGAAGAAATTGTAATACCTGACCCCTATAGTTCCTTAAATTAACGTCGACTCCTGACTGAAGCAAGAGATAGACTATCTGCAAACATGTAGAGGATAAGCACAATGATAATAGCTTTTGCAATTCTCTAATCTTAAATGAAGTGACCAGCTCCATAAATATTATCACTCAGCATTTGAAGAATGAAGTACCTCATGATGTCCGTGAGCTGCAGAGTAATGGAGGGGGGAATTGCGCACGCCAAAAGTAGAGTATCGTGCCAATCGGGGATTATATTCCAACAGAGCCTGTGCTTCTTGGAAATCTCCATCTCTTGCAGCTGACACTAAACGTTCCCCAGATGCCGAACATCCAAAGGAGTTTACCACAGCACTTAAAAGTTTCATGACATTCAAATGTTTCAATTTAAAACTGAGGAATCAATTCTAAGAAATTGACGACGTTGTGGCTCCAAAAAGCTCCTTAAAAACGGAACTGCACATCAGAGATGATGATGAACTTCAAGTGCATTTAAAAATAACACATAAAAGTATGGGTGGAAAAGCGACCTATCCAGCACCAAATTCCTAGTTTTAACCAAACAAATAACCACCAACAATGAAATCTCCCGAATTTCAAAACGTTTGGTTGCAACTGTTAGAATTCCACTAACCCAAGATTCACCAACCTAATACAATGATCTATGAGTAGGAAGAAAAGGGGATAGCTAACTTCAAACCAGCATAACCTGTTTCCGAGCTAATGAATATGAAATTAATCAAATTTCGTGAAATTCAGTGTCTAACACGAAGACGGAAAAAATGAGTTGCCCATGAAATAGAAGTTTCTCATCCCCTGTTAAAGCCAAGCCAATTCCAAATATCCAACAGCAGAGCCTACTTCTGGATTCTCCATCAATAACCAAAAATCTACAAAGACCGACGCTAATTCTCCTCCAACGAATGACATTTGATTCTCACTACCGAATTTTCCTAGAAAATACAAAAAGTGTAGATTGCAATTCGAAATATGCCTACGAGAAGTGTTTCTGACAAGAAACAAAGAGAGAACTTTCCTTGGAAAATCTGTGACTTCAGGGAAAAGATAGCCTGTAAAGGATGGAAAACCATAATGAATAATGATTACAAAAGAATGTGGCCATATAAACTCAAATTAGCTAAAAGTAATAACGAAGGAGAATGGAAATAAGAATTAAAAAGCACAAGTGGAAAATTGTTTGATTGAAGACAATGACCTTTACCAACAACCTCAAACGAAACCCTTACCCAGTCAACTCGATCGGTAGTTGATTTGTTCTTTTCCTCTCCAGGAGTTGTCCCCCCATTAATTAAAACATTCCTGAGTCCACCAAATAAATATTTCCGTGGAGTTCCAAATGATTGCTTCCCTCTCAATTCGCTGTATTTCACCATGGTTATTCGTACCTCGAAGAATTACTTGGAGTGGCGGAATGAAACATTCAGACTGTAATTTGTGCGCGAAATTCTCTTTACGCTCGGAAACGACAAGTGCAAAAGAGAACGTGAATGATTTTTGCATTTCTTCAAACTTTGACACTTTGGCAATCACAACCTCGGTTGTCGAATATCTTTTATGAGAATTTCAAAGTTTTTTTAGTGCAATATTGGATCGGCATTCGAAGTTTAAGTTCAGATTTGAAGAATTTTAATTGAAAACAATAATAGATATCTTTGATGACGGAGGGATTAAACTCGGGGAATATTTGTTTTTCTGAAGATTTTCTTTTTCTCCCATTTCTTTATCCCATTTTTTCCCATTAAACTGGAACAATTACAAAGTGCAAATAGTTTATTTATAACACTCCACTAATAAAGGAGTATCATTCTTTGGCGCAACCAAAAGAAAAAGGTTAATTGTGGGAGCAAAAATATTTTATATATTTAAAAAAATATCATCAGTTTTTTAAATTTTTAAATATAGCAAAATATTTGAATTTTTATTTTCGAATTTTTTATTATTCCAATTTTACCTTTATAATATCTAATATATGTCTAATGTATATCTATATCTGATATACATATGATGTAGATGTATATCATATATCAAATCTATATCTGATATACATGTTATGTAAATTTGTATATGATATACATCAAATCTATATCTAATGTACATCCGATGTAACTCTGACATACTTTCGATATACATTCGATGTACCCCTAATATATAGTATTAAATATACCATGATATATATTATCAAATATACCACTTATATACATCAAATGTACGTATTATACATATAATATATATATCTTATGTACTTATAATTTATGATATACTAAATATATTTCCAACAGATATATTAAATATATTTGCAACTGATATACTAAATATAAGTTATATCAAATGTTTAATTTTTAGTGGTATATCAGCTGTTTAAATTATAGTTTATCATTTCAATTCGTTGATTAATATATTAATATTATTAATAATATTGATTACTATATCACTACTATTTATTCAATATTAATATTAATTAGATACTAAATATAAGGGATATCAACTGTTTAAATTTATAAAGTACATCAAAATGTTAACTTGTCTTTTTGGACGTGCATGGTCCACATAAACCTTTTATATAATAACTTTATATTTCAAAAAATAAATAATAAAAAATTTTGCACCATTGTTTTCATCTGAAAAAGATATTGGATATAATAATATGATATCAACACACATATATAATAGTTCTATTAGTAGATATAATGGTTATATCGGAGGTATATAAGTGGTAAATTGGAATCATATTAAGTATATATCAGTGTTATATTAGTGGTAAATCATATAATCATATAATAAGTTATATCAGTAGATACCATAGTTATATCAATGGTATATCATTTGTATATCAACGGTAAATTAGAGACATATCAAATATATATCACATACATATGTATTGTATTAGCATGGTAAATCAATGGTTATCATACGCTATATTAGTGGTAAGACATGTTAGAAGTTGAGTAGATATCATGGTTATATCATAAGTAAATCAATTGTATATCATTATTATATCAGTGGTATATCAGAGATATATATCAGTAGTTAGATATATTATAGTATATATCAGATATATTAAAGGGTGAATTTGTAATTTTACAACTGGACCTCCGTTTTTTCTGAAAAAAAGTTGCTATATTTGAAAAAACTAAATTTGATTGCTATTTTACTTATTTTACTAAAATCTTTTGTCATATTTACAAGTGCCCCAAAAGAAAAAAAAGGTCAGTTTGAATCCCCATTACGTTGAACTCCTAAAATATATATTATTAATTTTAGGAAATTTTCATTTTTACCACTATAGTTTCCTATTAAATCAATTTGAGAAAAAAAAAACCCTCTAGAAGAGTAGTCAATATACATTTTAGCTTTCTATTTATTTATAAGAATATTTGTAATTTTTTTAAAAATAGTTACAAATCTGACTTTTTAAAAAATAGTTGCAAGTGTAATATTTTTAATAAAAGTTTAGATACATTTACTTCTGGATACAGGAGGACTCAAACCTGGATCTTTTATCACTGCGCCAACACCCAAAGGTGCATTTAGACGATAAGTAATTATTTACTAACAAATGCGTTGAGGTATATGATTAATAATGGATTTCAATTGTTACATTGGTCAATTTACATATAATTAATACCTAGTAATTGTCTGTCCATTATATTTTTATGATATTTAATCAGTAAATTAATTCCAAGTTTGTCCTTAAACTTTTAAAGTAGTATCCTTACAAGTCTCTAAACTTTTAATTTAGAATTTAGAGAAATCTATTGAATACCAACTCGACTAAACGATAATTAATATTTACTCCTTCACTTTTTTTTTTTTATTTTTGGATTTGAACTTACAACATCTTGATTGGTATATCTCAATTACTAGTGAACCGCTTTGGCTACTCATTCACTTAAACCATGTATAATGTTAAACCCAAATTACTTTTATGAATCAAATAATGAAAGATAGAAAAAATATAACATGAAAATAATTATTGGAACCCTAATTCTTTTTTAACAATGTTGAAACCTAATTACTGCAAAGTCTCACATTGGTTAGGGGAGGGAACCCAAAATTCTGAGCTTCATGTTACTCCTACCAAGCAAGTGACATGTCAGATACGGGGCATCTCAATTCGATTGAATGGGATATAGTTCCATGAACAATTCTTTCAACTTTTTAGTAAGTTTTAAACTTTTAAACAAGAGTATAGTAGTTTCATGAATAATCCTTTCAACTTTTTAGTCTATCAGAAGTTTTAAACTTTTAAACAAGAGTATAGTAGTTCCACGAACAATCCTTTCAACTTTTTAGTCTAATCATTCATATATAAGATAGAACAATTATCTTTATTTGTACGAGATATTTTGGGGTGAAATTAAAAGTAAAGTCGAGAGTTACATAATATCATAACCCACCTAGGCCCGGGTGAGCTTTAACCTTACTTGGTGGTGGTTCAAGAAAACTAGCTCACCTAGTGTGAGGTGAGCTCTTAACCCGATTTTGGCCAAAGACGTGAGAGATGAGCCTTACTTTTGAAGCCAAGATCATGAGCTCTTACTTTACTTTTGGGTAGTGCGATGTGTGTTCTACTTGGGATGGCAACGATGCGGGCAGAGATTCGTTGGAAATATTTTTTATATTACAGAATTAAAACAGAAAGCTGGAAGCACCTCCACGCTTTGAAACTAGAGGTCCAGAAACCACCAAAAGCACAGAGGGGGTGAGTCACAATCGCAATCAGCTAACACTAGCTATCTCTACGACGATACCGATAGAGGAGACGGCGTCGGCACCGGCGATATCGAATGGAAGAGAGGCATATCGAAATCGGGAGAAGATGGTGTGGTGTGGTGGGGGTGTGATTGTGGCTGCTGTAAGCGGAAAAAAGAACAGATCTCTACAAATAAGAGTTGGGAGAAAAAGGAGAGAGATGGATTTAGGCTTTGGATTGGAGTTAAAAAATTTTATATTTATAAAAGTTAATATATTATTATTATTATATAATTAAAATATGTTAAAATACTATTTTGTTCATGTACTTTTAGCCTCGATTCATTTTAGTCTCTAGACTTTGAAAATGTTCATTTTCATCCCTATATATTTAACTTTGATTATGTACTTTGAAAATGTTCATTTTGATCCTCGTACTCTTAAAAAGTAATCATTTTAGTCTTTTCGCAAGATTTTAACACAAATTTTACACATAACGGAAATAATTTAGTATAAAGTAATATTTGCATTGTAAGAAATATATTGATTACAATTTGGTGTTGAAATTTTGATAGAAAAAATGAGATTTAAAATAAAATAAAATAAAATGACCAAAATGATCACTATTTAAAAGGGACCAAAATAAACCAAAATAAAAAGTATAGGGATATGATGAACATTTTAAAACTATAAAGACTAAAATGAATCAGAGCTCAAAGTATATGGACCAAACTAATATTTTAACCAAATATATATTAAGAAACTAAGCGAGACTCCCATTTATAATCCCCAATTTGACTCCGTATCCAATCAAATCGAAGATTCTCCGACGTGATTAGGACGGGGACATGCAGGTATTTTTGTCATGATCTCTAGCTCTATCTTTTTTACCGAGGTGAGAGGTGTGCCCTACCTCTTTCATCAAGGTGAGCTATAACCTCTCTTGGCTCAAGTGGGAGATGAGCTCTACCTGTGGTTGAGGTGGCTCGAAGCATACCATTCGTCATTGCAAGTGGCCTCACACCCAATAGCCATATGGTATGAATTTATCCACCCATAACAATTGTTATTAGAAACCTTACAACAACATATTGAATTAAATGGTAGCTAAAAGGATCACAGACTTTATTTGTAAACATGAAAAAAAAAACATGGATTTTTTTTAAATAATGTTATTTTTAAAAATAATGATAAAAATAATGCAGGTTAGAAACTACTTTTAAAAAAGGGACAATTAATGCAGTTATTAGTCAAGTCTGACTGCGCCTTCGATTTGACGTGGATTCTATAAGTAGTTATGTGTTGGGGACGAAAATTGCATGCATTGGCTGCAACTTTCGTTCCATATATATTTTTCCTTCAACACTAATCATAAAATTCACATGTTGGCAAAGTGGTTGGGTGTCTGTTCTAGTGCGACATTCGTTAGCCTGCACAATCAGGGTTTATTAATATTCTGTTTGATAACTATTTTGTTTTTAGTTTTACGTTTTTTTTAAATTAGACTTGTAAACACTACTTTTAAGTTGCATCCATTTATTTATTTATTTTGCATATGCTTAAACCAAATGATTATCAAACTTGACATCATTTTTTTATTTAGTGTATTATTTGCTCTTGCAATCTAAAATTATGTATTATAAACTAGTTATTTAAGAATTACACACATAACAAATTTACCTTTACATGTAGGGAATAAAATTTGAACTCACACCCTTTCGGTTGAAAATAAATATTTAATTAACTGCGTCATTAGGGATAGAAATTCACCTTTTCGCATAAGCAGAGTATTAGTCCAAAAAGAAAATAGAGTAAATAAGTTTCATATAATGGTTAAAGATATATTACATTTTCTACCAATATTAATGACATTACTTTTTGATACAATATCAAAATTTCATAAATTTAACGACTTAATCTACTTCATAGAAGATAAAATAAAGTAAGAAATCTTCTGATTCAACGTTTGTGCATGTGAAACGCCTCAACATAATAAAGTCAACCTTACCATATTTGAGATTAGTGATATTAATTTTCTCCACGTCATTATATAGTAAAGAGATATGGGGAAAATGTATAATCGTGACAAAGGAGATTGACTTTTAAATTACCCCTGGCCAATGAGCTGTGGCGCACATGTTGATGATTAATTAAGAATAAAAGCAGTGCAAGGAAACGTGCCCAGGTTTGGGTATTTACGTGCATCCTAATTCCTAGGCTTAGGCTTACAAATTTCTCCATATGCTTATACCATGCTTCATCTTTTAATTCCAATTTGTGAATTTTCAAAGCGAGTTCAGTATTAATTGACATATATCTCCAATTGTAAGTTTGACCTCATCTCATATATTGTACCAAAAAAAATTTCAATTCACGAACGACTACAAATTTGTAGCTAACTATACATATATAAACAATTAATGATCTTTTTAAAGGTATGAAAATGTGTGCTACTTGTAAGTTATATATATATATATATATATATATATCTTTTTTTTTTAATCCGTGTGTCCGGGCCAGCTTACGCGCACCTCGACTAATCACGGGTCAACCGCCTGACCCTACTACATTTGGTTGACAAGGTAACTCGTAGGATATTAAATCCTAGGTAGGTAGCCACCATGGTTTGAACTTATTCCCTCTAAGACTATTTGTAAGTTATATGTAAATCTAATTATGTAACAACTTAATTTTATAATGTTGTTGTATTAAAAAAAATGGTATTTTTTCCATCCTCGTTGGTGAAACTTTATTTGATATTTTAAAATTAATGTTTATTTAAATTTTAGTAAATAATTTGAAAATAACTACTTGTTCAAATACCATATTAACTCAAGTTAATTATTCAAATACCATAATAACTTTTTTTTAACAGGAAATACCATAATAACTTTAAAATGGAAAATTTTGTTCAAATGTATGTTAAAGTGATGAATGATCAATATGAAGTATATTCTAAATAGCATATGCTTTGTAATATTAAATAATATATTATCTATTTTATAGATAGCTTATAGCGTTACGAATGATTTGAAATTATTGATATGAAGTATATTTTACTTATATGCTACGTTGTTTAAAAAATTGACAATAATGTTTAATAAAGTATATATTGAATGAAAATTATATCATCCTATATGATGATGTTTTATAATAACGATAACTTATTCACTTTTTGTATGTATTTTCGAACAATTCTGATGGTTCTTCTTCTAGTACAAAAGAATGGGAAATGTAATATTGTTAATGTTTTTATTTTAGGTATATATTGAATGACCATTCTCAACAAGTATACAATATTTAGAACTTAGAAGTAGGCAATTGAGACTGATATATATAATAAAGACGGATAGAAATATGACGAATTATACTGCCAAAAATCGAAATATAATAGTAGTTTTGGGAAAGCATCGAAGCTGAAAAAGCAACTATGATGCGGAGAGAAAAGATTGAAACAAAAATGGGAGGAAAATTTTAGTATTTTGCTATATGAAATCCCAAAATAACAACCCAATTTTTTCAAACATTGATTATTTGTTTAATGAATTATAAAAATATAACCATTTATTATAAAATGTAATATATTTGCATTAAGAATAAATTTTTAAAAATTAAATAAATGTAATAAAAGAGTATTAATTACAGATATTTTGCTGCAAATCTAAATAATGATAAGTTTGAACATTTGTAAAATTTAGATTATAAAATGACTTGGTAGACGAAAATAGGAACGGGAAAAATTCCGGTGGGAACAGCAAGCCCATTCTGAACAGTACTAACAGAAAGCCCTTTCTGATTGAGAAATCTTGGTATACCAAACAACATCTAATCTTCAAAAAGTTGCCCCCTTTTTTTTTGTTATGTTTTGTTTCTGGTATGTAGCATATTTTTATGCATTAATAAAATGGACAGATTTTAAATATTCATAATAATGCGAAACTCTTGAAGTTGAGTTTTCTTTGAATTGTAGGATTAAAATAAACTTTTAACAATATTTGAGAATGAAAATTATGTTTGATGATGAAATTTAACTTAGATATGCTTAGTTTTTTTTATTATTATTATTATTTTTTACAACTAAGGTGTGTTTGGGAGTGATTTTGGTACATTGTCAAAATCACTACCATCACTCTTAAAAATACCTAAAGCAACAATTCAGGGACATAAAGATCTTCATCTCCTCCTTCAAAACAACGACTTATCTATCTATAGTCTAATAATAACGATACTTACATTTTTTCTTTTGAAGTGCGAAGTTGAAACTCTTAACCCAATACTAAAAACTATATAATTGACGTTGCATTATGATTAGTATTAAATTTGTAAACTTCCCCATCCAAAAAAAAACATCATTTTCCCCAACCTAAGCCTGCCCTTTTGTCTTTGAATTTCACCAAATCCCTTTGAAATGCGAAGCAAAGTCAAGCTAGAAGGTGAGTTTCAAGTACCCTGTTGCGGTATCATCAAAAGTAGCAATACTCATTTGAACTAACCACACAAGAATTGGACGGTTGAGTTTGGGCACCACCACATGGTTTAATTGGGCTTTGACTCTCGCAGATATCACCTCTTCTGCCACACACAAAGTCAAAAGGAGCGTAGCGTAGCACCACAAAAGAAATACAACCAGACAAAAAGGTGGAGAGGCCCTTCCATTTGGGGCGTCTGTCTGTCTCTGTACAAAAAAAGTCAAGTGCCAAAATCCAAAACAAAAGTTAAACAAATAAAACAGAAAGTTGTCATTTTTCCACCACATCCCAATAAAATACCCTTCTTTTGAAGAAACYATTACGCACCCCCCAGTATCCTATGCTTCCAAGGAKATGGAATTGCTAGAATATTAGAAATATGGTATAGATTTGAGAGTTGTCCAGTTCAATATAAGTAATTTATTGATTAAATTATGTAATAGTAGAAGCTTTAAAGTAAAATTTAAAAGAGGACCACTGGTGAATAAATTATTAAAAAAAATGTCTTCCGATCTAATTGAATTCAAGTCGATAAAAGAAGTAAAATCTGTTACAGGGAAAGAAATCAAAATCTGAATTTTTTACTTGTAATTGAAATCATTGCAATAATTGCGCTTTGTTTTGTATCCCAGAACCAGGCTGCTAACTGACAGTCAAACCTTTTTAGCCACTGATCTGAGATCTAATTTTAATTTTTTCTCTCTCAATAACTTTTAGTTTTAGGCTTTCTTTAGGAGCATTATTATTTCTTTTTTGGCCTTCTGATCTCTCCATCTGTCCCCATTTATTTCGTTTTCTGTCCTCTCGAAAACAACCTACACCTTCAACTTCACCTCTCCCTCCCAAATCACAATCCGATTTGACTTGCAGGCTATGAGACCTCACGAGTTGAGCTGAGTCAAACCGAGTTGGGTTTTTCCTTTTCAGTTAAATGGATTCGCTGCTTCTGCAAGTAAATGGAAGAATCTTCCCTTCCCCACCGCAGCTACAGCCTTATTATGTTGCTTCGCAGCCTCCTCCTTTGGCCCAATCGAGTGGGTTCAACTTGGAAAACAAGGTCAGTCCGAGCCTACTTCTCATCATAATCATTTTAGCCATCGTCTTCTTCGTCTCTGGTTTGCTTCATCTCCTCGTTAGATTCCTCTGGACTCCCCCATTACAGAGAGACCCAGAAAGTTCAGACAGTGCCACGGCTTTTCAAGGCCAATTACAGCAACTCTTTCACCTCCATGATTCTGGGGTTGATCAGTCCTTTATTGACACCCTTCCCGTTTTCCATTACAAAGCCATTATTGGATCCAAAACCCCATTTGATTGCGCTGTCTGTCTCTGCGAGTTCGAGGCTGAGGATAAGCTCAGGCTGTTGCCAAAATGCAGCCACGCTTTTCACAYAGAGTGCATTGACACATGGCTTTTGTCTCACTCAACCTGCCCTCTATGTAGATCTAGTTTACTGCCCGATCACTTCGCCCCACACGCCAGTTGTGCGCCAATTGTTCTCGTTCTTGAATCTGGGAGTGAGAGTTCTAGAGATATTGTAGACGACAGAGAGGCCGCAATTGGTAGAACGAATCCGAACCCGATTTCAGGGTCGAATTCGCAGATGGGTCTTGATGAAGACCGCGAACTGGAGACGGGATCCGGCGAGATTGGGAAATTAGAGGATTCAAACGCAACCGTGGTGACTGTGAAGCTCGGGAAATACAAAAATGTCGAATCTGGTGAAGGCGGAAGTAGCGAGAACAAGAATGTGGATTCTCGTAGGTGTTTTTCGATGGGGTCTTTCGAATATGTAATGGACGAGAATTCTTCGGTGAAAGTAGCCATTATAAACACTCCGGCGAAAAAGCAGGGGAGCAGGAAGCCGGCTCTGCCGTTGACCCCTGGTTACAGGGCAGCCATGTCGGAGTGCGATTGCGAATCAAGAAGAGAGTTCAAACTCGGTGGGTTTGAACCTGGAGAGAATGGTAACACCAATAGCAACAAAATAGAGAAGAAGAGAATAGAGAGTTTCTCGATATCGAAGATTTGGCTGAGAGGGAAGAAGGCGAGAGAATCGTCGACAGATTGGTCAAGAAGGGCAGTTTCATTTCGATTTCCCATTCAGTCGAACGGTGGGGAGTTGGAGTGGGAAAATGAAGTGCGGAATGGAATTGAATTCGATGAAGAAAACCAGAGTCGTAACAGTGATCTGGACTCTCAATGTAACCAATCTTTCGCGAAGAGGACGTTACAATGGCTGGTGGGAAGACAAAACAAGGTCATTCACTTTCAATCGTCGCCTTCATCTTCTGTTTCAAATGTATAATTCTTCTCTGTCCATTTTTCTTTCTTGTTCAGTGCTCTGTGGAATATCCGTAAAAGAAAATAGAAACAAACGAACGATTAACATAGAAACCTCCACTCCAAGCAGGAAATTTTCCATCTCCATTTATTTTTTCTTTTTTTGTTTTTTTTTTTCCTTTTCGGTTTAATGGAATAGCGGTGTTAGATTTAGTTAYGGTAGCCAGTTGGGACTGGGAATTGGGTGCATAGATTGTATAATGAAAATGATGGGACAAGAAAAGAAAGGCAATAAATAGGAAATGGGATTCAAATTCAAATGGATTGGAAGAGAAATTGGGGAGTCTGGGGCTGTTTGCAATTTGCATTCAATGGATACAATTTTCATTAATTGGTTTTGGGGCTCTAAACCATTAATGCCTGAAATTAATACGGTCACGCCAGATGCGCCGAAACGGAACCCATTGTCGGTTACTAATAGGATTTTTGTTATTTTTAGATTCAAGTTTTGTTTTTTAAAATTACAACGTGTTAGKAATTCAAACTCACAACATATGGTTGGAGGTATATGCCAATAGCTMCGTTCGTTCGTTTTGATATTTTTAGGGTAAGTTAAAAAGTATCATTTTGGCCTTCAAATTATATATATATTATGTTTCTCTTATCACTGGGTGAAAATTTAACCAGTTTACTAAAAAATAAATATATATTAGTATAATAATTAAGAATGAAGGATTAAACCTTAAAATTTAAAAAAAATAAAATGTAATGTGTCTTTCTTTATTCTCTGGCTATACTTGAAGGAGTGAATTTTATTTAAATTCATCTCTATAATTTTAAAAGGTATGTTTTCAATTGGTCAAATTAAAAAAAAATTGTCCCTATCATTAGYAGTTATTACTTGCGATATTGAAGGCGTGACACAAATTTCAATTTATATGATAATAGTGCTAATATTTCTTACTTAACTGACTGTTAGTTTTATTAAAAAAAAAAAATGGACTATATTAGTTGACTATATTAAGATTCAAGACTAACTAAAAATTAAAGAAAATTGTTACCAAATCAAGTATAGTTCAATTGGTTAAGACATGTATCTCAGAACAGAACGTCATGGACTCGAACTCACGACCTTTCATTAGAAGTATATGCTAGTTTTGGCATTTAAGTGTAAAGCTTAACTGGTGTAAGAAATACATTCTTGAGGTTTGAAATTATTTAATAATGTGTAAGCTTGTGAGCGGAAAGAATCAGTTAAGTACTTGTTTAGTACTATAAATTTTCATTGTTACTTGCGGAAGAAATTTGTTTTAGTTGTGGCATTGTGGCACCTTACCCATCCATTCCTCGTGGAAATGTTTACTGCTTCACACTAATTCGCATTGCTGAGTTGAATAACAATAGACTCAATTAGCATTTCAGTGGATTGCGTATGGACAACAAGACCCATGCATGTTTTTTTATTTTTTGGAGAAAAAAAAAGTGATGTCATCTTTTAGTTTGAAATTTTAGCTCTTAAAGTATTAAGTAGTTTAAGGAGTTGCTGTTGAAAACGATTTAAGATTGATATTGAGGGGTTGAACTGCTCCCATTTCTAAATATCTTTAAATGTTTATATTGCATATAAAGAGATGGAAACTTTGAACTTATATATGACTATAATGGATGACATGTTTAACCTATGTACTTAGATTAGTAATATAAATATATTTCAAAGACATATGTGATGTGTCGTGTGTATTCAAGTAAAATGGTCATCCAATTTTTTTTTTCAACCTTTTTTATTAGCATATTTCATTATCAACCAATTTAAATATAACTCAATTAATTATTAGCATATTTCATTATCAACCAATTTAAATATAACTCAATTAATTAGCAAACATAAATAAGGTATATAAACTTTTTTTTAAAAAAAAAGACATATAAATAAATTCTCACTCTTATATTTATTATACTAAAAAACCTCAATTAATTAAGACATTAATAAATTCCCTCAAATATCTAGGGTTCAAATTATTTCCTATTATTTGAATGAGAATACTCTAAAAAAACATATTTTCATCCTTTTTCTTTTTTTAGCTTAACAATTGTGGGATAAATAAATAAATTCAAATATGTAAAAATTTAAAGGCCATTTATGAAACATGGTTTTCTAATTATGGTTATGGGTGGCAAAAGGGTCGAAATAAAGACCTCGCTAGGGATAGGTTGATCTGGGCCTCTTCAAAAATTAGTTGGGTCATGGGCTAGCCTAGCACAAACATCTATGGCCCAAAACTGGACCACCGAGCCCATCGTTTGAAGGATCGTGCTGAAGTTAATAGACTGGTCTTATAGACAGCCTCATACTTTGTTGGAAAAGGAGAAATACATCGTGTGAATAAATAATGAAACAATACTACTTGCTAATATAATACCTATATCTCTTAGCAAAAAAGAAAAAAAAATTGAGAATTACAAAGAATTTGTATTTATTTATATCGCATTGAGTTTAAGGTTTTACCATTTTTGTGACATTTATAAAAAAAAAGTAATGATATTTTTTATAAAAATTTATTTATTTTATATTATTTGGTATAATTTCTCAACTGATATCTTATCTATGCATGTGTATATATCTATTAGGTTTGTAATATTTCTTAATAGCAAAAACAAATTTCATTTTCTTGAAACTTACCTTTTTATTAATCAAAATAAAACACTAACCATTGAATCAAATAAAATAACCTCTTTAAGACAAATAAGTTTTTCATTAATATTTTAGTATAGTTAATCATATAGACAATATAATATTTTAATTTTTTTAGTTCAATAATATGTGAGGACCAATCATTTGTTTGGGTTGAATCTCACCAAATTTTTGATAGGAGTATGTTCAAGTTACCAATATTCTTATTCCAAATCATAGATTAATGGATGTTAAAATAATTTACAAACTAAAAAACAAACAACTTTGTGTAAGAGTCATAAACTATTTTGTGGGATTTTATTTAAAACATTCCTGTGGAATTTCTTATTGTATTTTAATTACTTGTAGAAGAACCGTCTTTCCTCATCTGCATAGTTCAATTATTTATCTGAAATATTAATAATTAGTTACACATTGGAAAAAATCAAATTGCAAAGAAATTTAATACCTAATTTATAGTCCAAATGTACCTATTTCATTGGGGGTAGGATAGCATTATTTATTACATCACGGCGGCTTGAATTTGATCAAATAATAAATAATAATACAACCAATAATTAGAACTGCAAGCAAGAAAACTGCGAATTATGCCAAATATAAAACAACAAGCGTGTGAAAAGGCAGACAATTGAAAGTTTAGAAATTAGAATACCATTTTTCATTGAATTTTATTCACATGCGTCCGACTCCTATTTTAAACGAGAGAAAAAAATAATCAAATTATTTCAAATTTACAAGAGCCTAACATGTTCCAAGTCATCCCAGCATTATTGTTATAAATATTTTTTTAATACAAACAAACTATTTTTAGAAACAGCTACTAGCAAAAAAAATTAAAAAAATTTACTATGACTATAAAACAAAAAGCTTACCAGTAAATGAGATTATGCTTTTCAACATAAAAATAAAATCATTATTAAAAAAAGCTTTCAAGGAGAGAAAAAGAAAAGAAAAAGAATCAGAGACTAATGGTCTGGACGTGGAGGGGACGTGTCCGGGGATCCGCATCATAGGAAAAAAGTGAAAAGAAACACAAAAAATTAAGGAGGAAAAAAAGAGAAATAATAATTGTTGGATCGGAAAATTGACCAAGTTTGTGAACCTCGACTTGGATATGAGTTGACCCGAAGCAAGTCAAATAGGGAACTTGCAAAACATAAGACACTTCGATGACCAAATAAGTAGATGATCGAGCTATATTCGAAAGCGAATATAGTATTCACATCCCTGGGAGTGTGAAGCTAGAGGTTCCTATTTATAGGTGAGGTTTTCGAGAGGACCTCCGACAAAGTTCTAACGGCTCTTTAAAGTTTCTGAAACAATGACGTGCTGTCCTAAGATATGTTGGAAAGCGGATCCTGACAGAGTATATTTAGGTCAGCTCGACCAATGAATTGGATAGTTGACAAGAAAAAGATAGTGTCGATTCAGCCTCATACTAGTTCGACTCGAGATCTACGGTACCCGAGATGATGAATCTTGACTAATTCGAGGCAACTCGTTAGGATTGTCGTATCATAACCTGTCACATATCAGGTGAGAATTCACCCCACAGTAATAATAATAAAAAAGAAAAGACACTAGAAGATATCCATTTGAATTTAAGTACCATTTCGGATAACATTTTATAACATACAAACAAATAAGTTCAACAACTACATTATTAACATTATTCAAAAAGAAATGATACTGCTAGATCTGAACACAACATTTTATATTCAAATATCTTCTAGCCAAACAAATTTAATTTAAGTGGATAGATTAGATTAAATTTAAAATTCTTAGTATACTTTTAATTTGCATATAAATCTAAAAATATTAGTTAAATTAAAAAGTTGTTCTTATTGGGCGCCAAATTAAAATATGAGGGGAAGACCGTGGAATATGAGATAATGATTTGACGATTTGCAGAATGTTTGTTTGGCGAGAACAGTACTGATTGAGGAGAACCCACATGACACGGAGGAAAAATAAAACTTTTTTCTATTAAAAAAATTCATTTTGATATTCCTTTAAATGTCTCTCTCGTGAATCCTTTGAAGAACTTTACCAAATTGTCGCTGTGCTTTAAAAGGAAAGTTGCCAATTTCGCACTCAAATTCGAGAGAATTCATTTTCATTTGGGTTAAATTTTATCGCCAACAAAATGATTACCATTATTTACTTGAGAAAAACAACTGTGCGATGGCACAGCGCCGTTTCCAAGACACCAACACAGTGCCGCAGGAAATGCGATCAAGAGTCGAGGGTGGAGCTCACAAGAGTCCAAAGTCAAAGTAATGGTGGGAACTGGAGGCGGTGCCCTTCTTCTCTACAGGATGGTCGTCTGAGTCACGTGGGGTTTCGGTATATTATTGAATGGTTCGCTTCCATTTTGGTTGGCTTGCTCAAAATTTTCATCTTCTTTTTCCTCTCCTCTCACCAAACAACTTTAATTCCTAGTAGAAACACTGATTACCTCACCCCCAACAGAACCCAGATCTTCTCTCTTCCTGCTGTCTCTCTGTATCTTCTTCTTTCTCTGTGCCTCTCCACCAACAACTGAGGAAGAGGAGGATTCTACTCAACACCATGTTGCTGCTATTTTGATGGGTCATTGAGGATTTTTACGTTTCAGCTTATTCTCCTGTTTCCGGGCATGGAGTTGAGGAAGGAGAAGCTTGTTAGGTGATCTTTTCTTATTTCCTTGTTCCTAAGAATGCAGCATATTGGTAAACGTTGTGATTGATGAGCTGATTCTGTTTGTCGATTGGAAACAATGTAAATCTTAAATTTTTGGGACCTACGTTGCTTTCTTGTTGAAAGTGTGGTGAGATCTTAAGTTTTCATTAGATAGAGGCACAAGAAGATTAGAACTCTACATAATCGTCTGACCTGCACCACCAATTCATTATTTACGTGCTTAGTTTGTTGGGTAGCAGTTGGAAACGTATAATACATTAACTTGCTTTTGTCAGGAAGAAACCAAAAGTTGTCATACGTATTAACGTTCTAGTTTTTTTGTCCTTATTCTTTACCGTTTTATTTATTTATATGAAGTCTCGTACCAGGAAAGGAGTAGGAGACACCGTATGAGTGTTTGTAGGAGCCAACAAACCGAGTTTCAGACTTAGAAAGGAGTCCTCAGACCTTGTTGTTCTGGCATACAAGTAAACACTAACACGAATTGGAGCATCTCCAAAATTGTAATATATTGGGCTTGGAACCATATGGCCACTGTGTACCTATGCAATTAGAGTCTACTGGTCTTTCAATTCGTGTTTTTTGAGACTTCAACGCCTTATCGCAACAGAAATTAGAATCTACTTCTTTTAAATGGAATGACTTTACAGTTTTTATTCGTATCATTGCTTATCTTAACATAAACATAGAGAGGTCTGGGGAGAGATTAATGCTTGCCCCAATTTAAAGAAATTATGTATATATAACTAGTGTATTTATAGACTATTGTCTAGGTAATATGCTTATCATTTTCATTCCTGAAATCAACAGGTTTTATTCTGATCACAAAAAGCATAAGAAATCTGCTATTGGAAATAACAATGAAGCAATGAAACTTGAGAAGTCATCATCCAAATACTATATTTCGTCATCAAAATTCCTAATACCTGATAACGGATTAGGGGGAAGCAAAAATAAATTTGCTGAAACTTTTAAAACTGAGAAGTCCAAGGTGTTCCCTGAGGACCATGAACCATGGAGCAGAAGAATACTTGACCCTGGTAGCAATATTGTCTTGAAATGGAACCGGGTGTTCATTTGCTCATGCTTATTGGCACTCTTTGTCGACCCACTGTATCTTTTCTTGCCTGCTTTGAATGGGAATGGGCCATCATCATGTGTAAGGACAGACTGGAAATTGCGAATAGTTGTGACCTGTTTCCGGACTATTGCAGATATTTTCTATCTTCTGCACATGATTATAAAGTTCAGGACAGCTTATGTTGCTCCTAGCTCTCGAGTTTTCGGGAGAGGTGAGCTTGTGATGGATCCAAAGATGATAGCAAAGAGGTATATTAGGTCGGACTTTTTCGTTGATCTAATTGCCACCCTGCCTCTCCCTCAGGTACCTCATTCAGATTTCATTTCCTCAAACTTTTACTTAATATTCAGTGTACTCCGTCTTTAATCTTCACATGGCATTTTCATTTCCTTCTGGGGGAAACTGTAGCGACAAAGAGAACTCTGTAAGACAGATATGGTACCCTTACTTTGGAAAAATAGTGCTCTAGCTGAGATCAGCAAACGTACCTCATTATCTTAGCAGTTAGCACCTCTTCAATGTTGTATGTCTAGGAATCAGATTATTTTCCATTGAACCCAGGGCATTGATAAGTAAGATTAACTATTAAAGTCCATCTGCTTGGTGTGATGCGAGAATTATCATTTTCTTAAACAAGTTATGATGTGAGAATTATCCATCAATGGTAACCTAATCTACCTGTTTCAGTGCAGTAATAAAATGCTAGCACATATTTCTCAACCTGCCTCTTAACAATGAGAGTTTCATTTGGTCTAATCTGGTCTATTGTAGGCTAGATAGCATGTTATTTGTTTGGAAGACTTAATAATTTTCTAGGCCTCAGAATTACATCAAATCATTAGCCTATTTGTCAAAGCTTATGGGAAATTAGGGGTTGTCCCTTTAGATTTGGGAACATGTGATTGCAGCACCCTTTTTTCAGGACATCTCTTTGTTGGTGGGGTTATAGCAGAGTGGATGGTAGGTGGAGAGGCTTAAAGTTCGCGAGAAAGTTAGCTGCTCTTAGCTCTGTTTCAAGAGAGTGGAACTCTGGAGTGTTAGGTGATACTCTATTCAAGAAGTAAGAGTAAGAATTGGCTGGGAGTGAGTTGGTCTTAATGGCATATTTGAGAGAAAAAGGGGTTAGTAAAAATGAGTTCAAGGTGATTATCCAATGAGTTAGTGACAATGACCACCATCCAAATTGGAGTAAATTAAAGAAAGGGTTTCAAATGTATACATATAGATCACGGGAATACGAGAATGGGTAGTGTAGATCCACATGAAAAACTGTGTTATTTCCTAGGGGTAGGCTACTAAGAATGGAACCATTATCTTTGGCGATACTCATCTCCATGACTTAGTTTGACCTTTGTAATTTAATTATTAGATTTTTGACAGACTTGTAACTGCCTCTTCCATGCAGATTGTCATCTGGTTCATCATACCAGCAACAAGAAGTCGTCTAACTGATCATAAGAACAATGCTCTAGCACTTATTGTTCTGCTTCAATATATTCCGAGATTGTATTTGATTTTCCCACTAAGTTCAGAAATCATCAAAGCAAATGGAGTTGTTACAAAAACGGCTTGGGCAGGAGCTGCTTATAATCTTCTACTCTATATGTTGGCTAGCCATGTAACTCTCTCATCTCTCTGTCTCTCTGTTTGTGCGGAAGATTTCAGTATCTAATGTTATTAAAAGAACATGGCATAATCTTTGTTATATTCCTATCGTTTAAGGGAATTCCCAATCGGTAATATAATCTTATTTTGCTTTTTTCAGGTTCTAGGTGCTGCATGGTACTTGCTGTCAGTTGACAGATATACGTCATGCTGGAAATCATTTTGTAGGAAGAAGGAATACAATCCACTAGAATGCAACCTAATTTTTTTTGATTGTGATACATTTAACCATAATGACCGCGATACATGGGCAAATAGTACACTTGTTTTTGACAAATGTGGCCCTGATGGAGTTTTCAAGTATGGCATTTTTGGGAATGCAATGTCAAAGAATGTTGTCTCTTCAAGCTTTATTGAAAAGTACTTCTATTGTTTGTGGTGGGGCTTGCAAAACCTGAGGTATGATTTTTCTTTTTCATTATATTTAACTTCTAGGTACAGTGTCCTTAAGTGTAGCACCTAGACAACTCTTTTTCGGTTACGGGAAAAAGGAGGTAGAACCAATACATATTTCCTTTAAAATTGTCTTCCAGTTTACGGTTTGCTCCAGGGTTGTTGATGAAGTGATCTAGATATAAAGTATAAACAGTGTTCTTTGTAATGCCATAGGGAGCCCATGTCACTGGATCCTTGTGGTAGGGAAAGCATTCTTTGGATCAAATGATGTTACCTTGTTCTTTACTCCTCCAACTTGCTTTTGAAGGCTCTAGAGCCCTTCTGAAAGACCTTCACTATATGGTTTTTCAGGTTTGGGTTGTCTTAAAACCCACACTTAACATGAAAAAGATCCCTGGTGACCACTGACCCGAGAGCAGACTGAAAGTTAGTTAAGTATCTATACATATGTAAACAAATGTATTTCTGTTCCCAAAAGAAATTATGAACCACTGTTGGAATTTGGAAAATAGCATTTGTTCGAGATGCAAGTGAGTTTGTCCTCTGCAGAATGAATTTGGCTTCATGAATTGATTTTGAACATTTTATGGATTTGAATTTTTTTTCCTGCTAATTGAAAGTTTTTGTTAACTTGAAATACATGAAAATCTATGGACTTGCTATTAAATTGTTTAGGCAACTGTATAGAACGATCATCATAGGTTGTGGAACATATTTTGACCACTGATTACATGGCTGGCAGACTAGTACAACTTGATGTATGATTTTGTTCTATTATAGATGGTTATTTGATTCTTCATTTTATTTTTTCTTGAAAGTACTAAATAACTTCTTGCTTATTTTGTCAGTTCATATGGACAGAATTTGGAGACAACCACTTTTATCGGTGAGACACTTTTTGCTGTGCTCATTGCCATCTTAGGCCTTGTATTATTTGCCCATCTGATTGGGAATATGCAGGTGAGAGACTGAGGGATAAATTTTCGTCTTTATTCATTGGTTTGATTAAAACTAAAAATTTGATAAATAAATTTTCTTGCTGATGTTTGCTCCACTTGTGTTGGATTGTAAGTTGATTGAAGATAGGAAAAAGGTTGATTTTATTGCCTTTACTTGGCATGTTATTACAGCTAGAATCCTCAATTGATTGTCTCATCTATGGAAGAACTTGGTCTTGCTTCCCCAACTTGTGCAAATATCTACCCAATCCTAGATAGTTTTTGTAGTGATTTTTGTTTGGATAAAATCTCACAGTTCTTAAGGAGTTTCCATTAAAATTCTTAGTAATGATCTTTATCCCCATTTCTTTTCATTTTATTGAATTTATTATCATGTGCTGATTGACCTTATCTTTTGATGCAGACGTATCTGCAATCCCTCACGGTAAGGCTTGAGGAATGGAGACTAAAGCGAAGAGACACAGAAGAGTGGATGAGACACCGCCAACTCCCTGAAGACTTGAAACGACGTGTTCGACGTTTTGTACAATATAAGTGGGTAGCAACTCGAGGAGTTGATGAAGAAGCCATCTTGCAGAGCTTGCCTGCTGATCTTCGACGTGATATTCAATGCCACCTATGTCTAGATCTTGTCCGACGAGTATGTTTCTCTTACATACTTTATCCTTTATATTTTGCACTCTCTATGGGAACCAAAGCCTGAGAAGTTCGAAATGGCTTCTTCCCAGTTCCCATTTCTCAGTTTCTTCTGCTGTGCCATAATTCAAGGCATATGGTTCTCATGTGCTTTATTTTTCATATTGGCATTCCGATTGTGATAATGCCTTATTATACTTGTTATTAAGTAGGCAAATAGACAACAATAAAACTCGGGAAGCACGTTTTTGCTGCCTATGAAGATACTTCCTCGTTTTGCAGGTCCCTTTCTTTGCACAGATGGATGATCAGCTGCTTGATGCAATATGTGAACGCCTCGTGTCCTCCTTGAGCACTGAAGGTACTTATATTGTCCGTGAGGGCGACCCTGTAACAGAGATGCTGTTCATTATCCGAGGCAGATTGGAGAGTTCTACTACAAATGGAGGTCGCTCTGGTTTCTTCAACTCCATAACATTGCGTCCTGGAGACTTTTGTGGGGAAGAACTACTTTCTTGGGCCTTGCTCCCAAAATCCACCACCAACTTGCCTTCTTCAACTAGAACAGTCAAAGCACTCAATGAAGTCGAAGCTTTTGCACTCCGTGCTGAAGATCTTAAATTTGTGGCCAACCAGTTCAGACGGCTTCACAGTAAAAAATTGCAGCACACATTCCGCTTTTACTCCCACCATTGGAGAACATGGGCAGCTTGCTTCATTCAGGCTGCTTGGCGTCGTCATAAGAAAAGGATGTTGGCAAAAGATCTCTTAATGAAGGAATCATTTACATTCTCTGATAATGTGGCTGAAGAAACTAGCCAAGGAGGAGGGGAACAATTCTCTATTGTTTCAAATCCTTCTCAGACAAAAATGTATCTGGATGTAACCTTACTGGCGTCAAGGTTTGCTGCAAACACAAGGAGGGGCGTTCAGAGAATGAAAGATGACTTGCCAAAGTTACAGAAGCCGGCCGAACCTGACTTTTCCATCGAGCCTGATAGATAACAATATCCAGTAGTGTCGGATAGCTATATTTCCCTCTGAGAAGGATGAAATCCATTTCAGATGAGCATCCTTCTTTATGTCATCTGGTATTTCAGACCTTACAGCGGCCTGCCCATTTCCTCCATGATGTATAGTTTATGGATCACCTGCTCTAATCCAATGCTTTTAAGAGTTGGTGATGCAATTTGTGTCGCAAACTGTGTATTAATGTTGCAACCAGTAACCTGGTCATTAAAATATGCTAAACTCTTAAAGACAGTATCTGAGTTCGTTGGATGGTTAAACGAGCTGCTGCAACGGTAGCTGCAGGCTACAGCCAGAAAGTGCTAACGGAGCCATGCAGGGATGGGACTGCTGCTGCGCTAGAAAGCTTTATATTTTTAACATACTTTACATACTTTTTGATCTTTTTTAGTTGGAATTTTCTGACTTATCAATCATCCTTAGTTATGGCAGGACTGCCTTAGATTGAAGATGTTGAAAAATTTATCCAATCAGTCACTCTCATGACTTCAAACTGGTCTCAGCAAATTTATCTACGAACAGTAATGGCAATTTAAAAGTTTGTTATTTGAATCAAATATCACATTCTCACCCGTTCTGATTTGAGTAATCAATGAAAGCAAAGTGAACCATGTTCCATTGAGTATGAAGCAGTGATACAAATTCAAGGGTGTGACATCAGTTTTGGTTCCATTACATTATCTTTTTCATGGAGTATACCTATCAATGTCATAAAACTCTATGTTCTTGTATTTCTGGGAGATTATCTCGGCTTGTACTTTTCTGGCGGTGTCCGTAGCACAACCAACAAGAATAAGAACAGAGGTTCCTGCAAATCCTCTAAATGCCGTTAGATGTGTGGTTTGTTCAATCACAGCAGGGCCAGCAGCAAGGATTGCTAAGAAGGCTGAACCAAGTACTGATATCCGACTTAGCACCTATAAATCAGTAAACAAGAAGACATGATACAATCCTCAATCGTTTGAATAACTCTATTGGGGCTAAATCAACAAGATTACTGATTCAGCAGTGAGGAAAGTGGAAACAATCGCATTTGGTGAGGCAAAATTACCGCTTTCAGAAATGAAGCTGTAGTTTTGCCCGGACGAACGAGTGGAATCGATGCACCCTGCCGTTTCAATTGTTCACTCACGTCGTCGGGATCCAACTGTAGGAATGTGTAGTAGTAGTTGAAGAAGGCTATCAAAAGGATGTTGGTAGGCAGATAGAAAGAACCTAAGAAAATCCCATGTGTTAGTTTCCGAATACCAGAAAGTCCTGCTACTAATGATGAGAAGCCTCGTGCGAGGTAATTGAAAAGACAAGCGACTGAACTTTTTTTCTCCTTTCAAAAATTGAAATTTCAAACAAAACACGAATGTAGCATATTGTAATTGCCGGAAGATAAGAATCTCATCATTCATTAGGTAACAAGCCCCCGAGTTTTTTACCTCCTGGATTTAAAGCAAGTGCAGCCTTCTTCAGCACAGATACACCTGTGAAGCGAGCTAGAGTACCCGGAAGGGCTAGAGTCGACGTAGAAAAAATGATTGGCATTACACCAGAACTATTTACCTGTGATTAATATAATCAGTAGAACAAAAATATGAAATATGTACAACCTTCTTTTGGCTAAATACCCAGAATATAAATGATTAACTTCGAAATGAGAGAACATGAATAAAGATTTGAAACTAAGATCTCCCAGTTTGATACCATATCAAAGAGCCGCAGAACTTTAAAGTATAAGTTTCTTTGAAGTCAAGTTAATTGTTGACTAATATTTTTTCAGTGAATAAAGAATCAGGAATACAAACCTTGAAGGGCAGATAAGCAGATTTCTGAAGCCCTCCACCTCTGCTGGTGTATCTTGAAGCATAGTTGATCGGGATTTTCCTTTCTGCTTCCTGAAAACCTTGGTTCGGATAAATTATAAACATATATAATAACACATCTTCTGTAATGAGGAAAGAAAGCGTATAACCATTAACCATTACTTACCTGAACATATACAATCCCAAGTACCAATAGGAAGAAGGAGAATATTATAGCAACCAATCCAACATAGTTACCATCCTGAAAAGCCTGTGCAGCTGTTCTTCCAAAGGATGCAGGTAAATAGGAAATGATACTGGTGAATATTAAAAGAGATGTGCCATTTCCCAGCTTTAGGTCTGTGATTCGTTCCCCTATGTACGTTGTTAAGACTGAGCCAAGTGTTAATAAAGTAACAGAAGAGAGCACCCACTCTGTACTGAAATCATTAACATAAGGCCGAAGGTAGAGAACTTGACCAATTGCCTGGGAAGGAAGCGAGAGCTGAATTAAAGAATCTTAAAATAAAAGCTATCAAACTTTAGAAGTATATTTAAAGGTAAAAGACATCCATCACCATGAAAACGTTTTGGCTGACAAAGAAACATTATGCCATATTGAGTTATCAAGTTCCTCACCTGTACAATTGCAAACCCAACTGAGGCATATCTAGTATATTGAAGAATTTTCTTTCGCCCTGCTTCGCCTTCTCTTTTCTGAAGGTCTTGCAACTTTGGATATATTTGTGCAAGAAGCTGGAAGACAATTTGTGCATTGATGAAGGGAACAATGCCAAGGGAGCATATCCCTAACCTACCAATGCCTCCTCCAGAAAATGAATCTAAAGTGCTCAATAAGCTGTTCTGATCCAAGTTCCCAACAAAAGCCTCTCGGTTCACTCCACCAAGAGGGACATAGATTCCAAGCCTAGATAGTGCTAAATAGCCCAAAAGCTTAAGAAATTTCCCTGGCAATGGACCTTTGAAGAAGTCCCCTATGTCAATGGAACTGTCCTCGATTGCAGCTGCAAGATCAAATTAGTTTTAGTAACACCGGTACCGAATCTATATCCAATACTTTATATGACACCGAAGGACAATGAACAAAACCTGCCAATCCACGTGCTGAGGGAGATTTATCTTTTTTTGTGCTTGAAGAACTTTCAAATGTTTGCCCAAGTAAGCCAAGAAAATTTCCCCACGTACTACTTAGTTCAGATGAAAGATCTGGACGGATGCCCAAGGGATCAAAAACTGAGCTCTCAGAACTGAGAAAGAGAAACTTCTATCATATCAATTATAGACCAATCATCATCATGGGAATTCTAGAACAGAGAGTCAATGAAGATTCCAGCCTCACACAAAAGATTATATGTTTTAATTCATCTCCCAGGTTGAATGGAACTTCAAACCAGTGTATAGGCTTACTGGATCCCAAATAGAAAATAAATCAATTGAAAAGTGTAAGCATTCTTTTCACAATTTTTGTCAGAAACGGATAAATCACAAAATAAATGTTTATATAATTTGAGAGATCATGGTCCCGAATCATATGGAGTTATATTATTTAATTTGTTTAAATCTATCAATATCCGGTTAGCATTATTATTATTATTTATTTATTTTTAATCCACTAAGTGGGGGTGGGGGATTCGAACTCATGATCTTGGTCAGAGATAAGGGTCAATTACGGGAGGTCAGAGATAGGTGTCAATTATTGCTGAACTGAGCTCATGTTGGCATATGATTAGCATTATTAATTAGCTCAAGTAATATATTCAGAAGCCTGGATAAAGAAACAAGAAATTTTGTTGGCTCATCCTGAATCCACAATGTGAAGAGACTAGTTAGCCATGATAAGTTCTAGAGCAACGTATGAAACCGTAGCTGCAGGAAGCATGTAGTATGCTGTAAAGATTCAACTTTCAACTTTCAAGTAGTTGAACGCTTCAACTAACACAAGGTTAAACATCAAAGTAATCGACTCTATAGGTAAGGGAAATAATTATATGAAGTTTCTGGTTGAAGTATACGACTCTACAGCTCTTAAAAGACCAACAGCCAGAAAAAGTTTATCAACCAGATGGTCACAGGTTAGCAACTTAAATATAAACTAGACGCAAAAATTGAAACTCAAACTCATGATCTCGACCTTCCTTGGCAGTTTGGATCTGATTTAGCATATGATTGTGGTCTTTGTCCATGACACCTACCATGAACAAATTAACATATTATGAACTGATTGACACATAAGCCTTCTAATCTACTTATGGCTCCATCTTCTTCTTTTTACTCTGTTAGACACTTGAAAATAATGAAAGATTTCGACCCACCTTTACAGCAAGTAGTCCAATTGAAAAAACTAGACTCGAAAATGGAGCAACCATAAAATGTAAGCGGCCCTTTGGGAGACTATTTTTAAAAACAGCTTTTGATTTTTAATTTTAAACCAAGATACCTTTTCTAAAACTAAGTAACATGATTACCAAATTTCAAAATAATCTGCCAAAGACTTTCTCATCTAATTTAGTTGTTCCAGGTTCCTAAGTGCCGAAAAGCAGACTCTTGTTCGAGAATCATTGGCTAAAGGCTCCCCAATTCCTCAGGAAAATCCATAGATCTCCTTCTCTAAAGGCTCCCCTGCTATGTGCGGAGAAGAATAGAAATTTTAGAGAGCACAAAGATATTACAATGTTGCAGCCAAATAACTGCACCATATGCCGGGGGTAACACAAAAAGTGGGGGAAAACAAAATAACCACCCACAAGTCCTACGTCAAGAAGAAAGACCCATATAGAGAAAATCCCAAAAAGCAAACCTGCAAGACTAGTTCAAGTAATTGAAGTGCAAGGAAGCAGAAAAATAACATAAATGCACGAGACGAGTCACACCTGTTGGAAATGAGGCCAAGGTTCCAGGATTTTCTGGGGCTGGGCTTTCTAGGAACAGAGAAGGAAGCTCGGCAGACTGAACCTCGAGGTCTTGGAAAACGCTTAGAATTGGTAAGAGATTGAGTGGAGAGGGTGAAGCAAAGGGGCGAAGAAGAAGCTGCAGCAGCTTCTCTGACTGTTATCAACATTATTTACTCCCACCTCAGTTCTGAAACGCTAACGTTATGTTGGCGCTCGGTGGATTGGATTAGGCGTGTGCACAGATTCGCCCTATCCATTTCTTTTTCTTCTTTTCTTTCCTTTTATTAATTTTCTTTCATTCCCTTTGCTCAAATTTTATTTGAAGTGAGCTTGGCCATTTCAAAATATGAAACTTTTTTCTAAGCTTAACCCATGCTATTTCAACGGGGTGAGGAGTAAATAATATGACATTAGTTTAATACCTTCAACTTTAATGCCATGTAAAAGTATTATTTAATTTTAATGGAATTATGGTACGTTCGTTCACAAAAATGTTTGTCCAAACAATAAAGCTTATCCTTTTCGTACTAAAAAAACGGCTGATCCTTTTGCAAGTGAGTGACCTGCAAAATAGAGGTAAGACACTATTTACCTGGATAATTTAGTGCATGGTAAATTTAATCTTGTTTAAAATACATTTTAGATACATTAAAAATTGAAGGGTCTTTAGGTACTATAGGGATTGAGGAGTAATATCCCAAAAAATTTCAACTTGTGGTGGCTTGTCTTGGTAGTTAGAGAGTATGAACAATAAATCTTATGACTCCGGTACCAAAGATAATAAGCCGAAAGAACTTTCGGCTTAGAGAGGAGAAAACACGTTAACTTTCTTCCATAAGATATCACAAAATAGATAAATAAACACCTCACCCGTATCCATAAGGATCCAACTCACAAGAAATTTAGAGATTTAAGCATAGCATAACCGATTGGAGAAACTAAAGGATCATGAGTTCAAATTTCTACTCCCACATGTATTAAAAAGACCCTAGAATCCTTAACTAAAAATTTGTTACATTTCTTTTTAAAAGAAGGAAGAGGGGAAAAGAATCTTGACAAATGGTCATAGGCAGAATCATGTTTTTCAAACCCATCATCACCGATATGCCTTTTTGTTATGTGTGAACATAAATCTACATTGATTATAAACATAGTGAGAAAAGAACTACATTCACATCGAAATAAATTTGGATGGAAATGTAGAGACACGGAAAAATTAATTGCACTAATAAATTCAAAGTATCTTTTTTGTTTTGTTCTGCTATTGTAGATATTGTGTTCATTATGGAACAAACAATCATTCAATTTATATCTCAAGTTATATAGGGCTTGGTATAAATATTTTTGTGACAGTTTAATTTGTGGCAAATTGCAGGGATTCAAGTGGCTGTGGCCACTCAATGGCCATTTTTGCAACCATTTTTGCTACCAATGCAACCGACATTGTGGGACTCGTCTCCAAAATGGAAGGAAAGCTCCAACTACGCATCCTGTAAAGTTCAAATCGGAGAGTAGATATTCTCATTCGGTCACAAATCCACTGGGCGGTAAAACTGCTGCACAACCTCACCACCACGTTCACTCATGTTTCCCTTTCCTCTTGCCCTTTGAAGCCACGGTAGAGTCAGAGACACCCCACGTTATATATATATTTAAGCAAAAGTCTACTAGAGAAAGTCTTGCGGCAAACATGACAAACAAGCTTACGCTCATCTTTGTCATAAAACATATTTGACCCTTATCATTACTCGTGCAAATAAACAACACTCATGAGATGAACACCAATGACAGAGGATAAAACAAAAAAGATTAAAATACCATCCTGCTCCTGCTGTGCTATTCATTATTACTTCTTTATTGGGGAAGTTTATGAATAAATATGGAGGTGAACGCAATTGAATTAAATAATGCCAAGGAGGAAAGAAAGTACAACACATTGTTTTGTTGTCGTGTTAAAGCTTCCATCAGTCAACAATATACCCTCCTCTGCTTTCTCTTTATCGACAGTACTCAAAAATCTATTTGTTTTTGGTCTATCTAGAAGTAGAAGCTGTTAATACGCCCCCCCTCCCCCAGCCTTGGGGCAAACTATATATGCATATATGTACAAGCTTGTCAAGTGGAAATGATGATCCATCGTGTACTCAATCCTATACTCATAAGCTGTCTACTGCTGTCACTACTTTGATGCTACTGGGCAGCCAGTCTCCCCGGTCTCGGCTGCATGATTCACGGTCTAGTTCGAGAGTAACGACTACGGACTTGTCTGGCACGCCACCTGCTGTCTTTGGGATGCAAGACTTGAGTTGGTTGAAGCTAGGAACTAGTGCTTTCTCTGCCCATGCCTCTAAACCAGTTTCGCCAAACCATACCCCAGCTAAAATCTTTTCAAGAGCCTGGTTTTGTAATTCGATTGAGAACCCCTCTCCAATAATGGTGGAGAATTTATCGTTGATTGATGTTTTAATGTCACGGATAATCTGATTGAAGTTGACAGGCTTGAAGATAATGGCATCGTCGACGATATCCCGAAGCTCGCCTAATGCTGGTGAAGTTGTGGTTGATTCCATCTTGCTTTGGCCATATTCATCTTCATGATCAATTGTGAGGTCGCTTGAATTATGTGATCCATCTGCAGTATCATCCTCTGCATCAGCAGCCTCATTCAAATCAAAAAACAGAATTGGATTTGTATCTTTCCTTGTTTTTATGGACCTTTCATCATTGCAAAGCCAATTCGCTCTGCGTTTTAATAGCTTTTCAGATAGGGATAACCTCAATTGCCAACTTTCACTAGCTAAATTTGCAAGCTCCTTTTCACCAAGAGAATTGTGATCCGACGAGTACTTTAGATCGTTGGGTAGCCAGACAGTTGTAAGTATGAAAACAACATTACCGAGGCTGATTTCTCGGCCATGGGAATCAGTGAGCCGACCACTTTCTATCGCCCGTTTTATACTCCTGCGAAACAGAACATCTGCTTCATCAATGTCCTCAAGAACAATCACTGAAAATGGATTCTTCCTAACAGCCTCTGAAATTTGATCTAACGGGGTTCTACCACGGAAATTATTGTCCAATCCTCTATCATTACGTTGTGTACCAAGACAAATTGTGACTAGGACGGACCCAGATACCAGCTCTGCAAGAGCTGATGCCATCTTCTTCTTGCCAACTTTGTCGGGTCCCGCAAATAATAGCCAAGTGTCTCCTTTTGATCCACCACCTTGACGTTTCCTGTTGCCCAATTTGCGTTGAGTTATGGTGTTAGCCACAGCAGATGCTGCATCTCGCTGCCACCATATCTTTTCCATAAGAACTTTAAGGATCTTCTTGTATGAATCAATATCTGTTATACCTAGAAGTTTGGTACTTTGAGTGTCCAGAAACTTCATCTCAGGTCCAGAAGATTTATAATCTTGGCCCAAAAATTCTTTGATGCTGTCTTTATGTGTTTGTTCAGGAATGCTGCCAATAACCTTTCCTTGCCCAAGAACCAAGTCTGTTCTTAATGAGCTGTTGTCAGATGGTTGGCTGGGTAGTGGATTCATGTTCAACTGAAGAGTTGTACCAAGGCTCTTATTCAGTTCTAACCTAGGCTGAAAAGGCTGGCACTTGGGCAAGTTTTGATTATGTAACCCCGTTGTTGAGATTCCCATTGCCATATTTCCTATAGAACCAAAAACTTTCGGACGGTGGTAATTAGGATGAAGGCGCAAGCATGTATTATTCCATTTCATTTGTAGCTCTTGAGTCTTCTGCTTTACCATCAAATCTCTGTTCTTACTCTGAAACAAAAACAAACATAATTTAACTAAGTTTGATCTCGCTCATAAATTCATCACATACAAGGAAAAAATATAAGGTAGCAGTTAAATTTGAGCCAAAATTTACCTGTCTTGCATCTACTGGTTCAACATCAGAAGCACGAGCTTTAGCCTTTTGCAGCCAGTGCGGCAATACTGGGTTCGTGCTATCTGTTTTGACTCCTGAAGAAGATTTCTCAGACTCCTCGTTCATGAGTTTTTGTAGCTCTTCTTCATACTTCTGCCTGCACTGTGAGCAGAAAGCTGTTCTCGAACTATAATTTAGAGTCTCAGATTCATGTCCTAGTTGGGTAATGGGAGGAGTCGGAAAGAACTTCATTGGGGACAATGATTCAATCGTACTTCCTAAAATCTCCTTTGTTCCAAGCCTAAATTAACAAGATCGAAGAAGCAACTCAATACCCAATCGAGAATAACGAAATAAATCAATCAAGAACATCTAAAATTGCTAAATACTTGAACGAAATCATATACAGCTTCCCTAAAATTAGTAAAATAATCACAGAAACATTTCTGGGAAAGAAGGGCTCATCTACCCTATGCCTAAATTTCCCAGCTAATACGTGATTTCTGCAGTGACCCAAAAGATCTTAAAGCTCAAGAAAATGAAGGCTGAAGAATTCATTAACATACTCTGAGCTAAGAATCCATAAGCTGGTTGAAATAAAAAGGATAAGAATCCGAAGGTTACCTTGGATATAACCCAGAACGAGGGGCTTTAGCAACGACGGGGACAACCTGTAAATCCCAATTACTTTCAATTGAGGGATGGTAGACTTGGCATCTCAAAAAAGTTTCACAAGTAGCGGTTCCGATCAACCATATCCGGCCGGCAGTTTCCTCTCTGAATCTCATTAATAGCTTTCCAATCTTCCGAACGGCAGCACGTGCTGCCTCCGAGACAACTGGCTGCAGCAACATGCCGGAACCTGGGGCTGCAAAAGCCGCCGGCTGCTCAATCAACCATTTCAGATTCCCCAAGTCAAGAATTATGCTTCCACAGTTCGAATTGGCAATTCGGGTTCCTAGCAAATCTTCCAATTCTTCAAGTTTTGTGGGTATTTGTGCTCCATCTGATGCAATCTCCTTCTCCAAATGGATAATCTCAGCTTTCTCGAGCGGCCCATCATCAGTCAGTTCTTTCTTGTTAATTCGCCTAAAAAATTCTTCTAGCATTGCATCTGTTTCCGAATCCCCAACCACAATTGGATTTCTCTTCGTCGTCCTGAGCAAAACATCCACGATTCGTTTGACTTCCTCCCCTCTCGGCTGTCCCAATTGGGGAACGCTTCCCTGATGCAACCGTGTATTCAGATACAGATTCCGATTAGGCGTCGGCCCACCCAATCCAATAGGGGATGAATTCACCACTGGTATTGATGCCGAAGAACTCAAAGACCGTTCAATTGTAGCCTTAACGGCAGGGCTAGAAAAGCTCGCCTCCCGCATAATTCGGCTGACGCTTGGATCATCGAGAATCGATATAACTAGCTGTTCAAACTCAACCTTCACCGCTAACATAGGCTGCTGCTGCAATTCGGAAGAGCCGCGCCGTTGGTGGGCTTGTGCGCGTTTAAGGGCTGCCAACAGCGCATTGGAGATGGGTGGTTCTGAGCCGGCGGCGACGTTCTGCGCCGTGGGTAGGCGGTCGAGAGCGACGCTGAAGCAGAGCTCGAGAGCTCTGCACTGAAGTGGGTGCGACGAATTGGGATGTGACTTGATGCAGGCCTGGCGTAGGAACCCCGTTGGCGAAGCCAGCAGCGTCGCAGCCACATGGACCGGCGTGGTCTGGCCATGGTTACGGCGACCCGCCTCAGCGATTGAGTGGTTCAGAATACCAGCCGCCTCCGACGTCAGAGTTTGCAGGATCGTACCAAGCCCAGCTCTCATTTCCAGAGTCGATATCCAAAAAAAATACCGCCTTTGGCTTTGCCAATTAAAAAAACTAAATCAATTTCCCAGTAGAAATCTCGTACTCCCTTTCTCCAATCCAATCCACCATTGAAAACCCAACACAAGCTTCACAAGAAAAAGAAGAAAAAAGTCCAGAAGAGAGAGCAGGTGATTGAAAATGGTGGAGTTTGGAAGTGGCTGAGAAGTAGGACAAATGCTCACTTTCAGAATGGAAATAGAAATAAATCACAAGGAAAGGAAAAGATATAAAATAAAGTTGAGGTTTCTTGTTATATATAATATGTATATGTAATGTAAGTTTATATGGTTGGTTTTGTTTTAAATTTCCTCCCCTGTCCATCTGTCTGTTTCTCCCAGTTTTAACTTTTTATAATTAATTAATGTAATTTTAATAAGTTAGAGTTCCACCTCCCAAAAAGGTGACATTTAGATGATTACATCCCCTCCTCCTCCTGTCACATGAACCTCCTTCCCTTCCTTCTCTCTCTCTCTCTCTCTCTGTCTTTTCATCAGCATGGAAACATCCAAATGACGGATTTACCCCCCACTTCAAAAGTTTTCAATCATGTTCTTCTCTCTTTGTCGTATTCCCCAATTTTGCGTGATCAATTAAATTTCTTTTTGTCAACACGGAGCAAGGATTCTAGCTTTTTTCTCTTTCAATTTCTTTAATAAAATTATTTTTGTTAAAATGGGGGAATCACAACTTTCCATAAACCGATACGTCTTTTGTAAAGGTTATGTCTTTTTTATCAAAAGACATATTTTTTTTATTTGAATGACTACAAATAGTCTATAAATACGTGGTTCTTCTCAGTTTTGTAATACAGGAAAACTGATCCCTCAAAATTCTCTCTTTTCTTCTGTACGAGTACTGTGAAGTGCTACATTCACAGGTTGGTATATCCGTCATATCCCTGAGAGACAATTATTCATGAAACCTTGAGCACCGTAAAAAGAACAAAATTATCTTAAGGAAACAACGCTACGTTGGGTTCGGGTTTTTAATTTTGTGTTTTCTTAAGTTTTCTATGCATATTTCTCCAACAAAGATCAGCTCAGATCTTGACAAAGGTCGAACCATGGTGTGCAAAGATCGTGTGCTCGGCCCTCAATAGAGAACCATCTTCTTAGGTTTCACACGTAACAAGTCACGCAATCGTGAGAAACAATAGATTAATGGGACTCACTAGTCACTACTTACGAATATATAGATAACCAATCTTGCTACGTATGACTGCAATTTTGATTCTTCATCTTTAGAATAAATACTTCAAACTATAATTGATTTGAACATTGAGATTTTTTCTTTTCTACGTTTAGCTCAACAGGTTCATCATTGGTCTTTAAAATGATTAGGTGTTTTAGCTTACTGATTCAATTTGGTATCCTCTCATTTGAATTTGGGAAATGAAGAAGAAAATTGAAAAATACAAACAAAAAGACTGACAAATTTTGTTTTTGAATTTTGATGAGTTCGAAAAATACATGTCAATCTGTTATGAAACATAAAATAGAAAAGTAACTCGTGAGTTTGGTTAGATTTTATCTATTAAATGTATTCAATTCGTTTTTGTTAGATAATTGTTTGTAATTGGTTTGATTTTATCAAACATTTGTTTTTGTTTTTATTAAATAAAAATGGCAGTTCGGTGTCATTTTTAGATAGAAATGGATCCAAATCCACCTAAATTTTGGTAAACGAGATTTTGTTTTTTGTTTTCATTTTATTGACACATCTATCATCCAAATGTAATATTGTTGTCCACAAATTCCAAACCTAAACTCCCCTATAAATTTTCTATAGTTTTTCTTTAAATCCATTGGGCAAAAATTCAATTTGTAATTAACTTTGTGTTGTTATCATATATCAAAGAAATATCTTAATGGTCTACCGAATCATTGTTTGAAAGACTCATTTTCATTGGTAAAATGAATAAATATTTAACTTGTGGCTACCTTTGTCTCTTTTTTTTTTCTCCAAACTTAATTTTTCTTTTTTATTGTAAAATGATAGAAGTTATCTTCTCGTTATTTTTATGACATTTTAGTCGATGATATATACATTAACTAATTGAACTATATTCTTGTAAAAATAAAACTAATTCAACTATGCTAGGTTTGTTTTTGAATTCCATAATTACTTATTACATTTAGTTTAGTATGCATTTTGTTTTATTTTTAAAAAGGAGAGTTGAAAAGTAGTAACAAAACAGGCAAAAGAAAAAGAAAGAACAAAACAAAACAAAGGAAAAAAGAAAGAAAGAATTAGTTTAAATAAATATATCCATGGCAGTATGATAATTTAAGTATTTTTATGTGACCCTAAACAAAATTTCCCTTGCAAGGAAATGGAATTTAATCTTAGAATGTCTTAAAAATTAATTTTGTAGTGATATTTAAGTATCATGTAAGATAAATGAATGAAGAATAAATTAAAATGTAATATTAAAAATTATCCATCTAAATATAGCTCAACAGGTTAAGACACTTATCAATAATTAAAATATCGTGAATTCTAATCTCCAACTGAATTATATTAAAAACTATGAGACAAGATTGCTTATCGATTTTTAAAAATATGTTAAAAATTAATATTAATATTTTTTTTAGAGGATATGAGAGTTTGAATCTCCTATCTAAAAGAATACGTGGTTGTCAACTTTCATTGAGCTAGGCTTATTTTGATAATACCAACGTAGTTTTGACAATGAAAATGACTTTCTAGAATTAAAGATGTAATATAATAATGATGAAATTTTATTTAATAAAATGCTTTGTTCATTATTCAATATTCATAGAAGCAAGCAATTAATAATAAATAACTAACACGTTGCTTCTTCTTATTCTTATTATTATTATTGTTATATATATATATTTTTTGTGGGAACAAGTTGCACCATAAAGAATTATTAATTTAAGTTGTAGGTTTCACAATTTATTAACAGATAAGATATGCTGCAGCCACTGAAATTTCTCTTTGGAAATTATCGATTATACTTTTACTACAATTATGACATCACCTATCATTCATCCTATTGACCATATTGAAAAGTCATGTGAATTGACCTTTTTGCCTCATTTTTTTCCATTAGAAAAACGTTAATTAAATATTAAAAAATCATTCACTTGTACATGATATATTGAAAGAATTTTTATAGTTGACTTGAGCATGGTTAAACTAATCAAATCATTGGTAAGTTATTTTAAAAATTTTAATTTTGAACTTTTAAAGTTTTATTCAAACAAAAAAAAAAGAAGAATTATGAACATTTGCTATAGGCTCCGATCCAAGGTTTATGCGGATTAAAAGCAGGTAATTAGGAACTTTTTGGATTGAATTTTCAATAAATATTATGATTTTCATACACAAACATGGCAAAGGTAGCCCTAGTGGAGTGGCCTTCATTTTTTAGTTGTTTGAAAGTGTAGAAAGCTTTTGTAGTGAAATGGTTTGAGAAAAGGTAATATTCAGTTACATAATATTTTAAATTACATATGGTATGGAAAAAATGTTATAAAAAAATTTAATGCACGAAACTTAGAATTAAATAGGTCGGTGAGCAGTTGGCGTGAACGATCTAAAATCTAAAGTGGGAAAAAATGGACAGAGGAAGAGGGTGTGAAAAAGGAGGAGTTGTTTCATTAATTAGGTTTGACAAAATAAAAAGGCGATTTCGGAACCGACCAATAAAAGAAGTACATTGAACAGGCTTCCGGTTCAGTTTGCTCTGCTGGCCCCGGCCCGGCCCCACACGATTTGACTCGGTCAAGTTGACCGGCCGCACAATAGCTGCCCAATCCTCCTACTTTGACTTTGACCACCCCATATCAAATTTATCAAAATGTTATCCCACGAAATTTTGTATTGTATTGCTCCTCCTCCTCTACCCCATTCTACAGTCTTTTTCAGTTGCCAGATTTTAGATTAATTAACTATTACAATGCTCTCCGGCCATATGCTCCAAAATTTTTTCAAGAGCTTCTTGTTTTTTTTTTTTTTGTTTCCCTTTTAAGAGAAAAAAAGTTACCATTTTTGAGCCGATGAACTTATGAATTAACTCACAGTCGAATTCTTAATATCGCTATAATTAATTTGCTGACGAAAGACATGGTCGTTCAAAAGGAGTTACTATTGAATTTACTTGTTTCCTCGTCAAATTGTTGGTTTGAAGATGTCAAAACTCTATCTTCGCTAATAATAAAGTTTTCGAAGTTTTGAATTTTAACTTTAGTTTCTTTCGTCTGCGTTCAGCATGCTCATAGGAGCCATAAGTTTATAGTCAGGGACTATTTGTACTCAATGTATATTGTCTTCTTCAAAAAAAATCAAAGGAGGAAAGGCAAAATTTAATGTGAAAAGGTGAGGAGAGAGCAGATTTGATGATTATGGCATACCCTTTTGGTGGCGCACGCCCTCTCCTTCCTTTGGCTTGCCTTTCTTCTGTCATCATGCCTTCTGGTTTTACTTTTGGCATGTTTCTCTAATTAATTTCTTGTCTAATCATGCTTTTCCCTCTTCCTCCTCTCTTTTTCTTTTTAATTTAAACGTGACCACCTTGCTTTTCTGTGGACCCACCTCTCTTTTCAATTATTATAATCACAATTAGTCTCAACCCTTTTATTTATTTATTCATTTTGCGTACTATTTATAATTGTTTAAAACAAATTATTCATATTTATGATAATTAGGAGAAAGAATCTACTCCCACTTGAAAGAAAATAACAAAAACTGTCACATATAGAAAAAGTTGTTTAGGTGGTGGAAGCGGAAAAGACAATAACTTTAGTTAAAGAACCTCAGAAGAATAAAGTAAGTTGCAACTTGGATGGTTTGTTCGCTCTCTTATAATCTTAATTTTAATTTTATTGTACATAATAAATTACTAGGCTTTTTTCTTATCCTCACACTTTTGTATATTGTAGGTTTATATTTAACTACTGAAATTTAGTTATTTAAATTCATAAAAATATGAATTATATTCAAGCTGTTTTACATAAAAGAAAATAAAAGTTGATAAAATCATAACTTCTTAACAATGCTTACTTTTACCCTAACGACTTTATTTCTTCTAGAAATAGGAAAGAGATGAAAAGACACAATCTACCCACTTTAGTTTCCATCTCCATTTTTACCTAATAAAATTCAAATTTATAATCCATAGCCTTCCAAGATTTATGATGGAATATGATGACATATATAGAGGACCCAACAATCAAACCTAAACTCTTTTTCACCAATAAAAGCCAAACCCCACTTGAGTTTTGGTAAATAATTATTAATTTGGGTAGGCAATATGGTAATTTTAGGTTATAAAGAGTCAAACTTCAAGATGACACATGGCAATAAAAGCACTTTGCAAAGTTTGGGGGAGAATTGAGAAGCATCCCCTCTAAAAAGTTTTGGTGGCTTCTTGCATCCAAAGCATTTGGACTTTTCTCCAATCCCCACCCACTTCCTTTCTATACTTTGAGAATAAAGCTAACTTGTGTTGCTTTTGAGATGACCAAAAAGAAAAGGCACCAAAAAGGGGTTCCCTTTTGCAATCCAACTTCACTATTAGATTTATTCATAGCATTATATTCCTTTTCTTTTTATACCTTAACCTTTTCAAACTCCAATTAATAAACTCAATCCACTAATTTAAGTTTTCTTTTAAATACTTTTAAAGAGTGTGGTAGTTAAAATGATGTGAAGGATAAAAGGATGGTAAATTTTAAGAGATTATATGTTCTTCAAAAATCAATAAAAAAAAAAAGTGTTAAGAAAATATATTAACGTTACTGTTTTGAGCAGTTCAATTCAGTTGGATTTGTTATCTGAATTGTTGTAATTAGTTGCTGATGATGAACAAACTAATCTATTATATTTAACTGAATGTTATAAATACCCTTGCTCTTTTGATCATAAATCAATACAAAAAAAATCTCTTCTTATGATCATTTTCTGATCATCTTCTCAGAGAGTAGATGGTTTAAAATATATTCGACTAAACTTTTAAATTAAACAATGATTTAATACCATATCAGAGTAGAATATAAGATTTGCTATTATATATATAGATACATTTATACATACACGTATATATGTACAAACTCATCATCATTTAAAGGCGATGTCTAATCTCCCTTTTTAACACTCCTTTCTATAAAATTAATTAGCAAGAAATTAATGACCTTTCATCGTTAAGAAATGGACCCTAGAATTGGAGAAACTACTTTATATCCACCATTAAATTAAATTTTTTCTTGTGGATCACAATAATCTATTATTCTTCAAACGCAAGTTTCAAAAGGTGGGAGAGATTTAGCAAAAAGGTGTATAAAGTTAATCAATAGCATGCACTTTTAGATACATTTGCAAAAAGGAGAGACATGCTTACCTAAGACCCTTGAGTGTAAAGTTATAATGTCCTTTCATTAAAACTTTAGTGTTAAGATTTATATTAAAAAAAAAAAGAAGACTGTGTTTTCAAGAAACCAACAACTTCTCTTGAAATTCAATATAAAAATGATGTCTTTTTTTGTATACTCCATCCACAAGTTCTATATATTTATTAGTATGTAATGTAAAAAGTTGCAGTACTTTATAAATACTCTTAGACTAAATAAAAWGATTTCTCAATTAAATATCACCCAATACATTCCAACGAATTAAAAAATTGGACACACTTTCTAAAATATTTAGAAAGATGTCTTTTCATTAAAAAAAATAATAATAATAAGTATAGCATTTTAAAGAACTTGTTAGTTACTAATTCACTCGATAGTATTGATTAGTTACTTTTATCCTTTCGTAGCAGTGATTGGTTGACATAGTTAACCTAAATGTTTATTGAGGTAAACTATGGTAATTAATATAATTGATGAGTGACTTGGATGAAAGCCATAGTAATCTGACATATATATATATATATATATATATTTTATTTTTATTTTTTTATGAATTGAAAACAAATTAAGATATTATAGGGTTTGTTTTTAAATAAAATAAGAAGTGAGAAATAAAGAAAATTGAGAAAAGGTTTAATTGTTGGTTTCTATGTTTTTATGTTAGAGATTCTGATTCTGAGGGTGGGGGGTGGAAAGGGGAAAGTAAAGGTAGAGAGAACAATAAAGTTGGAAAAATGCAGAGGACGGCCGGCCCATAAAAGCTGCCGATGGGGAAGCTCAATTGTACCAAACAAATGAAAGCTGAAACAGGAAACATGCGTCTGTGGAAGTGGAACGGCCGCCCAAAAAGCTGCGTTTATTTGTACAAGTCAAACGCTCTTTTCGGATCCCATTCCTTTTCCTCTCTCTGCCTATTTCCACCCAGCATTTCAATAATTTTATTTTTACGAATGACGATAAAATTACTAGGAACTAAAAATTAAATTATTATCGTGATACAACTTACGAGTAGTTTGTTATTTAAATTTACTTCTCTATTTTCAAAATTAGCCAAACGATATTTGTCAATTGATGAATGTCTATTTCATTTTTTTTCAATTGTTTTGTATGTTTCTTTGGGACCTTTTACTTTTTTTTTTTATTCAATTATCCTTGTAAAATTAAAATATCCACTATCTCTTTTTAGATTCCAATCATTTTGAATTCGGTTTTCTTTAATTTTTGTAATATTCAGTTTTCTTAATTCTTTTTTTTTCTTTTTTTTAATTTTCAACGCATGTTTTTTAAGATTTTGTTATTTCTTTTTATTGTTTTTTTAAAAATTGTATTATTTTCCATTTCTCAACTCTTCAAAATTTACCTCTTTTTCTTCCGTATGTTCATCCATTTTACCTAAAGTTTGATCTATCACCTTCATCCTTTAAGTTCTTTTCTTTTTCCATCTTCATCCTACTTTCCTTTTGAACATTTAATATGACAAAGTTTCAATCAATAATTTTTTTTTGTACGCTGGTCAACGGGATGAAAGGAACGTTTACATTGATTTCAAAGATATTGATATTTTTATTAAATTCTTCAAATGCTCCTTTTACTTCCGTTCAAACCAACTTCCTTTTCGTGCGAGGCAAAAAAATAAAATAAAATAAATAGTGGGATTTCAGGTATGCTCTAATTTGTTTAACATTTATAATGTAATTTTTACAAATACACTCCTTTCTAGGAACCTATATCGAATATTCTCTAATTTGTTCTTGTTTGCAAATACTATATATATATAACCAAGAGACCTATATGCTCCAATTTGTTCAACATTTATATGCAAGTACATTTTATATATATGTAAATCTATATTTGATATTTAACAATTACAATATCTTTAAGAGCCTATACCATGTTGAGATTGATTCTGAAGAGGTTCAAATATTTTTCTTTTTTATGTGGTTGGCTGCTTCAATTGATGAGTGGATAATTTAACAAATCTTTTTTTTCTCTAACTTATAGGATTTTTTGTTGTTGTTTCATTCTTATTCTCCTATAAATCACAGGATTCCCATTAAAGTTAAAAAAATATTCTCCTATAAAATAGGTGGGAAAAAGAAAATTAGCAGTCGAGGAAAAAAGACACAAGATTCTATAAAAAGAATAGGTTAGTAAAAAAATCAGTAGAATTCTCCTATAAAAAGGTTGAAAAAAAATTAATAAGATTCCTATAAAAACAGATTGAAAAAGAAATCGATAATATTCTTAGTTTTTAGTAAAGAGTAATTTCGCACCGAAAATTTCTGTAGAAATTCTTCTATTTTTGAGCTGGCTATTCTTCAAAGTTGGAAGTTTTTTAGCCATTTTTAAAAATTATCTATTTTAAATGGTGATATATGTCGTTACTCTTTTTAATACGGTAGCCAAATTTTTGGGCCTCAGCTTACCCTAACCCAATTCCCAAACTGGCCCAGTTACAATCAGTATGCAACGTAAGAAGGCCCACGGAGCATGCATTTTGGGCCCACCAACATGAACCTAACAAGCCGATCAATTGTAAAATCTTGAAAATTCTGGAGGGAATTTGGGAATAACGAATGTTTTAAAGATTTTATAAGAATAGTGTACCTTATTCTATGTAAATATTATGGACACGCCAGATTTTTATTTTTATCTTCGATTCAAACATGTCTTTACTGATTGATACATACACATCCAAGAGTTCTGCCTAGGCTCAATTCGAGTCGTCTTGATGAATACACCACAGAAAGCAATCATATTTTCTTACTCCAATGCACAAATTATGCGCCAAAGCTCAGCATTTTATTCCAAGATTTGAGAGTTTCGGATAATGCTGCACGTTATTGGCCTTCCTCGTGAGCTCTTCACAGCTTCCCCATTGGCTTATGAATAGATAGACAGCTCCTGTAGTTATCGACACCGTCGTCAATGTTTCCCGTGCATTTTCAGTTTAAAGACAACATGCTGCCAGAAAAAAAATGATGATTGGGTTAATCTTCAACAATCAAGTTCTTATATCTTTCTGATCAAATATTGACCTCCATACCTTTATTTGCTTCCTATTGTATGTGTATGTGATGTGAACTGAACCATCACTGGCCTCAATGACTGCTGGATATGAGAATTCCTTTCCTGACTCATCCTCCAAGGTCATAACATCTAGCCATGAGTCACCATCATCCATGGACAGACCAACCTTAAGAACACCTCTCGACACTGTGTTATAAACAAGTAACAAACGACCATCCCTAAGTTTGACCCCATCAATGCCTATTCGCAAGAATTCACCGTCAAAGTTGGTCAAAAGGGATGGATGAAAATCTTATCGGAGATATTTACAGGTAATGGATGTAGCTCAGCCATGTTACCTGAGTTTGGATTCGGAAGATTTGTAGGCTTCGCATAGCTCCAGTTATGACCACCATCAACGGATTCTGACATGCAAATACTACCGATACCTGTGAAGGATCGAAGTAAAACGCGCAGGTTTCCATTTGCAGTCTGGTAAGGAACTGGTTGAATGACACTGAGAGATAGATTTTCCATGTATATTGGGCCAAACTTTCTCCAGGATCTACCTGAATCAGATGTGACCTATTATATTGGAGTGGGAAAGCATGTCAGCAACATTTTTCAGATGTCATCTGAACAAGTCCAAAACTAAAGAACTAGTTGGGGCATGGTGTTTTCAGAATAACCTCCATCCATGCGCCCCAAGAGTTCCAACTTTCAACCGAGGATCCACAGAGCAAAACCCCATTTTCAAGCAGGATTGGCTAAAACATCAGACAAAAAAGAAGGCAACTTCTTGAGCACAGTACAGTTCAATTGAATGGCAAATATCAGCACACAAGTTATACCTTATTCTTTATTGGTCCTAAGATACCAGGAGGAAGCTGTTCTCTTGTTGTCCAAGTAACGCCTTTGTCGTATGACCGTTTCATGCATCCACTCCATCTGATGTCATCTCCATCAGATAAAAAAAGTTAGAGGATTAAGGGTTCAACTTTCCACATTAAAGGTTATTCAATATGTCAGACTGGAGTGTACCAGTAAAAAAAGGGGTGCCACCCTGGGATTTCAGAAAAAGGAATGAATGGCTCTATCTAAAAAACTGAGATCAAATTTATAGTTGGGAAGTAATTTATGAACCCAACTAACTTAAGCATCTCAACTTCCCATGATCATTTCATTTATAATAAATATTGTAGATAGCCTTGGTAGTGCTTGGTAGCCTGTCAGCGATTAAGAATTCTGTTAACATTATGGGCTTGTTGATCCTGATACAGAACTCTTTGATACGTATAGAAATATGTTATCTTCAAATGAAAAGGATTCCAAATCATGCCTCACAATTTCTGGCTGGAGTTCAACAAGACAGTGCCACCATAGAGGAGGACGGTCCAATATAGATCCGTTGAAACTTTAATAACCACTATGAAAGATATTAATTCGCTTGCCTAAAGTTACCATTTCAGAAAACCGTTATAAGAATAAAAAAGTATACCTTTGAACATCGGGGCCCACTTTATAAAACAGAAGCAGCTCATCTGATGGAAGTTTGAACAAGACTGGATTCCACATTGGAACATCGGGCTCCTCATCAGCCACAACTGGCGAGTGCCAGGAGCCATTCTGCAAGTTAAATTTTCGAATAATTTTAACAAGAAATTGTAAAGAAAAGGTCACAACGTGGGCAATGGCGCAATGCAAGATAAAATGAGTTATTGCTTGTCCAACTACGTCTATACACTTGAGTTAAATTGTTACCAGCACTTGTAATGAATGTAAGCAAAGAATTATGAGTGGCAAAGAACGAACATCAATGATCAATGAGGAAAGTTTAACTAATATACAACTTTGTTAATTAAACCACTTAATAGTGCTGCTCAAAAAGCCAACTGCCTGTTTTACCATAAACACAGGCAAGGATGGGTGAAAGAATTTTGTTAGTAGTATTTGAAAAGGCACATCAGCAAGTAGGATATAACTCAGATAAGATTATGAATCAATGTTTAAATTTACAATCAGATGGCCTCAGGGGGCGAGAGAATCGGCTTGCTTACCTTATACACCTGCAACCAAATCTTGACGTCGGGTGCCCCCTCTAGTGTACCCCCGAAAAATGCCAACAGGTAATGATCTTTATCAACCTGCTCAATCCACAAAGACGGCAATCAAATTCTCCCCCAACAAAATCAGGCACCCAATTGCAATAAGACCAAACAGAAGTTTCACATCAAACCTCCACAATTGTAGAAGCATGGCAGTTGTTGAAAGGAACAGAATTGGCAGGAAATGTAAACTCCTCTAGCAAGTCTACGTAATTCTCTTTTCCCATTCTCAAACTTCTAGTTACTGAAGTTAGATTCGAACGTATTCTAGCTAATTCTCTGCATAACATGTTGACCATAAAAATTCCTCATTTGCGCATTTAATCAAACACCTAGTTCATATTAGAGAATAAACATACAACAGGAGAAATTCTGGTTCCAAACAGAATGCAAAAATTGGCCATCTCAAAAAATTTCATCCTTGATGATTACTAAGGGCGTAAAAGAAAAAAGGGATAAATTTTAACCACCTTGGTCCAACTATTTGCGACTGACCATTTACGCGGTGAAAATACAACGAGAATTTGGGAATTAAGAAATCGAATTTAGAGGTGAAGCTGTTTCCAAACGCTGGTAGTGAGACACTGAAAATCGAGAGCAGGAAGAGAGAGGAAATCACAACAATCCCCACTGACTTCCGCATCTTCCAGAAACTTTTGTGATGAGAACGAACAACTACAGGTAGGAGACGAACAAAGACAGACAAAAACATTGCATTGGGATAAAGTACAGGTAAGAAGTAAGAGCAGAAAAGTTGTCAAAATCATTAAACAATGCCTTGGTTGGTTCAAACCCCAAGTAAGGAGAGAAGCAGTTGAATGGTATGTACCTGAGAGGTGGTTCAAGGACTGAAATTTCTGGGTTTGATACAAGCAGGGAGATCGACGAGAAACTTGAGAGCCGAAGCCTGAACTGATAAATGGAAGTTTTGGTTTTGACTTGGAGTTGGAAGTTGGAACCAGAACAAATAATGTCTTTTTTATTTAAAAACATATATAGCAAATTTCTAAAACTATATAAAGATGGCATAAATTGAGATTGTTTTATTTTTAGAAAGTCGAAAAATCTTCAGATTTCTTAGAATTTTAGTTGAGGATTTAAAAATTTCTTTTTCTGGCTCAATTCTTCCTTTAAACTTATACTGCCTCATTAAGCTATTTTAATATTATAAATCTATAAATAGAATGGTGTAATTAAAAGAGATTAAAATATAAAAATAAATTGATATTTTTTCTAATAATAAAAGTGAAATTTTCTAAAAAAGAAATAATAATAATAATAATAATAATAAAAGTGAAATTAAACTGAGAGAACCAAAGTTTTAGATGTCCATTCAGATCTCAATTTAATGAAAATATTGAAATATTGACAAAATATCGTGTCAAATATTAATAAAAAAATCATAAAAATAAAAAAAGTCAGAATTAATTTAACCTATTTAAATAAGTTTAAAAACTATTTATTTTGCTTTGTAAAGAAAAAATTCTTTTTTATAATAATAATTTTTTTAGTACAAATGACTTTTTAGTTGAAATATATGTCTTAACTAATTTAATTAAATTGAGTTAATTTAAATTTTCAATTGGTTCATTAGTCATAACAATGATATTTTGTTAATTTTCTTTTTTAATTTGTCCCTCTTGTTCAATACAAGGTAAATGTTGTTTGGAAATTTAATACTGCCAAAAATTAAAAAAGAAAAAGAGTTTTTTGTTCTACTTCTAAATTCCAATAATCACAAACTCGGAAATTGCTTACAACTCACGGTCGCGGGTCGCGTTGCATAAGCTGCCGGTCGAGTTCGTTTCCCCGCTGAAGCTGCTTTCCAACCCTGAAGACTAAGAAATGGCCTACGGCGCAGAATCAAGATGGTCGACAGCCGCCATGAGCATCATACTGGCGTTTATCTCCGCCTCCGCCATCGTATCTCGTAAAACTTCGAAAACTTTTAAGATCCTCGAGCTCCTCTCTCTCAGTTCTCTGTTGTCCTACATTTTTCTCGCAATTGAAGTTTTCTACTCTTTTTCCCAGTTTATCTCGTGACCAGGAAGTCGAGAGAGTTGGGTTCCAAGGTTCGAGAGCTCGAGGCTTCTCTGGCGGCGTCTTTAAAGAAAACCACCGCCGAGAGACAAGGCCGAATACGGGCTCAGCAGGTATTTGCTCCTCTGCAGCATCGCTTCATTTTTCAATCTTATTAACTTATTATTGATTCTTTTACTTTTTCCCCGAATTCGTAGGCTTTAAGGAAAGCACTTGCGGACCCAAAATCTGATAATGTGGAGTGTACTTCATATCCCATGACACCAATTGGTGTTATCCAGTCAGCCTTCTCTACTAGGTTAGTTTGAAATTTCATTATTTGGCAGTCTAAACATCAATTGGGTTGATCTTTTCTCATTGTTGTATCCATCCATTAAAGTACATTTATGGATATGTTTAAGCCATAGTCTTCACTCAGATGTAGAAATCGAGCAATCAACAACTTTAATCGGGTATTTTTTAGGAATGGAACTCCAAGGCAATCTTTAGTCGTACCTCTTGCTAGGGCACGATTGGTGTTTTCTGCTCGTATTCCTCCAGCTTCAATTGAAGGTCTCGGAGAATATTCCCATTGCTGGATTATATATGTCTTTCATTTAAACACCGATCTAGATAAGTTGTGGAAGAATCCATCTAAATCAAGATTCAAGGCAAAAGTAAGTTTCTTCTTTTATTGATGCTCCTTAAAAATGGTCTTCATATTTCTATTATTCTTATGACTTCCTAAAATCCCATAAAAGGACAGCTCAATATTAGGTTAGAGTACCAAGGTTGAAAGGCAAAAGGGTAGGAGTCTTTGCTACTAGATCTCCACATAGACCATGCCCGATTGGACTCACTATTGCAAAGGTAAGATAAAAGTTTCAAGCTCAACTGCCATTTATAAATCTTGTGAGTTGGAAAGCTGTAATGTGATAGTCCTGTGGGGGACCTCCTCGGCCCCTGCCTTTAGGCTGTTTTCCTCTTGTTGGTCATGATATATTTTGTTTCTTATAAAAATAATAATAATAATAAATAAATCTTGTGAGTTGATTCAGAAAGCCGCATCGGATCATAGACATTTGGGCCCACCCCACCAATTCTAGATAGTTCTCATTGTCTTACGTTTGGTCTAATACGTTTTGTATCATCAATGTAATTTAGTAATAGGAACTCATGGTTACAAAGTAATTCATGACAGCCAAATGCAAAAGAAAAGAAAAATGGAGGAGTTTTGAATTTTAGATTAAGAAATATGCTATATTACCAATTCAGGTGGAGGCTATCCAGGGGCATCAAATTCTACTCTCTGGTGCTGATCTTGTTGATGGAACTGTAAGTTTTTTTGTTTCTGATTTCTTCCATCCAGCAGGATAAAGATTTAGTCTTGAAAGAAACCATTATTTCTTGGTGGTGATGATTGTTGTGATTTCTTGCTTTGTTTGAATTTTGTTGCAGCCAGTACTTGATGTTAAACCTTATCTACCATACTGTGATAGTGTACAAGATGCAACAGTCCCAGAGTGGCTAATGGTATTTCTTCAATATTTCTATGGCTAAATGTTATTTTAGAATTTATTTGATGCTTATGATTTCCTATTCATCCTTTAAATTAATTTTTAGCCATGCATTTGTCCATTTATCTGTCCAACGGCCAACGTAGATTTATGTCCAGTCATCAGTGTTGCTCTGCTGCTTTTCAAACTTCAAAATGTGGAAAACCTCTACATATATGCAGGCCCAGATAACTGGTTGCATGCAAATAACTTGAGAAATATTAGCTTTTCATATACTTTCAGGTGCTATTTTTCATAGGTGGAGGTATCGATACTCCATGACCATGTAATATGTTTTATGCATCCTTCATGTCAATTTGACATCTTATTTTATGCAACCGCAGGGGGACAATTTGTTGAGTGTTGCATCAATTTGCTTCTCTGAAGAATTTACTTCCACTCTATCTGATTGTTGGCCACTGATGGTGAGGTTTTTTAATTTGTGCTGGCTAGTTCATTTTAATTACTGATTTGAAGTTCAGCTTGTTCATCTTCATGCAATACGCCAAAAAATTATATATTTTTTCGCGCACGGGAAAAAGAAACAATATATATATACATATTTTTGATAGGAAACAGAAACTTGTCATTAGAAAGAACCGAAGAACTGCCTAAAGGTACAGGGATGAGAAAGCCCCGCCTTACAAAAACCTAATGAAAAACAACTTTTCAATTGCGACAAAGCATCGAAAGATTGTAATTACAAAAAAAATCCCTGTAGTTTGGACACCAAGTTGAGGCGGTAATTTGTACACAATTTAAAAAATAATTAGGAGAATGTATCTTCTTGTTGAAAAACAGTAGGGAATATTTTACCTATCCATTCTAAGTTTTCCTTAAGTTTTGGATATTGGAGAGGTCTAATGTAAGATCAACAGTCTGGTTTCTTTTGTTTTTTTGGTATCAATCAAAGGGGCCTTTTAAACTATTATATTTTATGCCCCAAGGGATGCCCTTGCTGGTTAGGGCTTGGAGTTTTGGGTGATAGTAAGCCTTAGGTTGGAGCCAGTGAAAACTCTTTTTGTGTCCCGGTGGTGCTGTTGCACGCAAGGTCTAAATGCCTCATGATAATTTGTCTCTAGAATTTTACATGAACATTTATCTGGTTAGTTTCTTATTCTTTTACTTGTAATTTACTTCAAAAAATAAAAAGAGAGAGAGAACTGCTTTGTTGTCTGATTATGATTTTTTTTTTTTTTGAACTCCACATTACAAAGAGGTCGTGCTCTCAACTCTTGTATTGTACAAAGTAGGATATTCTGGGTCAGTATGTCTTTTGATGTTTCTAGCTCCCATATTTGCAACTAAATTTCACATGCATCCATATTTTTCTTGTTTCAGGAAAAGAAATCGCATTATGCATCTGCAGACGAGTTTAAAAACTTTGTGAAGCAGGTGCTTTCATGGGATATTCGATCACTATCCCAACGAACTCGACCTCATGAATCCCACATTGAGACAACAACAGGACATGAATTGTCCGATGGAAGTTCAGATTTAGATACTCACCTATATGACAAAGCTTCTGGCGGTACCCAAATTTCTTCTAAGAACATCATCTATCACCTACTTGTAGATGGATTAAATGTGTCATACACGATAGGTTGCCACGGTGACGTTGTTGTGGTTAAAGCAGAACTCGCATCACCCAGCTCAAGAACAAGAAGTAATTAACGCAATGCAAGCTCTTTTCAGTAAATCGAGGTAACTTGTCTTCCTGGCCTTGGATTAATTCTAAAACAATTCCCAATGTGGGGGCTTTTCTTTACTTTAAATTATACTACCTTGTATGGAGCTAGATCTCTTTACATTTCTTACTCATTCTTGAGAGTGGAATGCTGGATATGGATATGGTCTTAATTATGAGTTGTTGTTAGGTGGTTGTTGAAATAGTTTTGGCTGAAAATGAGTGGCTAGTTTTGATTTTGATGAGGGATCGTTTGACTTTTGTGTAACAATCTTGAAAGAAGAAAAGGAAGTTATATTTTAGATCTTTAGCTCCAAAAGTAAGGCTGTTTATACAAGTGACCAGGCCCCTATCAGGCTAACGTGATGTACTTGTGATTTAGGGAATTTGAAAACAGGATCCCTCTGTTGAAGATGTGATCCAAACGAAATGTTCACATGGCATGGAACGAGATCTAGGGGGTGTTCATGAAAGCATAAAATTTTGATTTATCTAGTTTTAAAAAATCAATATTTCTATCACTTCACGTGAGAAATATTGCAATAATTTAAGTTTTTTTGTAATTGTTTCTTGTTTTTTTTTTAATGAAGAAAAAAAAATTACGTTTGGTAATTGTTTTTTTTCTTGTTTATTTTCTTTTTTAAAGAAAGAATAGAAACATGTTTGGTAATTCTTTACTGTTTCTTCTCCTCTACAATTTTAAATTAAAAAATGTAAAAGCTTATATGATAATTAAATATTCAAAGTTTTTAAGCTTTATTTACTTTTTAAAAATATTTCTTATGCATTTTGCAAGTTGTGATAAAATAATGTTTTTATTTATATTTTTAAAAAATGAAAATGGGTATGAGATACTTGACTTTGTTGATTTAATTTTGGAAAGAAATGGGAACAATTAGGGCTTATTCGGTATCGTTTCAGTTTTTTGTTTCTTCCTTTTTAATAAAGAAAAATATAAATTCATTTGATAACTATTTTTTTTTGTTTATTTTTTCACTTGATTTTGTTGGAAATGAAAAAAAAAACAAAAACATAGTTTTTTTCTTCTAAATTTTGGTAACGTTTCTAAAATGAAAAAAAAAATATAAAGGATTGTTAAATACTTAAGTTTCTTAATAGAATTGGAAATAATTTTGGTAACATTTCTAAAATGAAAAAAAAAAAAGAAATATAAATGATGGTTAAATACTTAAGTTTCTTAATAGAATTGAAAATAATAAAAAGAATGTTACTATATTTCTAAAAAAGTTAGAAATATAAAATAGGAATGGCACTAATGAGGAGACTCGTTCATGGGGAGTTCCCTGTAATTTTTGGTATAACACTGACAGCCATAATTTTTATTTTGGGTATGCGCAGGGGTAGTTGGGGTATTAAAGACCTTCATTTATGATTTAATTAATTGACAACTTGTTAGCTTAATCTACCACTTAAAATCAAATTCTAATAATTATTTTTTATGAATTCTACAAGATTTCTACCCCCAGCTTTTTTAAGAAGATACATATATTGTAGACTGGAACGTCTTTGTTTAATTTCTAATAAAATAATAAAATAAAATAGCATGTCTAACATTTTTTCTTCTAAATCACTTTAATTTGTCTAATTATTGTTATTACTTTTTTGTTATTTGTCTGGTTAAACAAACAAATGTTTGTTCTATTGGATTTGTATGGGGTGCAAACAAAGTAAGAAATTAAAAAAGAAAAAATTAGAGACTTTTTTTTTTCTTTACAGGAAAAAAAATGTAGAGACCTTGAAGATACATTCATTAAAATTTAAGGATTAAATTACATATAATTAAAATGTTAGTTAAATATATAATATCTTAAATAATGTTGTTAAATATATAAACTCATCTCTAAGGTTTGTGTCATATTTATTTTTATACTTAAAATATTATAAATTATAAATATATCATTTATGTGGTAATTAATTTTTCAATCAAATCTTTAATGTATTGAGCACTAAAATTTATTAGTAAAGTGGTGATGCTGACACTAAAATGCATTTAATTAATAACTCAGTTGAAATGATCTCATATTTTAATATTTTAATTTAACTTGTTTAACATGATCTGACCTTGACCAACTTGAACATAGTTCGGTGGACTAAGGTATCTATATTCGATAAGAAGGTCGTGAATTCGAATCTCTTAAATATACTAAAAAGCCCATGATAAAACTGCTAGTCTCATCCATTCATAATGAGAGCATTTCAATCTTTTTTTTCATTTCATGTATTATTCTAATCTCATTATGCACATTACATAAAGGGGAGTGTACGAGATGAAAATCTCGCATAAGGTCTAATTCTTTGAATGGAATAACAAACGACTGTAATGGATGTCGGCTCAATCTGAAGGAAATTATGCGGAAGCTCTACAGAATTATTATGAAGCTATGCTACTAATCCCTATGATAGAAGTTCTATACTCTATAACATAGGTCTTATCTAGACAAAAATCCGCCACTGCATCGAGGTATCCCACAGAACAATCTATAACTCTGCTACTAATTCCAAAATTGCCATAATACACCAAAGAAGTGGGATCCATCACTTTTGACCTAAAAATATGAAAATCAAGTTCATATACACATGCAATTTTGGTTCCTCATTTTCGAGAGTTATAAATCGAAGTCATACTAATTTGAGCATTAGAGTATTTATTCTCTTTGTACTAGTCTTCCTTCCTTCAAATAGCTCGATTTGTCTGTTATTCATGTTCATTCAGGATTGATTAGATTTTCGCATAAACCATTCAAAAAAAATAAACATATAGCATATTCATCAAAAATGAGAAATATAAAGGGTATTTTTAATGGATAGTAAAAAATGGTTATTTTATTTGTAAATATAGCAATATATATATATATATATATATATATTTTGTAAACAACGCTAACGTTTTTAAAATCAGATTTTTATTTTTCTTGTTCCAGTTTTGACCTTGTTATTTCTAGAAATCAATAAACCTAATACAAAATATATGACTGATTTATTTGATAAAAAGTATAACCAATATACTGAATACTAAATATTTTAATGATATAAGTGATATACTTAATATCAAATATATCGACCACACTGGGGACAATCGATATACCGAATAAGTATATCACTTGTATAAGTGACATTGTTGTTTCTATAAATCAATAAAAGTTTATTAGACCATCATTGATTGACTTAAAGATGTCCTTAAACTGCATTGAAGAAATCTAGCACTAGTGTAGTACTTAGCTCTCAAGACACTCAAATGCCTTAATTAGTAAATGGATTAAAGGAGACCTACTTTGGTTGGGTTGGGTTAATACCATTTTTATAGTGGTTTTATTTCGGTGAAATGCAATCAATTTTTATTTGTATATTTTGCCATTTAGAATGCATTGGCCTGACAGTTTTCTCGTGTGGCAAGAGAACAGACCGAGGTAATTAACATCCTTCTTAGTCTTGTCGGAAGTCCCTGTTAGGTCCTCTTTATTCCACTGTTCAAGCTTATGCTTTCAGACTTTCTTGCAGGTTCATGTATATGAGTCTCACCCCAAAAAAGTCATTATCCATCGACTTTGGGTGCAATTCATCATGCCTTAGCTATACGACTTTCTAATCTTTCAAAATGTTGCATCTCGATGCCTTAGTTATACGATTTTTTAATCTTTCAAAATGTTGCATCTCGATTACAGTGCTATAACAAATACAAATGAGTGATATGCAAGAAAATGTCAAAATATACACGTGATTTTATTTGATTTTTTTCAAATATCATATTTGCATGTATATATTAACATGAATTGTTACTCGAAATGGCTAAATAAGATGACATTGGTGTTAGATTATATTACAACGTAATATTATTTGAATTATGATATAAATTAGATTATATTATTTATGAATAATTATTAGATTATGTTTAAAAAAACAATGGAATGGGAATGGGAATGGGAATGGGAATGTGAAGTCGGAATTGATTAAGAAAAAATAATTAATTATATATTAAGAAGAAAATAAAAAATCTTCATGTTACCAAATTTGGCTATAAGTTGATCTATCTGAGCATTTGTACATCCCACCAGCGCAGTTTCCCTCTAAGCCTTAATTGCGAATAGCGAGACCATCACCGACTCCACTCTTTACTCTCTTCATAAATCATTCACCTACTCGCCTCGCCCTTTTTTTCTCCTTAATTTCCTTCATGTCTACTCCCACTCCTTCCCTTCTCTCACACTCTGTCTAGACAAACCAAATTCTAATTCTAAGATATGGATTCCACAGCCGACGACGTTACTATTGCTGCTCGCTCCTCCTTAATCGACTCCTTGAGGGGCTGTGGCTTGTCCGGGATCCCAATCGACAAGGCCCACCTCAAGGCCAACCTCATCATGCCGCAGTATCTCCGCTTGGCCCTGCGGGATTCAATTCGCTTCAAAGATCCCACCGCCAAAATCACTACGCCGGAGAACGTCCTGCCGCCGGAGGCTCCTCTGGTCGTCTTCATTAATCCGCGTAGCGGTGGACGCCATGGCCAGAAGCTCAAGCAGCGCCTCCAGCACTTAATCAGCGACGAACAGGTCTATTGTTTTGTTTGTTTCACTACTTGCTATGAAATTGCGCATTCCGATACCCCTTTTGTCTAAAAATCAAAATTTGCCCCAAACTTGGAAAAGTAGACTTTTTGACCTTTTTATTCACGTGTGGCCGTACGTGTCGGGGTTGGAACTTGGATCTTCCTCTGTTTTTCGTGGATATTTTTTTGAGTTCAACGATTGTGGAGTGAGCCCTAAATTTAAGGGAGGTTATTGATTGACGTCTTCTTACCGTCTTCTTGTTAGTTCACTGAGTCAGCATCGCAACTCCAATGCGCGTGTCGCGTCTTGTTTGTTGTTTAAATATTTCAACCAATTAAAAAAAATATAAATAAATAAGATTCTTCAGGCTACGCTTACGACGGTATTATTTTTAATTTTGTATTGAGAAAGTTGGAATTTGGTGTATTGGGCAATAAAATTTGACGCTTTTGCTACAGAGAGTGGATTAGATTGACGTTAAAGTTTTGTGTTTGTTGGTTGCAGGTTTTCGATCTTTTGGATGTGAAGCCTCATGAATTTGTGCAGTACGGACTGCGTTGCCTGGAAATCTTGTCTGATCTTGGCGACGCTTGTGCCAAACAAACTCGTCAAAAGTTAAGGGTCATGGTACGTTTCTTTATTTCTCCTTTCCACATTTTTGAATTAATTCTATTAGAAAAAGAAGGAAAAAAAACATGAACTGGGCAGGTGGCAGGAGGTGATGGCACTGTCGGTTGGGTACTGGGAAGTCTTGCAGAACTTCACAAACAAGATCGCAGCCCTGTTCTTCCAGTTGGAATTATCCCTCTGGGTACTGGAAATGACCTCTCCAGGAGTTTTGGCTGGGTGAGTTTTTGTAATTTCAACACAAATTTTTGCATGAAGTGATCATCGTTTATTTCAATGGACATTGGTTTTTGGTTTGATCAGGGAGGTTCATTTCCTTTTGCCTGGAAATACGCCGTTAAAAGATCTCTCCACAGAGCTACCTCTGGCCAAGTTCGTTCTTTGGATAGGTGGGAATTCCAATTCTTTCAATGGCATTGCTTCTTGAATAGTAAAAGGCGTTTTTGAGTTGTTTCAAACTTGCTATTCTCACGGCGCAGTTGGCATGTTTCGCTGTCCATGCCTGCTGGAGAAAAAGTGGAACCACCACATTCTCTGAAGCAGGTTACACAAGAAAGTGATCTGAATGAGCCTCCTGTTCATGTAAATTATTTACATTTTCACACTACAAATTTTGCATTATATTCTCATTTCAGTCACGATTCAAAATCCATAATCCCATGGCTGCAGGATGACAAAGGAGATTTACCAACAAAACTGGCTTGCTATGAAGGAGTGTTTTACAATTACTTTAGTATAGGTAGGCGCTGTACTCACTTGTGTCTGCATGATCAATCAAACTGTAGAGTATTCGTTCACAGGTTTAATTAATTGATTCTACTATTTCACAAATGCAGGAATGGATGCTCAAGTTGCTTACGGCTTCCACCATTTGCGTAACAAAAGACCTTACCTTGCTCAAGGTCCAGTGACAAATAAGGTCCAGACCATCTGTTTAGCCATTGACGAAAGAATTGCATTCAGGACTAGTGGTTGTTTTGTTGTTTAATAAGCTTACACGTGCTTTCTTTTGTTTGTGACAGCTGATTTACTCTGGTTATAGTTGCACTCAAGGTTGGTTCTTCACATCCTGCTCAAAAGATCCAAATTTGAGGTGATAATATTTATATTTAATGAAAACCCAGTAGAATACATCGGTTTTCTTCCAGTTTCTAAGCACAGAAAGCTTCTCTGGTTGTAGGGGCCTTAAGAACATCCTTAGAATACACATCAAAAAGGTCAATTGCTCGGACTGGGAAAAGATTCCAGTTCCTTCCAGGTAGAATTACTCTAGTAACAGTACAGTAACCATGAAACTATGCTTTTATGTAGAAATTTAAGCTTGTTGAGGACATTAATTGATGTTCTTGTTTCGATTGGCTGTAGTGTTAGGTCTATTGTTGCTTTAAACCTACATAACTATGCAAGTGGAAGAAACCCATGGGGTAAGCCCAAGCCAGAGTACTTGGAGAAGGTACCCACTAAAATTTCCCTTGATGAACAAGTTGTTGTTCTGTAATTTGCTTCTTTTTGGCATTTGATATTTATTTGGTAGCAGAGAGGGTTTGTGGAGGCACATGCTGATGATGGTCTTCTAGAGATTTTTGGGCTAAAACAAGGATGGCACACATCATTTGTTATGGTGGATATAATCTCTGCCAAACACATTGCCCAGGTACTTCAAATTAAACGCATTCAGACATAGTTCTTCTCTTGAAGTTGAATCTAACTCCACGATTCTAGGGTGTTTGATTGAACTGTTGCATAATATTTTCAGGCAGCAGCCATTAGAATTGAAATTAGAGGTGGGAAGCGGAAGAAGGCATGTCTGCAGATGGATGGCGAGCCATGGAAGCAGCAAATAAGCAAGGACTCCTCGACGTTCGTTGAAATCAAGAGGGTTCCTTTCCAATCACTAATGATCAACGGGGACTAAACTTTCCTGATCTTACGCTGAGTGGATTTGTTCCTCTTTGCTGATATATATATATATGTTCAAAATATTCATTATCAACAAAAGCCTAAATTATTCAATTACACTAAAACCGATTGCTACTAATTCACTACATCAAGGGGAAAAAACTGTGAATGAAATGTAGAAAAGAAAGCACTGAGCTAATTGGTAGCGATGAATTGGGTATTATGCTCCCTCGCGAGGGTTTGGTCTTCATTTACTACGCTCAAATTCTGTGGCTGTTCAGTGGAATTGCTGTGGTCGGGGTCCGTTTGCGGCGTAGTAGTTTCTGTAATTTCAGGGTGGACTCTGGAATCGCTTGTTTGCAGAGAAGATGAGCGGAAATGTTTGTCATAAAAAAGCTTGCCCATTTCAACCATTTTGGCGGTGAGTGGAGAATCAGAGTGGACGGTGCTGGAGTCCGGCCAATGCGAGTGGAAGAACTGGGTCAAGTATATAAACAACGATGAGAAAGTGGCAACTGCGGTTATGCTGAATAAGCCACAAAAACTGTAAGCATCCAATCTTGAATCGTCGGGATCTGCGATTTGAACATTTCGATTCGAGAAGTATTTCTGCTCAATTGGGGTCATTTTGTTTTGATCTTCGGTCACATCCAGTATTGCCTTTGAAAAGTAAGGCACCAGAGGGGATCCTTTTGGGAAAGCCTGGAAAAAGCAGATCAATTCAATCGTGAAAATTCAAATTCTTCTCTGTAGCGTGAACGAGAGAGAGAGAGAGAGAGAGATTGGGGGAAGGGGACTTACGAAGCCAAATCCACCGGTTCTGTAAATGGGACCGACCATCTGAAAGCCAGAACGATACTTGGAAAGGAAGACCTTGATGTAAGGAATTTCGTCAAAAATGGCAGCGACTCCACCATTATCTGTTCCGCTGGTCAGGGCATGCTCAAATTCATCTGGGCTTCTGTAGGATCTCAACTTGGTTTCGTTAAACCCTAACTGAGTTATTAGAAGTTCTTTTACAAAGGAACCGTTCTGAAAACCCACGAAGTAACCCTTCTCTCTGATCTCATTCGCATCAGCAAACAAAGGTTTCAGCCTTTGCGCAGTCAACATGGATGATAAGTTTGCGGTGTAACTTTGGGTCAGGATTAGTACCACGAAAACCCATATGATCAGCAAAAATCTCGATAAATTGTTCAATATTCTTTCCCCTAATAATTTACCAACACATTCCAATAATAAGTTGAAGAATCTTACTAAAATAATCCTATTTTAATAAAGTAATGAGAGAGATAGAGAGAGGAGTAACGAACTGTGAGCAAAGACGAGAGTGGAGAAGCTGAACCAGAAGATGAAGCCAATTTGTTGCTGTGGAGGCCCTGTTCCAAAGTCAGTGTTGACACTGCATTCCAGTAACCAAACCACAGAGCCTGTAAATACGAAGGAGACGAAGGAAAGAAGCCACAAATCCCATTTGAATGGCCTCAAGAATATCCACATGTTCTTCTTCCTATCACTTGTCATGGAAACCAACATCGACACCCCCGATTCTGAATAAGGCAACGTGAAGTCCACGAACTCCGACCGATTCGCTATTATGGTGATGTCTCCAACCACTGCATCCATTTTGTGATCCCCAATCTGAAGCAGAAGCTCGTCGTAGGTCCCATTACTCTCCCCACTTTCATTCGCAAAAGGGACGAACCTGTAATCTATGGGAAGATGTAATACTTCAATCGCACTCTTGAACACATCGATGCAGAATCCGGACGATTTTTTAGGGTCCTGCTTGTCCACTTGTATGAACTCCGTGAAGCCCGGTTTCACTGGAATCCCAATTGTTAAATTCATGGGAGGCGTTTTATTTACGTCTCCCGGCCAGATGGGTTGCTTCATCGTCGTCATCACTACTCCTTCTTGTTCATCCTCGTTGTGGGTCGGGTTCCAGTACCCGATGATCCTCTCCTTCTCACCCACCACATTGAACACTTCAAAACTTGCTCCCTTCCTCTTCAACTCTCCCTTAACCAAATGGAAATCTCCACTAATCCCTTCAAATCTTGTGTTCGCAACTGCATCCGCAAGCCTTTTCCCATTGGATTTCACTTTCTCCACTGCCATGCCCAACGCCCACACCGTATCGTACGCCCACACTGCAAAAACATTGACGGATGGATTATTGTGCACACCTGAAGAAAGTGGAAGAAGTTTATTGAACCTGGTTTGAAAATGTTGGAGCTTCTCGGTGTGGGGCATGCGCGGCCTTACACCCACGATCCCTTGCATCGAATCCAGAGCCTGAGAGTCGGTTGTTGGATCAAGCATAGAGGAAAGGGCATCGGTGACAATCCAGGCGTACCCTTGGCCCATCATTCCCTCCGTCTGGGCCACAGTGAACACCTTCGACCCAACAGGAGCGGTCACGTGGAGAAGGAATATCCTCTTCCGCATGTCCCTCACCCTCCGGAGCTGCCTGGAGATTTCGGGGTCAGTGGCGGAGGTGGGGATGATGACTCTGCAGCCGAATCGGGTGCCCTTTAGTTGCAGGGCGTCGGCCAGATACGGGATGATGCCATGTCCAAATTGAGCGTCTTCATAAATTGGAACAATCTCTCGCCACCCGTAGGTTTGAATAACGGCGTTGATGGCCTCCACCTGCGCCGAGTCGCTTTGGGCTGGCCTCGTGAAATATGGACTCGGACTCAGGGAGGGGCTTGTTGCGCTGAAGGACATCACCGGAATTTCGTATTTCTTTCCAAACTCTGCCATGAACGCCGCTTGCTCCGAAGTCTGAGGTCCGATTATGGCCTCTACTTGATCATCTCCTAATAACTCCATGCCTGTGCGTCCAACAAATCACAACAACAAACGCCAAGACTATAAGTTAGTCCATAATTCTTTTTTTTCTTTTTTAAATACTCCTTATGAATTTTTTTATTTTCTTTTTCGAACAAGTTCAAAACACTATCTTGCACTTAAATCTTCTTTTAGACTTTCACAATTCTCCAGTTTTGATCCATAAACTAATTAGAAAAGAATTATTGAAATGGTTAGCTAAAATATCTCTCATATTTACAAATATACCTACAGGTTTTGCAAATATAACAAAATATTTAAATTTTGATTTTTCAATGTTTTAGTTTTTTCAATTTTACATTTCCAAATTTTTAGATCGAGAAACACTTATTAGCTAGTGTTATTGACTCTTTCAGTGATATAATAAATGAGGTATACCAATGATATATCAACACTCGTATTCAATAATAAAAATTGAACACAACACGGTAAAAGTAAAAATAAGTAAATATATAAGGTATGTTATTAGTATATTTGCATTCATATTAAGTATGTGATACATCACTCGTGCATAATCATCTATATTATTGTTTGAGCTCCGTACTCATTAAAGATATAATTTGAAAATTTTCTTTGTTCGCTTTGGCCTCTAAATTTTGCCATGTTTAATTTATCTATATATAAAACAACTATAGTACTCTTTACTGTTCATGTTTAATTCAGATCTTTGGAACCTACTTAGGCTACTGCATGTGGGTTTAAGAATTTGTTCACTACCTAGTGAAGAAGTAGATTTTCGACTAAAGATCAGAATTTGAATTGTCACTCTTACGTTGTTGAGCTAAAAAAAATAAAATTATGGAAGTAAAAATAAAGTAGGTACCTGCAGATGCAGCTTCGACGACATCTCCGGCGTCCTTGAAAAGGAGGGAGAGCCTGGTTTTATATTTAGGATTTGCAGTATAGAAATCGGAGAGGGCCAATTGGATGGCGGTTTTCGACATTTGTCCCACGGTGGAATTCAGATCAAGCACCACACCCACTTTCACAATCACGGCCTCCCCGCCGGCGCCGGCGCCGACGCAATTGCAATTGCAAAGCAGCACCCACAGAAACGCGAGCAGCGACAGCCACAGCCACCATTTTCTCCGGCCGCTTCTCATAACTCTCAACTCTCAGCCACAAAACAAAACCACTCTTTATATTTTTCTCTAACTTTTGTCTTATCTTTCTCTAAGCATTCTACTTCTCCACGGCTTGCTGCAGCTCATTTATAACGATGCCGCTACCCCTCAGTTTTGAATTTTCTTCTCTTATTAATTATTTGTCCACTTATTAATACCGACGACAGAAGCCATTTTAAAGTTTTAGAATGCTACTTTTTTTTTCCCATTTTCAAAGGAAAAGAAGAAATTATTTAAACGCGTTGTAGGTTTCAAAATCTATTAATTAATTAAGCTCCTAAGTAACTAGTAAGAGTTTAATATATATTCAATATATACAGTTTTCTAATTATCTCTTCTACCATCCAAAAAATCAAACATTTCTTAGTATTTTTTATATCTCATTTTTTTTGAGTTTGATTTTAATTATGTTATTTTTTAATAATAAACTTTTGCTATATCGGAAATAACTATTTGTGTAAATATCTCTCAATGAAATGAGACATATTTTTCGTGTTAATCATAATTATTCCTCATGGAAAATTTCTAAGATTTGTGTTTTAAAATATTATACTCGAATAATCGAAGTGGATCGATATATAGATTGTTAGAGTTTACTAAGTTTTAATTAGAATGAGAATCTTTAGATGAAATTGACTCTTGAAAATGATATAAGATAGGAGGGGAGAAATAAAAAGGAAATTTTAATGGGTGACAATTCACATGATTGTATGATAATTTTTGTCATCATCAAGATACGAAAAATAAAAGTTTAGAGAGATAAAAAAACTTTCGAAGAACAGAGATAAAAAACATTTAGAGAAAAAATTTTAGAGAAAGAAAAGTTAAGGACAAAAAAGAAAATTTTAAAGAAAGAAAGTAAAGTTGAGTGAAAAAAAAGGTTAGAGAAAAATAAAGAAAGAAAAATTATTGTGAGAAAAAAGTTTAGACAAGAAATTCGATGTATATTTATTAGAGAAAAATAAATAATTAAAAAGAGAAACAAAAGTTAATAGTAAAAAAAAATTGAAATTAAAGAGAAAAAATTTAGATAGAAAAAACTTGATGATAAATTAGAAATAAAAGTTATAAAAAGGGAAATTTGAAAAGTTGGGAATATTATTAAATTTTTAGGGAAACAAAAGTCAAAGTGATATCTTAGAACAGAGATAAATAATTGTAAATATTCTGTAAATAAAAATTTTAGAATATGAGATTTTAAGAGAAACATATGTCAAAAAAAAAATTGAGCATGAGAAGAAATTTGAGATTTTGAAAAACTACTTATTTTTGGCTTTTGAATTTCAAAAACGTTTTTAAAAAATAAAAATTAAAAATTAAATTGGTTATCAAACATACCTATTTTTCAAACATCAAAATCAAAAACGAAAAATAGAAAGTAAAATATTATTAAATGGACCTGTAATTTTTCAAAATTTTTCATGTGCTTATTTAGACATTTTTATTCTTCTATATTATTCATTCCCACCAATAAATGACAGACTATATTATCGATAGGCTCCATTGGTATAATTCATCAATCCTATAGTTTATCTAAAAGAATTTTTAATGAAGGATTGAATTGTTACAATAATTGTAAAAAACAAAAGGGGTAACTGCAGGAATGATTAAAATAAATAATACGTTTTAAAAAATGGCCAAACATATAAGATATTACAGCTAAATCACATTTTTTTTAATATTCAATAAATATTTTAGACCAATACACCCCTGTAACAAAAAATTAGGTATACATACGGGATTTATTTGATAGAACGAATAGGGAGGAAATCAAGTGTATCTAATAAAATAATTGATAATCAAATTTAAACCACTTAATACTTTGACTTTTTGGCCCTTAATCTTAAATTAATTCATTAATAAATATTTTGATGATAACAAACTTAATTATATTATTTGACAATTTTAGTGTTTTTAAGTGTCAAGAGCCTAGAGCTCCAAACAACAATTCCAACGATATTTGAATCACCCAAATCGGAGTTCAAACGAACAAATTATGACAAAAAAGTTGAAAAGAAAATATCGAGAAGATAACGTGGCGGCTAAATCGACCAATAAAATAATGACACGTGGCAAGATGTATTTACTTAAAAAAAAAAGAAAAAAAAGAAAAGAAAAAGTAATAATTTGTTAAAAAATAATTTAAAAAAAACATGTCAAACATCAAATGACATGTGACGGTTTTATTTAAAAAGAAAAGGGAAATGGAAGTAGCCATGGAGAGTTATATATATATATATATAATTTTATTATTATTATTTCATAATTATTTATTTTCAAATCAAATCTCAACCATTGATTTGTTTTTCTTTGAAATTCAATGGTCCAATTTGATTTTGGTTTCAAACTAATTTTAAATCTCTTTTCCCTCTATTTAAATATCCTTCTTTACCCAAATTTTCGACAATAATTTTCTCCCCAATTTTCTCTTCAATCTCTTCATGTTTTTTCTCTCCAAAATTTCAATGTTCTTATAATTTCTTTCGAGAGATATTTGAGTTTCCAATTTTATTTTCTCTTAGTCATTTTACGGCTTTTATTTTGTAAGAATTTTTCTTACAAATTTGTGAGCGTAAATTTGTACATCCACTCTTTTGAGAGAGTTGTAATATGATCTTGTCCTTCAAATTTCTATATTCTTTGTAAGGGTTGCTCTTGAGCTTGAAAATGAGCATTTGTAACAGTTTGATCCGTGAAAAGGATCGGGTTCGTTCTTGCTCTCGTAAAAAGAACTTTGTACTGGTTGGACTCTTAAGCCGTGGAAAGAGTCAAGTTCTTCAATTGAACACCCAAGAGGAGCTTGGGAAGTGGAGTAGGCAGATTGTTGCCGAGCCACTATAAAATTTATGCTGTCATTTTCTCTAACCCTACTCTATTTAATTTTTGCAATTAATTTTCTTTATTATGAATTGCATGAAATTAATTGCTACAATTTGTTATTCATATTTATGTGCAATATTTCGGTGGTGAAATTAATGAGGGTGTTTGCATTTCTAATGTATTGTTTAATTAGTGATAAAATTATACGTTCATAAAAAGTTTACATAATTATTAAAAAAGTTTCATCATCCCCTCTAGTATTGTCATACCGATCCAACAAATACTCTATATTTTGAAACGAGATTTTGAAAACAGATTTTAAAATTATAAAAAAAATTGTTATGGTAGATTTTGAAATTTATAAGTTTAAAATATAAAATTCCTAAATAAGAAGGGTAATTATGAGTATTTTAGTGAAATTTATTAAAACTTAGGATCTTGAACTTGTATTTGAAGAAATTGGATTTAGGGTTTGTTTGGTAGCAACTCCTCATTTTTGCCCCACATCTCCATCTCTCCTCCAACTTTCATCTTCACCTGTAGTCCTCCATCGTCCCACTCAGGTCATCGGTCAATCATGTTCCGGTCAGTTGTCTCCTTCTAATATCGATCAATTTTGTCCCATTCCGGTAAGTTTCTCCTCATTCCGTTCAGCACTCTGGCCGTCGGTGTATGACTCGTTGCCCAATTCTGATTCGCGTGTCGCCGCCCAACATTCTGCACGCTGTGATCGACCGACAGTCCAGTGTGGTCCAGTTGTTTTTATTTTGGGACTTTGAATGATGGAAAATGAAGAAGAAGGAAATGTTTAAAAGCTTGTTATTTGCCTTCCCATAATTTAGGGAGAATTTAAAAATAAAACTTGTTTTTTGTCTTCCGGTAATTTAGGAAGAATTTTAAAATAAAAAATAGACGTGAACTAACCACATGAATGTGTCTTTTAAAATCAAATTTGAGAAGTATATCTACGTAAGTCCAACTACTTTATATAGTCTATACATGTTATTGGTGACCTTCTAATTTTAATATTTTTGCAATTAGTATATACATGTATTGACCTTCTAATTTTGATATTTCTTCTTAGTACATACATATATTTACCCCTTAATTTTGATAATGAGTTGCATTGTGATATATAAATGTATTGACATCCTAATGTTGATAATTGAGTTGAATTTTGATATATACATTGATCTCTTAATTTTGATAATTGAGTTGCATTATGATATATACATGTATTGACATCCTAGTTTTGATCATTCTTGAATTGGTACTTACATGTATTGACTTTCGAATTTTAGTAATTAAGTTGCATAGTAATATATACACGTATTTTTCATATAGTTATCGACCTTCTAATTTTTATAATTGAGTTGCATAATGATATATACATGTATTGCCCTTCTAAGTTTAATAATTATTCAATTGGTATATACATTTATTGACATTCGATTTTTAATAATTCATCAAATATTTAAAAGGATGATAGAAAGTTTGATGAGAATAAAAGGGTGAATGATGAGTCTAATAAAGAAAAGAGAAACAAATGAACGTCGAAAGAATATTCAGAAACTTAATTTGATAATCAATCCATTGTTGCAAAGAGAGAAGAGGGGGCTTAGAAGAAGATATAGTATAACAATGGTACAAGGATGAGATGTGAGATGACAAATCATTTAAATTAACTGAAATTCAAAATAAAATAATTAAAATAATTAATTTAAAATTCCTTTAATGTAGGAATAATAATTTGAATTAAAAAAGAGGTTTGTTAGGTGGTTGAATATAAGAAAAATCCAAAAAAAATCATGGAAAATGGTATTGTTGGAAAATCACCGTATTTTGTAAAACTCCTAAAATATCATTTAGCTATTTGTGCAAAATTTAAAACTAATGACTATTTTTTAAACTGAGTACCAAAATTTAGTCATTCACTTAAATTTTCCAAAACAAAAGGACACATACTCCATTAGAAAGGAGAAGTTGGAAATAGGATGGTCACACACGATGAGGAATGTGGTAAGTAAATGTTTTATTTAATGTCAATGTAAATAGAAATGTGGAAGTCTCGGCATAAATATTGGTTCAACCTGGAATTCATGAGAATATATAAATGTTAACGTGAACATGTCAGACAGAAATTTAATGTGTTAGTAGTAATAAGTTGTTGCGATAAATGSACGCGTAGGACAACATCATGCATATTTGACTATTTCAACTAAAATTTTTGTCCCTTGATAAGKGGAAACAAAAATATGACACTTTTATCCTTAGAGACAATGCTAATCCTATCACGAAAGCGCGTATGGAAAAATATAAGTCGGTAATAGAAAATCCACATGAAAGTGACACAGAGAGAGAGAAAAAAATGTGTTTGAAGAGATGCAAGAAAAAGCATGTTGAGAGAAGGATAATTATATAGCAATTTTTTATTATTTGAAAAGTGAGGCATGAGAATTTTAACCTACAATTTTTTTACCCGAAGGAAATGGGTTATATGTTTTTATGTTGGACTAAAATTATAATATAAGTGTAGGTGTATAAAGGAATTAAACTTAATTAAGGATTTGAATTAGGCTAAATTTGTATGGGTTAATGATAATATTGGGAAACGAAGTAGATAAAGATAATTATGTTGGAGTGTTGATTTTTTTTCTTTTTTCTTTTTTATACAAATGTTGGTAAAATCGAAAGACTTGGGCTGTTTATAGCCACACGATGGACATGGAGAAGCTCCGTAGTGACGTGATGAAAGAGATATGGAATGAGGTTTTTCATAATGGCCACAGTTTTCTCTTTTCTTGCTGTTCAAGTTCAGGATTTCAGATGCCAACGTCAACATAYGTGACTCAGCAGTAATTGTTCAGAATGTTCATATGATTTTTTTTTTTTTTTATCCGCGGATCTCAATTTGAATGTTTTTTTTTGTCGAAATTTATGGATTCCATCCCAAAATCAATTAAAAATGAAAAAAGTAGTTTATGTATATTATAAGTTTTTATTAGATCTCTTAGCTTTTTCAATGGGATCCTTAACAAACTCTAATTTTTCTTTTCTATCCCACATTCGACTAATATTACTCTAAACACCAAAATTTATGATTTTTTTTTTTTGTCTAAGTGCCTACACGAGTTTTATATGAATATCGTGCACACATTTATCTCATATAAGTCCGTGTGATTGATTCAACATAGCTTAAATGGTAAGACATTAATTACCTATCTATTATAGATTATAATTCATGTTGAATTAAAAAAGATATTTGTACATGTCTTTTTTTTCTCTAAACTCAACTATTTTTAAATAGGAGATGAAAGAACTTAAATTGGAGACCAAATCAATTATTATATTTTGATATATGATTCTATATTGATTGAACCGGCTAAAATTTTGTTGGTAACACCAATTAAAATTTTGACAAGTGGGAGAGAAATGTGAAGGAGAAGATTTTTATAGTCGTGAAAATTTGAATGATAGATAGCTGTAAATTTCTACTGTTTTTCTTTCTTTTGAGATTAATAAGTGATTTCTTCAGTCTGGTTCGTARGAAAATTATTGAAAATGTCATATTGGAGTCTATGTCAGAGATGGTCATACTCGAAGGGACATTTTTGTCCATATATTGAATTGTTTTTGTCCATATGTTGAATTGTTGAAATATAAGCAATACTTCCAAAACCTACGGAAGTCATCTTAAAAACAAAACAAGAGAAACAAAAAAACAAAAATAAAGTCTTTATATTTTTTGAAAAAAAGGACAAGTCTTTCACTTTCGTTTCTTCTCTCATTTTTTTWAATTAATCTCTTGTTTTTAAAATAAAAAACAAAGCTTAAATGAATTAAAATGTCAATGCTTATTCAATAGGCCTTTTTTAGKAGTCTTTCACATCCATTGTGATTAAACARAGTRTAGTTCAACTAATTAAAATATATATTTTTAATTAAAAGATGAGGTAGAATTCCTATCCACAYATGTTGTTGTACTAAAAAACAACGAATGTGATTATTAAATAATGCAGAAAACTAAAAAGATGAATATGAATTTGGTGTRTTTTTTAAACGAGTTATGTTGGAGGATAGAATTTGACCTACCRCACCRCATTGATAAGTGCACCATGTAAGCTACATTTCATAAGATTTATACGTGAATTAATTGTTAGTTTTTGTTTCTTTATAATGGATTTATGCACATAAGACATATTTTACATGAATAAATAATCGAGAGGAAACAGAATATAAATAGATCAAATTAAGAGKAAAATTGTAACCCGAGCGAATATAGGAAGACATCACAACACTTAATCAAGTCCAAAAAACCGAGGAGATATCGGTATTCATTTACCATCTATATTAAAACTTAACCCGTACACTTGTAGTAAGTGATTTTAGCTACACACGTGGACCTGATAGATCAATAGATTTATCTTAATCGGTTTGGATAAAACACACATTTRGATCTAAATCATAGGTCAACCTATGAGCTCGAGAGGAACTATAATGATCTTTGCAAAGACATACTTCTAAGCTACAATATTGGAGAACTATGGCGCGAAGCCGTACCGCTTGTCAGAATGGCTATAACAGATTTGTCTCCCTTCATCCACCTATAAAAGAACATTCAATCCTCTCAATTAGGTACGTTATTCTATCTAAGACTGACTTACTTAGTTCAAACCTAGACTAACTTAAGCTTTGAAATGTTTGTTCTTTCTGTACAAGTCTTCTATTGCATAACTCGCTTCTAYAGTCCTTGACAGAATGCAGCATAAACAAGTTATATGTCTTTATCGTTGAGCTATGGTGTTGTCATGAATTTTGTGTTTAATTAAGTAAAAAATTGTGGTCATTTTTCTTACCACTCCATATTATATCAATTTAAACATAAATGAGTAGATAAAACACTAATTACTTCATTGAGGTGGAAGATTCGATCTCCCACCCCATATTGGTGTGTTAAAAGAACCTCAATTATTTTTAAAAAGAAAAAAAAAACTCAATTATAAATTATGGTGCATAAGATTAATTTTCTTAAAAATAAGAATGGAATAATGTAGCTTTTTTTTTAGTACTCCTAGAAAATTTTAACTCTATATAGGTTCCCCACGAGTCTCACAAAATTACGAAATTTCTTATAAAAATTTCTCAAAAAAGTAAAATCACTATTGTGGGAGCTAAATCACTGTCATACAAAGAAAAAAAATATAGGCCGTTAGGTTACAGTAAATTTTGTATTTTTATTGTATGTTAACATTCCATTTATTTATTTGAATATTTAGATATTAACATGAAGTCTATAGGTAGACCATTGATATGATTAACGAGGAARTAATATTAAAAGTTTTAAGATGATCCAAGAAGAATTTGGACTCTTTTCATACCTACCCACTTGGCTTGAAAGATATAGCTCATTTGGTATTTGTAACTTGCTCATTATTCTTTCTTCATTAGTTTTCTTAAAAAGTGTTTTTTTATTGTCTTGCAAAATGAACTCAAATATTGCCAAATATAACTGTCCAAAAAAAATATTACAAAATACAGCGAAATAATTGTCTCAAGCCTAAAACCCATACAAGAAAACCTTTTTTCTTTTTCCTATCTTTCTTTCATTGGGAGGGACTGAAATTTAATGATATTTTATATTAAACGATAGTTTCAATTTATAATAAAAAAATTATTTTAGTTGATAGAATTTTATTTTAATTATTTATTATTTGTTAATATCAAATAAATTGTTATTAGTAAAAAATATTTACTATCAATAAAATAGTAATATAATAAATTTTATATTATTTTAACTAAAAAAATATTAGCATGCACAATAATATATTTGTAATTAGTTAGAGAAAATAAAGACAGTATATTAATAATTGTAATATATTTGATTGGTTTTCTGATTATAAACAGTAAACAACATCAAAACATTTTTATTTGAATTTCATAAAATCTCTGGTAAACAATAACATTTCCATTTGATTGATTTCCATTTAATTGATTTCATTTTGATTCATTCTTATTATGATTTCTAATGAGTAAACGAGGCCTAAATGTATTGTATTTATTTGCTMATATTATTGATTCGCTATAATGATTACTAACTTATTAAATATATTATATTTATTTGCTAATGTCATTGGTTAATTAAGGGAATATCATTGATTCAGCTCGTTTAGTAACGGTATCGTTTCGTGTTTCTCGTTTCTTGTATCATGTTTTCTGTTTTTTGTTTCTTTTTTTTTTTTAATTAGAAGCAGAAATATGTTTGGTAATTATTTATGTCTCTTATTTCTTAAAAAAATGGATAAAGGTAAAAGTAGAAATACTCTAAATTCTATAAATGAACAAATAAACATGTCATATTTGTTAACATTTTTCTCTAATAACAATTTGTATTTATTACTCATTAAAAATACTCTAAGACAAAGGTATATGTTATATTTGTGCATTAAATATAGAGACTTTTGCAATAACGATAGATTTGGCCTAAATATCAAATTTGTCGCATGATAAAATATTTGATCAGATTGACAAAAAGGTAAGAACTCGTATATTAATATTGTATATTATATGTAAATAAAATATTGGTAATATACAAAAGAAAAAAATAACCATACTTATAAATAAATTTTTCCACTAATTATAATTTTCCTTAAATACATAGTTGGTTGGAATGAAGGTGAACGCAATTTCATAGCCAATTGGAAACCCCCCTGTGTTACCATTGGAATGTATTCGAAAACCCCACAAACTGCTGGAAAAAAGAAGTGAGTATACAATACAATGTTATTGTCATCAACAATTGGACACAGCTAATACGACACTGCCCTGTGCTGCAGGCTGCGAAGAACAGTATCGTAGCTATTCTTGAAGGCGTCCAGCACTTGGCCCTCCAGCTGCGAGCCAATGGCCTTCCAATCAATCCCCAATTTCTGTATTTCCCTGTAAACACTCTCCGCATCTTCCATATTCGAATCCAGAGTTCTAGAAACAACGCCATGGTCCATGAATGCCGCTAGAGCTTCTTCTGGTATGGTCGATATCTGAAAAATCATTCTTTCAAGTTTCAATAATCAGAATGTTCCAATTCCAATTCCATAGAGAGAAAGGATGCAACTTTTCGGACCCACCGTTTCTGGTCCAATCAGACGATCGATATAGGAGGTATCTGGGTAGGCTGGATTTTTCACATTTGTTGAGGCCCACATCAATCTCTGCTTCTTGGCTCCTCTCTCCGCCAATGCCTCCCACCTTCCTCCCGAAAACTTCTCCTTGTAAATTTTATATGCAATTGCTGCTTGACCTACCGCTCCCTGCATAATTAAACATCCTCTCTGTGTTTAGATACATCCAATTTTTTCAATCTTTATGTGTAATAGATCACTAACTAGTTATACTGTGTAATTTACCTTCCCTCTGAGCACAAGGGCCTGAGGGGTTGCTATCTTTTCAAGCTCAGCATCAACAGTAGCGTCTACTCTGCTTATGTAGAAAGCCGCAGCGCCAGAAATGGCCGAGAGATCATTCAATCCACAGCACTCGAGGCCATTCAAGTAGGCATCGATTACCATTTCGTAAGTGGATATGCAAAATATGAGCTGTTTAAATGATAGAGAGCTGGCGTTCACAAAGTGTTCGACAAAAGTCCACAGCCAAACCAAATGCCATTGTTTTCAAAGATGTATGCGAGTAAATGAACCTTTGCCTCTTAAACAAAGTTTGGTGATTTACTTACAGTTGCATTTACGCTTATTCCTAGGGAAATGACCTCCTTTATTGCGGGTATGGATTCAGCAGTTGCGGGAATTTTGACATACACATTTGGACGACCGACTGTTTTATGAAGCCATTTAGCTGCCTCGACTGTCTTCTGTGTGTTATCAGCAAGCCAAGGGGAAACTTGTACAGAGACATAGCCGTCTAAACCACCTGTTTCTTTGTAGATTGGTTCTAAGATTTCACAGGTATCCCTAATGTCTTTTGTTACCAGTTCCCAGTATGCGCTTTCCATGTCTTTTCCTTCTTTTGCTAGATCTCTATCCATGGTTTCACAACCCCCAAACAAAAAGGAAAAACTTTTCAAAGCTAGTTAAATTTGGTTGRTGATCGCAGAATAGAAATAAATTTATAACATGATGAAATATATTTATCAAATAAAGTTCTAAATTCAAAACATTGGAAATTATGTTGTTTTTAGAATTTACACTGTCTGGAGCATAGAATTCAAAAACAGTTTTTGAAAACAAATCTTACAAACAATCGAATGGATTCAGTGCATCCGAAACAATAAACAGAATTTGAATTGCATACCAAACGGGCCATAAYGTACCTAAACTGTTCGTCGTAAGCTGTGGACGACATTATAGATTTCTCAAAGATCTGACACAAGAACAAGGAGTCATAAGGTTGAAGCAACGAAAAAGAGATAGAGAGAGAGGGGGGAGATTATTAGTACCTTAGGATTGGAAGTAACACCTTTAATCCCAGATGCAACCAAGGGAAGGAGATCAGTGACCGGGCGGCAGATCTTATCATAATAAGGGCTTTGGCCCTGCCGTTCACGGAGGTCGTGAAGAATTGTTCTTCTAAACCCAGCTTTTGAACAAGCAATGACACCGCTAGGGTTCGTCACCGCCGGTGAAGCCATCACAGCCTTAGAGATTACCGATGTACTTGAAAACTGAAACCAAACTAAATTACATATGCATATGCATACTCTCAATGTCAACCCACTTCTAATATAATGAGTATATATAAAGATGAATAAACGCAAGTACCTGCGTGCTTTACATTACAACCTATAGTTTTTGCATAATTTGCTGGAAATTTTAATTGCTAYGACACCTTTCACGGTCGCATAAATTACTGGATGTGGAGATATCATATATGGAAACATAGTTGTATCATATTTATTATAATGAACAAGAAATAGACTCAATCTGAACCCAATAGAATAATAATAATAATAGACTCAATCTAAAGACTGAGATTCTGTTATTTGGTTTCACATATATATTTTTTTTGCAGATCAGAAGACTCCACTTAATCTATATATTTAAGGAGAAGCATGTTTAATTAATTGGATCATCTTTAGTTTCAGTTCAATTCCGATCCACCCATCAGCTGGAATTTATGACCTTGACCAATTCTTTTTTTTTTTCCCTTAAATAACAATGCCAATCATCAATGTGGAAAGGGAAAAATAAAAGATAAAAAAGAGCAAGTCTACCGATCAAAAATTATAYTAAGATCAACATGTTGAGAATTAAATAATAGTTCTCAAATTTTGCTTCCAGGGAAGGATTTTATTTTTGAAAGTAAAACAAATTTCAGCTAGTGGTGTGCTTTACAGGAGTAGAAGCRGTTCCATCGTGGCAGGCATGATCTGAACCTGCATCACTTGATACAGATGCAGCCAGCTCCGACGTGTCGGCTTTGGGCGAGGATTTCGACATGTCGTCCATTTCCTTAACCTTCTCATCACACTCACAAAGCTGTTGAAAGGACACATATTTTCTGAAGTATGTCTTGGCGACAGAGGCAGGCTTTTGCCAGATGAAGGCTTTGGAGCCGATCAAAGCCAGCAGCAGCGCTATCCCGGTGATTATAAAGAGCCCCCCGAAGCTGGAAACCTCCAAACATGGACTACTGTCGGGGGATGAGATTGAGCTGTCTTGATTTTGATTTCCAGCTCCAAAGTATTTCGTTGAAATTGACTCCATTTTCTCTCCCTCTGTCACGTTCAATATTGCTCTTGATACATAAGGTACTAACCGCGAATTTAGTGGAAATGCCTGAAATCAACAAACCAACCAAATTCAGTCCGTCTTGGAGTGAATGAATTGAGAAACTAACTCAGAGAGAAGGAACTTACAAAGCCAAATCCGTCTGTTCGGTATATAGGACCAGCCATGATGAAATCGGAGCCATATTTCGTAAGGAAGATCTTGAGGTAAGGGATTTCATCGAAGATTGCAGCAACGCCACCATTTTGACTTCCTTTAGACAATGCCTTTCGATACTCCTCCACGTTTGCATATGATTTCAGCTTGGATTCATTAAATTTCAACTGCTCTGTCAACAAAGATTTTATAAAGGAACCCTCTTGGTATCCAACGTAGTAACCCTTGGATATAAGTTCATTCACGCTAAAATACTTGGGCTGGAGCTGATCTGACATTAAGATTGAAGACAAGCTTGCCGTGTAACTCTGCATTAGGACAAACGCAAGAAACAGCCAAACCACTAGCACAAACCTAGACCGTTTATTGGTCACTATTTGTCCTGTTCAACCAAAACAAAAGGCAAAAACAACAAAGGAGGATAGTGTTAAATCACCACTAAAACCAAAAAAAAAAAAAAAATTTATAGATGCAATAAAAAACTTTTAACGAAGGAGCATAGAGGGCTTACTTTCAGGGAGAACCAAGGAGGAGAAGGGAAACCAAAGAATTAAGGAAAGTAGCTCCAATGGCTGCAATGATTCTCTTCTTCCACCGTGCTCTAAGATTAGTAGAACAATCCCTGTTGCTATGGAGGCTGCTATTGTGGTAAGCCATAGATCCAAGCTCAGAGGCTTTAAGAAAACCCACATACTATGTTGCATGATGTGTTTGATTGGCACCAGCATTGTGACGCCCGAGTCGGTATATGGCAATGAGAAATCTACGTAATTTGCTCTGCTGGCCACAATCGTAATATCTCCTACCACCGCGTCGAATTTCTTTCTCATACCCAACAAAAACACAACACAAGTGTCATCCCTTTTCAATTCATCAACAACACTAGTGGGATTAATTAGATTACGACATACAAAGATCACGTTATTAGAGCAATTAGATTTTAAGTACTTTCTTCAAAATAAGTGACAAGGAATGAGAAATCTTGGTAGTAAAAAGAGACAAGAAGATGATCTGATTGAACCTTAATTTTCACAATATGTAAAAAGAAAAGGAAAAACYGTATCTATATATCCTCCCCAGTTTTGAAAACTTTGAGAGAGGCTATGGATGCAAATTTTGGGTCTGAATGCTGGACATGGCCACAAAGCAATAACTCCGATGAAAATTAGAAACTGGGAGAACAGCACTGACCTTGTCGCTATCGTTGAGTTGGTGCAGGAGGTCATCATAAATAACCGAGCTGTCCCCAGCTTCATCCCTGAAGAGTTCAAATTCATAAGGAAGATGGAAAGGCAAAGCATCTGCAACAGCCCTGAACACGTCTATGCAAAATCCAGTAAAATTAAGCTCTCCCGTGTCAGGGTTTCTGGTCACATCCAAAAACTCGTTAAACCCCTGTTTTCTGGGAACTCCTATTCGAAATTTTTCGCCATCTGCAGGCACAGCCCAGCCTTTTGGTGCAGTGATGGAGTCTCCAGGCCATATTATCTTCTTCAGCTTACTGACCGAGGAAGAGTATTTGTGTCCACTGGGTTTGTTATCAATATCATCGGCTATGTTTCGGCAGATACCCTTCTCGGGAGTCCAGCACCCAATTAATCTCTCCGCTCTCCCAATCACATTGAAGATTTCAAATGCCGAGGGCTGCAAATGCCCATCCACCAAGTGGAAATCCCCACTCAAACCCTGAAATCGAACATTCGAAATCTCCCTCAACAGCTTCGGACCAACCTCCGAGACCCCCAAGTTATCAATATCTGTTTTCGCATCATTACCGTCGCGCGGCTTCAGAAACCCCAGATGGGTGACTTCTCCAATCCGCTCAGCCGCCAGAGCCAAGGCCCAAATGGTGTCATAAG